GAACCTTGCAACAGTCGACTTGCAACACTTATCCGTGTTAATATTTTTACCCTTGCTTTGTAAAATGTTAATTGAGAAACGCAGGTAAGTGGTTGTGCCCTGCACTTGTGTGACACATGAGAAGAAAAGGCATTTCTTTGGATGACTAGCAACTAAAAAGCAGCACAAAGAGGAGAAGCTGGTTCCTTTGTTGCATCTTTCAGCATAGCAGCCCCAGACCCAAGCAGAATGGCTTCTTAAAAGGTTTCCTTTTGTAGCTGTTTGTACCTGAGAACTATGGGGTGAGTTTAGCTTAACCCACGGAGCCTCTTTCAGATTGCTAGCAGAAGATGCTTCTTGACAAGAAAGACAGCCTTTGGCTTCCTTGAAAGATGAGCCCTTGTGCAGCACTGTCACTTGAAATGAGAGCCTCTCAGCCTTGCATTGCTCTCAATTAGCATAGCAACTGAAATGAGAGGAGAAGCACCTTCCAGCTCCATCTGAAGGTTGGAACATTTGCCTCCCATACATATATAATATGAATACAAAATTCACTGCATGGAATAAGGAAACAGGTGACATTTAAAAGGTTGTAGCAAGTCAGAATACACACACACACACACACACACACACACACACACTATCCCCCCACCCAGAGCCATAGCTAGGTGATCTTGCGCCCCTGGCAGAACCATCCAGATTGCATCCTGTAGTCACGGACAAATTAGCTCTTCTTTCTGCCTCTCCTCCAACACCCCCTCCATCCATTCAATTTATCCTCTATTTAAACCCTTTTCTTATGAGGCAATAATCAGTATTTATAGACACATTTCTGTACATATTTTTAGCCGATTTTGCGCTCCCTCCTTGCCTGCGCCCCTGGCGGGGGCCCCGCCTCACCACGCCCTAGCTACAGCCCTGCCCCCACCCTCACTAAAGTGAAGCATTTATGACAGAAGGGTGGGAGAGATCTTCTGGCATCCTACTCATCTTTCCTCACAATGCCTTGTCAAGTGGGCCATCAAATTTAAGTCTCTGGACATGGGTGTAAAATACCAACAGCAACAAACACTCTCTGCAAGCCATTGCAGATCTATAGCCATCAGTTCAGGACCTGGTACAGAAGTCAGCAAACTTCCAGTATTTATCTAAAAGATTTCATCTTGCCTTTCACCCATAAGATCTTCAAGGTGGCTTGCAAGCATCACATTAACTGCAAAATCTACTAGGCAAGAATCTACCGTTTTTGTTTTTAATGCCCACAAAACATCCCTGTCACGGGGGTCTTTAGGGGAGTCATAGTCCCCCATGGCTCAGAATGTATAGCCCATATCTGCCAGGAGCGGATTATTATTATTACGTATATTATCACTTACTATTATGGGCCCAATTTTCTGAATCTCCTCCCATAGATGCTATGCAGGTTACACTTGGGTTATTCTGGGACAAAACAAAAAACAAATACCCTCTGGTGGGTGATTCCACATTTTTTAAAATGTAACTTCCAGGAGCCTTGGGAAGGGCTTTTCCTAGTCACTGGGAACATGTGTGGGTTTTCTCCACATGATCATAACCAATGTATTTATATACAATGAGGAGAGTAAAATAAGCAGCAGCTTCCCATGTCTGAGGTGGCCCCAAGTGGCTCACATTGTGTATACAGGACCACGGACACTGTTGGTATTTCAATGTTAAAAGAACAGTGCTAACAGCACTCACATTTCTTTGAACACATCCCCATTCCTTGCTCCCATCTCCGGAAGGGTAGAGGCCCCACTTCAGTTCTCCTATATGCTACCACTATTTATAGTATAACACCCAGAATCTAACTGGCAAGGAATTGCTCAGCATCATCAGGTTCCTTCTATCCTAGCCTGTCCTCCAACATGTCGAAATTCAGAAATGATATTGCTCTCGAAGTAAATTAATGTTTCATATAGCATTAGCATTGTGCTTCTCACTGAAGCCATCAGAATAAAAAAACCAGTGGACACAGAGAATAAAATTAAACAGATGTTTGGGGGGTTATTTTTCATTGAAGAGCATACCAGCTACTTATCTAGGGTAAAAATCTAGGGAGCCAGTTTTGGATGTATTTTATACTGGATGTAATTTGAAGGATTTGCTCCATTTAAGGTATTCTGTTCAGCAGGGTAAAGTCTATTTTTGGCAAGTAGCAGCATCATATGTACTTTGAGTCAGTAAAGGGTTTTGTTACGGATTATCTTTTGCCGCTGGTAACCCTGGTAATTCCAAGCCAGCATTACTTTGAAGCCATATTCAATGTACAGCAGTTCTGCCTCATCTGAATAGCATGTGTATGGCTAATGGAGCTTTTTTATTAAAAAAATAAAAAATAGTGTGTAATAATTTTCTTTTAAAAAGTTAAAATGTGTCCCACACCTTATCAGTTTCATGTTCACGGGTTTATTAAATCGCAAAGTTAATAAAACGGCAGTCTATAGGCATGTAGATTTGCTGTATTTCAAAAAGTGAAAATCCTGGTCATTACAGCAAAATAGGTTTGCCATTAATCCAAGATCTAGTGTCACAGAAAAGCAGACCACCGTTGACATACTTATTTATATTAGAGAAGTTGCATGCTAAATTCTCAAAGTTTTCGGATACTTGCAAATTATTCCATGCTCCTTTTATTGACAACAATTTTTCCAAACTGGCAATCCATCTTCAATGACAAAATTAATTTCGTCCAATAGTTGCCTTAAAAAAGCCACAATTTGGCTGCTTGTGGAAGAGCCCCCTCACCAGAGTTTATCTAAGTTAAGTATATCTCCACATCATCATCCCTGAAAATAAAGAGCCTTCTCTGCAGGCTTCAACTACGCTTTCTCCCAGTTGTGGTCCCAAATGGGTAAGTCAAACAGCCTGGGCTTCTACTGCACTCGGTCTGGAGCTGCAGCTCCTTAGAACAAGGTAAACAGACTGCATAACAGGAGAGTAGTTGGCCTCTGTGGCTAAATAAGCAATAAACATACCTTCCATTTGTTGTCCTGCTGAAGCGGCCTTCCTGTTTGTTGCTGCCAGCTTCCTCTCGAAAGCCTTTGGGCTAGGCTGATCTGCAGGGGTGGATGCTGGACAGACAATGCTCCACCCAAGAAACATACTAGCTTGAGGGGAAAGAGGCCTAGGGCAAGTGTGTTGCTTCTCTCCCTGTGTTGCTTGTTGCCTGTCTGTTTTCCCCAACCGCAGCTCTCCCTATCCTTTAAATTCTCCCCACCTGCCTCCACTCCTATCCACAGCTGCAGCCCATCAGACTCATTGTGTTAGCAGACAAGACTGCAGACCCCTTGTGTCCTTTCCAACCATAGCTGCCCCATCCCACCAGCCTGCTGCAACACCCAGCAGGGCGATCTCTGTAAGGAGCCAGAGCCAGGAGTAGATCAGCAATAAAAAAGACACCAATGTTAGTGAATTCTTTATTTAAAGCAGCCCAAACAGTGCAGGCCTAGTGACTCTTCCCAGTAGGTCTTGCCCCCAATGAGGCAGCTGCAAGGACTGCAGGTCCTTGCTTTTCCGCCACTCCCTAAGGCTCCTCCCCTGGTTCCTTCCCCAACAGTCTATGGCTCTGGCACCTTGTATCTCATTGCTCCACCCTCTCCATTTCTCTGCATGTAATGGGAGACCAGGGGGAAGGTGAGCTGGTTGCAGCAGGAGGGGGATACTCCCTGGCTTCTTCAGCAGCCTGCCTCATAGCTGCCTCTTGGGTCTCCTCCTCTTCTGCTTCTGAGCCCGGACTGCTCTCTGCCCCAGCCTCTTCCTGCTCAATAAACCCTGGTGCCTCTTCAGCTTCTGGCGCCTCCTCCTCCAAGCCCGCTCCCTCTTTTCCTTCTGACCATGCATGGTCGTTCCACCATCAATCCCGACTCTGAATTCACAATGCCAATCAAATTGATTTATTTTTTTTTGCTCCATCTTCATAACCAAGAAATAGTCACAAAGTGAAAGCATTTTTTAAAAATCAGCAAAAGCAAAGCACACTAAATTCTATCAAACCTACCGTATTTTTCGCCCTATAGGACGCACTTTTTCCCCTCCAAAAATGAAGGGGAAATGTGTGTGCGTCCTATGGGGCGAATGCAGCTTCGCTGAGCCTGAGAGCGAGAGGCGTCGGTGCGCACCGACACCTCTCGCTCTCCAGGCTCAAGAAAGCTATCTGCAAGCCTTGCGCACCCCGGGGGAGGTCCCCCGGGCACGCAAGGCTTGTGGGCGGCAGCCTGCAGCGCGGAGCACGGGGCGCCCTCCAGAGGACGTCCCGTGCTTCGCGCAGGTGTCGGCAAGCCTTGCGCTCCCGGGATCTCCCCGGGAGCGCAAGGCTCGCGGGCGGCAGCCTGCAGCGCGGAGCATGGGGCGCCCTCCGGACGACGCCCCGTGCTTCGCGCAGGGGTCGGCAAGCCTTGCGCACCCGGGGGATCTGCCCCGGGCGTGCACGGCTTGTGGGCGGCAGCCTGCAGCGCGGAGCACGGGGCGCCCTCCGGAGGACGCCCCGTGCTTCGCGCAGGTGTCCACAAGCCTTGCGCGCCCGGGGGAACTCCCCCCGAGCGCGCACAGCTTGCGGGCGGCAGCCGGCAGCGCAGAGCATGGGGCGCCCTCCGGAGGACGCCCCATGCTTCGCACAGGTGTCTGCAGCCTGCCGCCTGGCGCGTGGAGCACCCTGAAGCAGAGCGCCCCTCACGCCGGGCAGACATCGGCCAGCCCCACAAGCTCGGGGGACAACGGGGAGGCGCAGCGCCGCCATCCCACTGTTCCCCAACCTGGTATTGGGGGGGAAATAAAGGGAAAAATTTTTTCCTTTATTTCCCCCCCAAAAAAGTAGGTGCGTCCTATGGGATGGAGCGTCCTATGAAACGAAAAATACGGTACTTAGCAAAAAGAAAAAAACAACAACAACCAAACAATATTTACCTAGCTACAGTCTTGGTATCCGTGGCCCTCCAACACTCCTCTTTAAGACAAGCAGAGTGTTTCTTTAGTTAACCATTAAATCATGTAATGCAGCCATCTAGATAAAGCAATTTATTGTTCAAAATCATGGATATTAGAGAATGTGTGTCAATACATACTTCATGAATAGCCTGTCAGCATTGATGAAAAAACATCAGGTTACTCTTATTTAATTAGGGTTCAAGCCAACATAGCATAGTATGAATGTTGCAGAAACAGAAACATTTGAAAAACTGAAGATAGCCTCTCTATAAAGAACAGACAGAACAGCAATACTGAGGTACTCATCTCAATTTCTTTCAGGCCACTGCATAGATCCTTCTGAGTATTTGAGACTGGGTATTACTCTGCATAGCTTTTAAATATCTCATAACATAATGAAAAATCACTGTATTTTAACCTAAAGCAGCATATTACACATGCACTGATAGAAACACATTCCATGTAGCGCTCCTGTTGTTCAAACACTTTGGGGATTCTATCCCAATTGCCAATCAGGTTTCTCCATGACAAAGTCCAAACTGTTCAACATTCAGCTGTTGTTGGTGCAGCATGAACATACACCGTCTTCGTATTTAAAGTTTTCATGGAGGTATTCCTTGTAATCTCTGAAAGAAAAGAGAACATTGAACATTATTTTTAAATTTTGCATCCTACCGTTCATGACCTAATGGTGCCAGGCTGGGTCGCAACATACACAGGGCATAAAAACAATCCATCTCATATAACATACATTTTTAAAAATAAATCAGGTTTTTGTATTACAACAAAGTAACGGTTTTTTTCTTAATGAAGCTTTATCATATTGAAGATCATATCAAAGAAAAATATGGAATTAGATTTGCAATCATCTAGAACAAGAGTTACAATTTATTTGTTAGGTGTCAATCAAAATCAAAATGAGGACTTCTATGTGTACCTTACCAGGTTTTATATTAATGTTCCCTACCTTTCCAATTCTGCTATGGTGTCAGAGACACATGCCTGGGTCACAGCAAGTCCTTTTTATCTTAACATTGACATCAAGCTACTCTGAAAGCGTCACCAGGAATCTACAAGATAGATGTACTGGTAAACCCAGACAGCGAACAGGTGCATCCACCTGGATCAGTTATAGGCCTGATATATGTGTCACCTTAATGGCATATGAGCAGAAACATTGAGTCTGCTTTCCTTATTGGTAACCTCTGAATAGAAGGGATTATGTGGAGTGAATGGGCTGGCTGATGTGGTTACTTTCCATGGCAACGTTGTCAGTCCTCATGGCAGCTGTGGCACTCACAGCACTTCCTATGGAGCCTCACCTGGCCTTTGGCCAGCTGTAGAGTTGCACCTCAGTGTGCTTAAGACCCAACCTAAATTTTGCAGTAGGCTGCTCATTTACCTGAAAAATTAAACAAGAGATCTATAAGCTAAAGCTCATCTCCATTTTGCAGTCCAAAAAACAAAATTAGGAATCCTCTTAAAAAGCTAAAGAATATGCCACTTCAAATATAGCACTTGTTAGCTCAAATATTATACTTTTAATGTTTTTCAATTTGTGTTATGGAAATAATTCAGGTGGTGACTCAAGTAACAGTAGGCCTAGGCGATGTATTGTGATGGCAGCTTCAGCCGGTGGTATATTGCAGGTGAAACCACTCCCACTCCCAAGTCCCTCTGCTACCAGCGCTGCTTTCAACATCGGGCTGCTGGTAGCAGAGGTACTCAGGAGCAGCAACTGTTTCACCTGTGATATACTGCCAGGTGAAACCGCCATCGCTCTACCTCTCATACCGCAGAGGGAGGAGCAAGCTGTATTGCAGGGCTGATACAGCTTAGTCCTCCCTTGGCTTCTTTAAACTGCTCCTGCTCCCCTAGCTGAGCGAGCCCTGATACCTGCCCCGGGAGCCAGAGAGGCATGGGGCTTGCTCCACTGGGGGGCAGGGGCAGTTTAATGCTCAGCTGGGGGTGGGGGGTGGGCTGAGGCCAATGCAGCTTGTTGTTTCAACCCTGCAATATATCACCAGACCGTGATGTTTGGCTTGGTGATACACTGCAATGTTGAAAAGCTGATATAGCCCAGCCCTAAAGAACAGTCCAGCTGAAACTGATAGAAAATGAACTGAAAGATACAGAAGGTAGAAGCATAAAATCTGCCTCTGAATTTACTTATTTAAAGAGTGTAGTTAGCAATATGCCAGTACGCAAGATAAGCCTGCAGCAAACAAATCATAGCCGTAAATGATTCCCATTGCAATATGTGCACAATTGCTTCATAAAGCAAAGCTGGCCATTCTGACATTGGTTTCAGCATGCTTTAATGAGTTCTGTCACCCTGGGTAGACACAGCATCTATAAACAGATAAATTACATCACTCGGCTTCTCCTGTTATCATAGCAGCAGCACAGAAAGATATCTGTGGTGAAGAGCATATTAGGTCCAACACAGCATATAGATCCAACTCGCATGTCACAGACAGGAAAACCTAGTCCTCCAGCACCACCAGAGCTTCCTAGAGATGTTAATGTTGTTACCAGGTATGGGGCAAGCTTCCATTCATCCCTTTTCATGAGTTCATGCCTTCTTAAGGGCCACAAGTCAGAACCTGGACCTTCTCAGCACTAGACCAACAGGTAGAACCCTCTCTCTCTTTTGGGCCCTAGAAACAAGTGGAGCCACTTTCTTTTTGTTATTTCTGCAGTCTCACTTTTTTGAAAAATTAATTTGCTAGCCTCATGCCGAAATGAGAGTGTGGTGTACAGTTTGTGTCAGATAAGATTTATCATCTTTTAAACCTGCCTCTGGAGTATCATGTTCAGAGGATTAGAAATCACCACCTGACTGTAATAGAAGATTCATACAACCAGACTGCCACATGAATACCATTAGCATTTAAATTCCCGAGCTGATAAATGTTTGCTGTCTCACACCCTCCTCTCCACCTATAGAAGTCCGTATCTCACTCATTTGGTATGCAGATATTTATCAATTTACAACAAATCTTATGCCAGGATAGATAAGGCACTATTGCCTCTCAGTTGAACTGGACTATTTATGCCTCTGCACAAACTGGAAAAAAATAAAAAATAAAATCAGTGGAACCATGTAGTTGTGATAAGAGCCTGAATTTCACACCCAACTCATTCCCCCCCAATCTATTTTGCAATGCAAATTTCAAGAGATATGCTGTTTTCATTAAATATGATGCTGCAATTGTTGTAAATCTCCTGTCAAACCTCAAACTGTTAACACAACTGCTGATGCTATGAAAAAAATGCCAAAGACATGATGCTATGAAAGACTGGCTATAATTAGCACCAAAGTCCCTTAAATTTTCTAATATATGCAAAGAACATAGGGGATGAGATGGGGTAAGCCTCATTTCATGCTGGGCCTTGGAGAAAGGCACAAACAGCAGGAATTTCACTCAGTGGTCCAACCTTCTTCGATGCTTGGAGCAAAATGACATGCTCTGTTCAAACAAACATCATCTGTACAGTGAAGACAGAGCGAGTCAAAACTGCACTTATTGGCTCCACCCCATAACCTGTGCATTCAGAAGCTCTTGCACATTTAACAAAGTAGTATCCCAGATCACGCATATACATCATGATGTGTCAACAGTCTTTCTTTCTCTCTTAGTTTGTGCCAGGAACTGAAATGACAGAGGCAGCAAGATTCATGCTGCTTGACATAGAGCAAGACAACACCTCATCCCTGCCTCAGGTTCTCTGTGACTGCAGAGTACCATACCTTATATATAAGAAAATGGGGAAGTAATCTCTTGTTCCAGCTTGACAGCTGAAGTAGGGGCAAGCAGCAGTTACGAGTTAAATCTATGGTTGTTATTATTGTTGCCAACATCCATCTGTGCCATCATTGTGAAGGATCACTCAAAATGCTCTGCCATTTCATTTTATCCATAAACCTCGCTTGAAGCCAACAACAATTTCTCCCCTAGACACCTCCATAAGTTTCTGAGGACTACATTACGGTACCTCGGGTTAAGTACTTAATTCATTCTGGAGGTCCATTCTTAACCTGAAACTGTTCTTAACCTGAAGTACCACGTTAGCTAATGGGGCTTCCTGCTGCCATCACGCCGCCGGAGCACAATTTCTATTCTCATCCTGAAGCAAAGTTCTTAACCCGAGGTACTATTTCTGGGTTAGCGGAGTCTGTAACCTGAAGCGTATGTAACCCGAGGTACCAATGTAAATAAAAAGTTATGTCTAACACTGGCCTGGTTTGCAAACCAAACGATGGCATGACTATGCCGATTCCTGAAGATAAGCTTGCAACTGCTTTGCTTCTCCTCCCCGCTGCCTTTTTTACTCCAAGGTTTGGCTTAGCATGTAGTCCCAACCCAGGTTCATGGCTCAGCTCCCTAACACTGAGCTGCAGCAAAGGACAATCCCAAGCCACAGTCTGGCTTCCCACGTCATGCAAACAAGATCACTGGCAGCAGTCTCAAAATAACCACTGCCAATTTAATGCTAGATTTTAATATCCACACACTCATCAATATGATAAATCACTAGCTCTTACTGTTAAGACAAATGCATTTTACTTTTTAAAGTGCTTGTTACTAAATGTACGGCACACTTTTAAAAAGTTCACGTCATGTTCCTGATTGAATTAACTGACATGCTTAACTGTAGCAAAAGTTCCTCAAGTAGTAGTGGAATAAAAAAAGAATAGGATATTTTCTTGAATGAGATATACACATATTTCAAGTGGACAATATCTAATTACTATACATCATAGTGTTTGTCAGTTATTTTACCAAGTCAGTCATTTTACTGAGATAATTGTCAGACAATCTTCATGGAACATTTACTGTAATAACTTTTTTCTGCCCTGCAACACTGACAGAAGATGAAAATCAACTTTGTTCTAGCATTAAAATGCAATGTTCAATTCCTCTCACGTTTTCTCAGGTCATCAAGATTTCAAGTACTGCCTCATTTTCCATTTACACAAGTTGCTGTGTTTTGTTTTATGCCTTTCTCAAATGCTTTAAGTTTAATGAGATAAAATGTCTCAATTTCAGATGCTTTTATGTGTTTAAATAAGCATACAGTAACCACTTTATCTGAGAAAACAGTCTCCACAATACCACTAAGGGACCCTGGGACACCTGTTGTATTTTCATATCTTAATTTTGTTTTGATTAGGACAGGGGCCTGACAGGCCTCATAAGGACTGCTGCTGTGGCTGCTGCCCAGCAAGGACTGGGGTATTTGGGGGAAAGTTTTGTTTGGAGTTTTGCTGTTGTTACTGATATTAAGTGATATTAACTTTTTGTATTTTTATGTGTAAATTGTTCAGTTTGGTTATGTAGTTTTAAATGTTTTATTTATTTTTATGACTACTGTGCTATTCTTTGTAATTACCGTATTTTTCGCTCTATAACACGCACCTGACCATAACACGCACATAGTTTTTAGAGGAGGAAAACAAGAAAAAAAATATTCTAAACGAAACAGTGGATGTATGATTTTTGTGGTTCATGCTGTGGCCACAGACATGTGATCTGGCGGTGAGTTTGGGGTAGCCCAATGCAAAAATCCTGAGGATCCATGTGGATCCATGCTTTGTAACCACGTTTTTGCGCCATGAAACAGTGGGTGCGTGTGTGTTTTTTGGTGCATGCTGTAGCCATGGACATGCTATGTGATCTGATGGTGAATTTGCGGTGACCCAGTGCAAAATTCCTGAGGATCCATGTGGATCTGTGCTTTGTAACCACGTTTTAAGTGGGGAGGGAAGGAAAAGCACTCAAGGGACAAGGAGCACGCGTGGGGTGTGTGGAGAAGGATGCTGCTAATAATGCAGGAGAGGGGTTTAAGGGGAGAAGGAACACACGTGGGGTGTGTGGAGAGGGATGCTGCTAATAATGCAGAAGAGGGGTATAAGGGAAGAAGGCTCCTCTCCTCTCCCGCTTTGCTCCTTTAAAAGAAGCAGGCTCTGCTTCTCTCCCTCCTCCCCGGCTCGGCTCACTGAAAAGCTTTGTTGCTATTTAGCGAGCTGAGTGGGGAGGAGAGAGGGACAGAGAGCATGGTTGATTTAAAGCAGCCAACCAGACAGGAACCGCTTACACCTGTGTAAGCGGCTCCTCTCCCGCTTTGCTGTTTCAAAGCGAGCCACAGAAGAGAGAAGGAAGGGGAACTGTGGATCCTCTGCTCACGACTGCAGCAGATCGCCCCGCCATCCGTAGGCATTCGCTCCATAACACGCACAGACATTTCCCCTTACTTTCTAGGAGAAAAAAAGTGAGTGTTATGGAGAGAAAAATACGGTATGTAGATCAGGGATGTCCAACAGGTCGATCGCGCCGGGGGGGGGGGGCGTGGTCGATCATGGGATCCTGACAACCCAGCACTTTTTTGGTAGGTTTTTGGTAGGTTTCTGGATGAAACATCGGCTCTGGATCCATTCCAGTCTGGCTTCCGCGCTGGTCATGGGACCGAGACGGCTCTGGTCGCCCTAACAGATGATCTCCGCAGGCAGCTGGATCGAGGCGGGTCGGGGCTGCTGATTCTTCTAGACCTGTCAGCAGCCTTCGACATGGTTGATCACGAACTCCTGGACCACCGCCTTGCCGACGTGGGGATCCAGGGCACAGTCCTTCAATGGCTGCGCTCGTTTCTCTCCGGTCGGGGACAGAGGGTGGTGCTTGGGGGGGAATTGTCATCCCGCCACTCCTTGGTGTGTGGAGTGCCTCAGGGTGCGATACTCTCCCCGATGCTTTTTAACATCTTTATGCGCCCTCGCCCAGCTTGTCCGGAGTTTTGGGCTGGGTTGCCATCAGTATGCCGATGACACCCAACTCTATCTGTTGATGGATGGCCATCCTGACTCGGCCCCAGACACACTGACCAGATGTTTGGAAGCTGTGGCTGGATGGTTACGTGGAAGCCGGTTGAAGTTAAATCCTTCGAAGACAGAGGTCCTCTGGCTGGGACGGGACGATATGGGATTGGGGGCAACTCCCATCTCTTGCGAGGTGCAGTTAGTGCCAGCACCGTCCGTTAAGAGTTTGGGTGTAATCTTCGATACCTCCCTCTCTATGGAGGCGCAGATTACAGCTATAACAAAGGCGGCATTTTTTCATCTCCGCCAAGCTAAGCAGTTGGCCCCTTATCTCTCTCGCCCTGACCTAGCCACTGTGATCCACGCGACGGTCACCTCCAGACTGGATTATTGTAACTTGCTCTACGTGGGGCTGCCCTTGAGACTGACCCAGAAACTCCAGCGGGTGCAGAATGCCACGGCGAGACTCCTTATGGGGTCTTCGCTGCGAGATCACATTCATCCGGTACTATACCAGCTGCACTGGCTCCCGGTGGAGTACAGGATCAGGTTTAAGGTGCTGGTTTTAACCTTTAAAGCCCTATACGGCCTAGGACCCTCGTACCTACGGGACCGCCTCTCCTGGTATGCCCCATAGAGGAACCTACGGTCTGCAAATAAAAACATCCTGAAGGTCCCAGGCCTCAGAGAGGTTAGGCTGGCCTCAACTAGAGCCAGGGCTTTCTCGGCTGCGGCTCCAATCTGGTGGAACGCTCTGTCACAAGAGACTAGGGCCCTGCGGGACCTGACATCTTTCCGCAAGGCCTGCAAGACAGAGTTGTTCCACCAGGCCTTTGGTCAGGGCCCAGCCTCCTCTGGCAACCTGCACAGAACTTTGCTTAACGGTTGCCATTAATTTGATTTTAATTAATTTTTATAATGAAATGTTTTAGAATGTTGGATTATTTGATTGTTTGATTATTTGTTTGTTGTTAGCCGCCCTGAGCCTGGCTTTGGCTGGGGAGGGCGGGATATAAATAAAATTTATTATTATTATTATTATTATTATTTCCCCGTAACACAGTGGTTTTCAAGCGAAGCACTGTGGCAATCTGTGGCACCTTGAATGATGGTCATGGGTGTTGTGGGGGAAGCCACGGGCAGCCACCGGGGAATGGGGAACGATATTGGAGGGAAACTATCCTTCTTTCCAATTGGTTGGCACTGCTGTTACTCAGTTGGTACCACCTACCATGCAACTGCACTTGTCATTTACTGGTCAAAAGGCTTGTCATTTCACACTCTTCCCTCCCATGCAGAGCCACGCCTTGTTCTGCCCCCTTGCTCTCTACATGTCATGTGCAAAGGAAGAGGGGGTGACTGGTTGATTATGGGGCAGGGAGCTGTTAAACCAGCTGCGGGGCAGTACTTACTTGAGGAAGTAAGAAGCAGTAAATGGATTGGTCAAGTCAAAATAGCATGGCTTGATTGGTTTGCAGTGGCCACAGCAAGCCAGGCTCCCTCCTTGAACTCAGGGTTATAGTCTGTTGACTTTCTGGGGTGGCTCTAGCTTGGAATCAGGACCAGTCCTCATGGGGCAGTGATGGAGCCGTGGTGAATGGGGAGAAAACATGTTGGCACAGGGCAGGGTGAAGTGAACCATGCGGAGAAATAGCTCTGGATCCCTAGGCAGGGAGACCTTGCAGGGTTCCTACCTATTTCTAATGCTGGCATCAAGGGAAAGGTGTTAGGGGGTGGGGAAGGACCCAAAAAGTGGCACACTCCTGGAGTTGGGACACTGAAGTTCAGCAAACCTTCACTTGTCATGAGAGAGAGACAGGTGACCTGTTTGTAAGGGCTGGTGGGGGAAGCAGGGGAGGACGCTGCCAATCTAAATGGTGTATCCATAACTTCCTAGGCAGTAAGTCTAGTTGGGCTCAGTGGGACTTAATTTTTATAAACCCACATAGGATTGGACTGCAAATGGGCAACTGTGAACATTTATAAGACACACTTCCCACAGGCTAAAGAAGAATTCTAAGCTTCACTGCTGGTGCTTGGTCTTAACAGCTGTTGTGGTGGTAACTCTGCCTTAAGGTTCTAGTTTTCCAAACTGGGATTCTGTTAAATACTTCATTTAATGGTGAGATACCAGTGAGCAGGTTAATAGGTAAGAACTTGTCACTTCTTGCTTTGGCCACAAGTGACTTGATCCAACCCCAGCCCCGTACTTTGCTGGGGGCAGGAATTCAGTAGGGCTTACTTACGAGCAAGCATGGTTAGGATTGCAGGGAATGACGAAACAACACAAGTTTGACCAGGTATCCCACAGGAGAGCGGCAGAAAGACTGTAGTTGGTCAAAGGCGGCATGCACTCAAAAAGGCTGAAAACCTCTGCCTTAACAGATTGGTTTATCACCCCGATGAGAACTAGGCCAGTGTACGTAAAAGATGTGTGAAGACAGTACTGCTTGAAACACTAGCAGGGGCTGACATGACTGACTGCTCCTCTGCACAAAATCTTTCTGTGCACATTGGACATTTACATAATGAGAAAAGGTTGTAGCTGAGCCTTCTCTCTACCATGCTGGGATTTTTTATTTATTTATTTATTTTTGTTCTAACACAGATTTTATTAAAGTATCTAGGAGGTTTTTTATTTAAAAAAAAACAAGAAATACTAAGAGCAGCATGAGACTTATCACAGCATGAAGCAAAGTTGCATAAGGACAGCTCCCTCTGCTTACCTTCTGTTAGCGCTTCATCCAGGAACAATTTTAGCCGCCTGCTTCTGAGTCCAAACACTTTCCCCGTTTCATGCAGAAGCCCTTGATATGTGAGTCCGTTCTGACCAACCGGGTTTTCCATTAGAAGAGTTCCCACCAATCCATTCAGACACTCTGCAGGAAACAAGTTGTGATGATTCTCAGCAGCGAAAAAGAAACAAAAGGTTTCCTTACGTCCCACAGGCATGCATTTCTCTACACCCTCCTAGAACTCTGATGCCAGCCTCAGGCTGTAATCCCATGTGCATTTACCCAGGAGCAAGCCCCATTAAATACATGGGATTGCATGGGGATGCACTATCATTCATAATTCACACCCCGAGCAAGGCTGGAAGTTGGCTGCCTAGTGTTAAGAAAGGATTTTGCAATGCTTTTATATTAAATCTACGATGATATGCCAATACAATTTGTCTAGCATAAATGTACAACATCTACAGAATTTGGGAGAACAAGATCAAGGTGATAACTGAACTTGCCCAAGACATGAGAGTACATGCAATGGGATTGTCGAGTAAATGCCTCTGTTTCGCACACATCCAGAACAGCTGCTCTCCAGTATATATCCTTGAGCTGGTCTTGTTAATTCTATTTTCAGCTCTAGAGATAATTTCGGTTTGTCTTCTTATGTCCTATGAAAACCCCAGGCTACAACTTACTGTTGTCTTTCCCCGCAATATCACTTCAGTTCTTTACCTTACCTCCCTCAAAAGAAACTCCAGCATGTCAAAACCTTAATAGTATTACTGTTTGGGGAGAGGCAGAAAGATCATGACTTGTGCCTGTTTAATTGTGTGATGGGGGGTCACATGTAACCACAGCAACTGGAAACAGGAAGCAGCCATGCCTTTAGCTAGATTTCAAACGGGGCCCAAGATTTAAGTTGCAATAAATAATTTGATCTCGTATCATATGATCAGTATAATTACCTTGTGGTTTTGCATTCACTAGTTGTAAATTGATATACTGACAGAGGAAGCCATCAAGACTGTTCAAGGCTGGCACTGACCCCGCAGTTACATGAAGCATCTTTCCACTGAGACTCAGCAAGTCTGTTTGGTTTTTCAGTTCTGAAAAGAAAAATCCAGCTGCTATAAGCAAACCATCAAGCAACAACTCTCCCAGTTATCACCTGATACTGGTCAGCTGCTTACAGTAAGTTTGGTTTCAGATGCAGTTCACAGATTGTTGGCATCCATCTGTTTTGAGAGACAATGGAGTGCACCTCCGGGGGTGAAGTCAAACTGCTGAAGAATCACAGCGCCTGCTGTGGCTGCAGATACCACTAACTTGTAACAGCTACCTCCTGTATTGTTTTGCTGTGTTAGCAGCACCAAAGTGACCTCTCCAGGGTGCTAGCCTGGGCAGTGTGTATGGAGTTCACAGATACTCCTCCTTAAACTGGAAACATTTTTGATTATTTGTATTCACTTGCTGTGAATACTTATAGTGCAGTAGACATTAGGTGTTGTTGAACTCCACCTCATGTCAGCCCCAGCCAGCGTAGCCAACGATCAGGGATGATGAGACTTCTAGTCTAGAAACATCCGCAAAGCCACAGTTTTGCCATCCCAAATGTATATGGCATAAAGAGAATAAAGATTAGGAAGCATCTTTGGACTGGATTGATGTGCCTGGATCGGGACGTCCTACATTGCAAAGTCTGGGCCATTCTTATGTTACCAGGGTGTCAAGACTCTCAGTGTTGCATCCTATTTCTGCAAGGAGAAGTCTTGTTAGAAAGAATTCTAAAATCTTAGTGAGAGGGTCAACAAGCATATAGAGGTGATCCAGTTGACACTGTGCCCTTAAGACTTTCAAAAAGCTTTTGATAAAGCACCGCGCCCAAGACTCCTGAGTAAGTTTGGAAGTTATGGGTTAAGAGCTACTGATCCATAGGACAAGGAACAGGAAGCAGAGGGTAGGAATAAATGGACAGTTCTTTTAATGGAGGGTATAGAAAGTGAAGTTTTCCAAAGATCCATATTAGGACCTGTGGTTTCAGAAATGTTCATGAATTATCTAGAAATAGGGGTGAGCAGTGAGGCAGTTGGGTTTGCTGAGGACACCAAATTGTTCAGGTGAGTTAAAACAAAACGTAAGATTTCCATTTAAGTCTATCATTACTGTCCAGCCTAACCTACCATGCAAGATTCTGGGAGGGGGGTCCCCATGCATGCTGTCCTGAAATCCTTCTAGAAACCACTTTTTTAAAGTTTATTATTTATTAAAGTTATCTTTCACCCTTCCTCCCAAAGGAGCCTTCTTGCTTATTTTGCCCCCTTTTTTTTTTTTAAAGTGTGCTGTCTAGAAGGACAACGAAGACTGCTAACAATGGAGAAGGCATTTATTAATGCATTTATTGCATTAAGAAGTATTGCACAAAAGGATTTATTTGATTTCTTTCATCTGCAGAAGGCAGAATTTCTGACAGCATCAGACTAAAAGTCTAGTGCTTGAATAAATTTACCAGCAAATAAGGATGGCACACCCAATCATCATCAGTCAATGAATTGCAAGAAATGCCATATTAGGATCTACACATTATGTGAATGTGCCATAAACTGGGGTGGGGATCTGTCAATACACACCACTCAAAAAGCAATTCCCACACCTTTTACCCTCTCATGCCTGATATGAGATTTTGGAGAAGGTGTATCAATGAATTGGTGCCATCTTGTGTGAACATAAATCACAAATCTTCCAAACACTCTGAAATTAACTTGTTAATATATATACATATGCACACACACATATGAGTGACAATACAGCAAGAATAATTTTAAGTTCAAATCAGTTGAATAGATCTTCAACTTATTTGAATAAATATAAATTAAGAGATGTTACAGAATCTTACAGAGCTGCATTTTAAAGCAAGTGCATTAATTACAAAAAAATATTTCTATAACTGTGTGGAATTATGTGGAGCAAAATTTATTTGTCCATACTTTTATATTTAGAAAAATCACATTCTAAGACATGCAAATTAGTCTGCCTCTCTGTGTCTGCCAAGCAAAACCACATAAGCAGATACATAATTTGGAATATGAGCTCAATATTCAGTAAAGGTGCTATAGCTGAACATTTGGTTCAAAATGCTGAGTAGACCAGAGATAAACCTTCCCACTGACCCTCATCACTAAGTGATGATACAGCAGATTCAGCTGTATTGCTTTGTGCTCATGTGTCTTGATGAGCACACTGCTCTTTGTGCAGGTTTGTTTTTTGTTTTTTACTCCAAAGATAATGGCACCATGCATCTTGACACAGCAGAGAGAACAATACAGCTCAAGATGATCCGGGCAAACAAGAAATCACTTTAATTAACAGTTTAAAAAATGAAAAGTGCTTTCCTGTTACCTGACCGTTTCATCTTTTTCATATATAGCTTTCTCTGTTTACAACATTAGGATATTAAACACAAAGCAGAAAAAAATGTGGAATCATTCTATTATCTGTCCTGTTTCCTAAACCCTATATTCCTAAACCCTATATTTACAATGCATATGTATAAGCTAAAACTGCCAACATCTGGTGTAGACCACAATTTCGTTTTATATAGGAAGGAGATAAACTAAACATTGGGCAGTTTTTTGCAAAATCAATAGATCTCTCCCAAAACACAACTAGGCACTGCTTTCACTGTGAGTTAGCTTTGGCTGTCATCACATAGACAAATCTGATTGGCTGCATCATTACCGTTGCTAGGAAGAAGGCCAATTTGAAGGGTGAGAAAGCTGCAGCCAATTGGGCTTGTGAGAACAAGCTCACAATGGAGTATTTCTACCACCACAATCAGAATACAAAGGGCTTACCAAGAAGCAGCCACCTACATACGTCACTGAGAAGGAAAGCACTTTTTACAGTGGAGAAAGATTTTGTTAATAGCTCCCCTCACTCAGGCTCACCCCTAACTGCTGTTTCACCTTCTTCTGAATATCCATGGTAAAAGCTACCAAACAAAACCGATGAGATAACTATGTGTGAGCGGTATAAAACTTCCGTAAAGTGTGACACTACTCATGTGCTATGCAAAGTATACTCAAAAATATGTTTCTGAAATGTACATGAAAGCCTTTAAGCAAAGTACTAGCGTGAAACTGTTTGCTATGGCATATTCAATTTCTCTTAAATTCTTTTAAGAAAAAGTTGACAGCTAGGACACCAGCAACAAGGGGGTTCAGGAAACCTCCATAGGGTCTATGTGCTTTCCATGTGTTGCTACAGGATCAGCAGTTCCTTTTTTTAAAAAAATCCTTTAAAAGGGTAACAATGGCCATACAACACAATATGAACATAGTGTGAGTTTTTTACTCAGATCCTTTTGTTACTTTTTATTGCATCAGTCATGTTTTGTTTCTTGTCGCTGCAAAGTTTTATGTGTCAAAATTATTGTCTACCTGTTTAAGAGAGGAACAAGTTAAAACCTAAAGTGTATTTTAACAAAATTGTTCTGTATATACAAGTCTGGAGATCTTCAAACCTCCGTATGACAAAACACTTCAAAGTGGCAACAGCAGAGAAATGGCTTTATGACAGCTTTAGAATGTAAACCGCATACGTTCTAACTATATCAGAGTTTGAAATGCTATCACAACTTGTTCTTCTGGGTTTAAGTAGCCAAATAAGGAGTCAAAAAGCACTCTCCTGAATATTCCATCTGAAATTGAGCAAATTTACCACAGAAGCAGCCTTCAGGAGGATTTTTTAAAATATAATTCTGGAGTTGTTTATAACCAGTTTCAACAGTGTATAAACTTCTTGTCAAAAAGTAAAGTAAAACACAGGTCCAAGACTAGGCACACTTCCAAGGAGATTTTAATTTTAAAGCAAGTGTCACCTGTGCTATAAAACTGCAGTAATAATAATTTCCCCAAAACATGCAAACACACAGAGACCGTGAGAAGTGTGTGCTGCTTGCACATGAGCCCTCATCGCACTTAACCACACTACCCACCTGTTTTTCCATTGAAAACCGCTAACTTTGAATTTTCAAGACCAAAAATGCATGAAATGGTGTTAACAAGTTTGGCGAAGTCTAATGTATTATCTCCTTTGGGATTTTCCAGCAACACCGTACCAGCTGGAAAGAGAAGCACAAAGCAGCAATTGTAAGAAACCAATTTTGTTTAATCAATTTGTTGTCAATACTGTTACAGCTATATGTAAGGGGCAGGGGGCAGGCCCAGGGAACAAATGTGGCTCTTGGGACTCTCGCTGGCCATTTCCCCATCCCATTCCTTCTCCATACGTCCCTCAACTGATTTTGCCTGGCTGGAATGTAGGTTACTGTACAAAGGCAAAAATCACATCCATTGCTGCACCCACCGTTGCCTCCCATCCTTGGCATGAGGCCCTCAGAGGCTTTCCACAAAAGAACAAGGCTCTCAGGGTGAAAAAGCCCCACCCCCACCCCCCGCTGTGAATACACACCTACTGGGTGAATACATTTACCAAGCAAGTTACTTGGATTGCACAATTCTTTCATCTCATCCAGGAATTATAACTTCATTTCAATTATATCAGTTCAATATATTCTCTAAAATTGACACTAAATAACCAAGCACAATGGTTCAAATGGTTAAGATGCCTAAACACAATTTTCAAGGTTGACTTTGTTAAAAAATATTTAAATTGATTTTTTTAAAAGAAAATTGTCATATGTAACAATTCAAAGGAGCCAAACATATGTAAAACTAATTCAAACATATGTAAAACTAATTCAAAGGAGCCAAAGGAGGTTGAAACTGATTTTTCTTGAACGGTTGCTCTCCACTGCACATAACAAGGCACATGAGAAATGGAAATAGCTTCCAAAAGCTGCTTGCGATCTGGCACAGGGGTCAAGCCTTCAAAAGGAAGAAGTCTTATTAAGGATATGCAAACCCTTTGTGTGAGCTACCCTTTGGGTCCTTGCCATAACATTTTTAAAAAGCAGTTTTTGATTTTTGATGCAGCAGTTTCAAAGAAGACAAATGACAAGTACCTTTCAGAAATAGTTTAAGGAATTCCTACCTTGCTCTTTCCCATTCACAGAGATGTTCAGATTGACATAAGCACATGCTGGCTCAATGCGATGACTCAGAGCACCTTTGGCTAGTGTAATTTCCAGTTCTGATCCCTTCAGCTAAATAAACAAGTGTTACATTTTCTGAAAATTAATATTCTAAGAGGAGACACTCAAACTATTTCCCCTCAGAATTATTACAACTTGGATATGCTGCAGGGATGATAGTGACAATAGTTGTAATTTAACGCTGCTTCATAATAAAAGACTGCAATACAGTATGTTAGCAGAGGCAACCCTGGTGACATTAAAAATATAATATTTGCAATTTATAAGCCAGAAAACAAACTTTTAAGGCTGCAAAAAAGTTAAATGCAGAAAATCAGAGGAAGACAGAAAGAAGTCACAGCAGCACATGCAGATAACATTATGAAATGCCATTTCTGGGTCTGCTAATGTTGGCCACTAGGGGGCAACTGTTACTACCCATTAGCCACCAGGAAACTGTCACATTTCAAAGCTCAATTAAGAATTCTGAATAGTAAGAAAGTGTGGGTGCAAAGCTACACACACAAAAACCTTCACAGCTACCATGCAAGTGTTAAGGCCCATTTTCCCCAAAACGTTATCATTTTTATTTATCTGGGTGCACATAGGACTGGAACCTGTAGACTTTAACCTGTAAAAATGCCTTTAAAGACTGGGTAGTATTTTGCTGAAGATTAGCATTTTAAAGATGCTAAAACCAGAGGAAATTAATTTTTAAGTTTGAATCCTTTGACAGAAAAATTACCATTCCATTAATAAATGGAAGTAGGGTTTCTTGCCCTTATTTCCCCCCACAGTCTCATAGAGAGTCAGGGGACCCTGTTTTCAGCAGCATGGAATGAAGCATGAGGGGCTGAAAGGACAGGAGGAAGTCACTCAAAAATGGGGTAGTTGCTTGGAATTTTTGCAGTTTCATTAATATTCATTGCACCCTGATTTGCATCAGTATTTGGTCTAAAGCAAGGTTTTGGTACTGCTTTGGACTTTTTGCCTTTTTCATATATAGCTTTATTTTCCAGAAGGCTGTAGGTTGTTTAAGGCAGGCATAGGCAAACTCGGCCCTCCATATTTTTTGGGACTACAACTCACATCATCCCCAGCTAACAGGACCAGTGGTCAGGGATGATGGGAGGTTTAGTCCCAAAACATCTGGAGGGCCGAGTTTGCCTATGCCTGATTTAAGGTTTTTAGGCTTAACTGAAACAGTATTCCAGCCTAAGCAACCAAAGGGCTTTTGACCTGATAAAATGAAAATATGAAAAAATTGCAAGACTCATCTATTCCATTTAGATCAACCATCTGTTCCTACACCAGTAAAATTAACATAGAATTTGCTTTTTCTTGCTGTCCCAGAACTGCAACACATTGTTGCTCAGTATCTTGCATTAAACTATTATTCTCACCAAATTACATTTAAATCTGTATTCATCACAATGAATGGGACTGTCACCAACATCTTGCAGATTTGCCTCATTTTAACTGTATGAACAAATTATTAGATGACTATACACTACTATTTTCATATGTTTCCAAGTTATTTGCTAATGAAGTAATACAGGGATTATATTCTGGGGGCTTAGATTAGTTTTCTATCTATCAAGGTCATATCAATAGACAAAGACATTTACATTTCTGTTAGGCAACTTCATAGATTACCAGAAAAGTAAATGACTACTTCCTTTAAAAGGTAAAGGGACCCCTGACCGTTAAGTCCAGTCACGGTCGACTCTGGGGTTGTGGCGCTCATCTCGCTTTATTGGCCGAGGAAGTCGGCGTACAGATTTCGGGTCATGTGGCCAGCATGACTAAGCCGCTTCGGGCAAACCAGAGCAGCGCACGGAAATGCCGTTTACCTTCCCGCCGGAGTGGTACCTATTTATCTACTTGCACTTTGACGTGCTTTTGAACTGCTAGGTTAGAAGGAGCTGGGACCGAACAACGGGAGTTCACCCCGTCGCAGGGATACGAACCGCTGACCTTCTGATCGGCATGCCCTAGGCTCTGTGATTTAACCCACAGCGCCACCTGCGTCCTTTAAGATACACAAAATAACAGTTACGCTGTGCAGTTTAAATTCGTTGTGCAGCTTAAAAGTCTTTGAAATAATTTCAAGACATGCATTGTTCTATTTTTAAAAAATCTACTATTCGATATAAAAGAAAAAATAATGTATGGTCTTTTCACACTTCTATACTGTGCTACCCAGATGCATTCACTTTATATTCAGGTGAGTAAAATATATCCAACACATGCACTGGCCCAGCAAGACTTAACTTGGGAGAGTAACGGAGCTGGCACTTTCTGCATGGGGAGATGCGCTATTTATAAGCCACAACCTATGCCCAATAATACATATTGCTACATTTACACAATTCTTTGCTCTTATAAAGGATGGAGTTAGACCACATAAAGGAGGCATCTGCAAAACATGGTGTTCCTGTGAAATACCCAGCTTACAGGTGACACCCACATGATAAAAAGTGAAAGGTAGGCTCTGGGAGTTGAGAAAGCACTTTTTATGTCGGCAGTGGCTACAGTAAGCACAATGTAGCGCTTAAGAAACATTTGAACAGATACTACCCCTGTGGATTAAGGTCTATCAAGTCTGCATTAAAGAGACTCCTGAGCATCATCAGAATTAATTTGCTTTACTTGAAATCAGTAGATACAGTCAAAAAGGTAACCTACAACATGCATTTCTGAGTTTTAATTTCATATGGTAGAGATGATTAGCTGAAATGCAGAAAACCAAGAGGGTTTTTAGTGCTGGGTATGTAAGTCCATGCTGACCAGTTCTGAAACCACTTGGATGATTTCTGTGACTTCCTGAACTTAAAGCTTGTCATATAATATGAACATCTGAAATGGATATACCGACTCTGGTCCAATAAACATTTAATGTGAGGCAATGCATTATTCAGATAATGGGGTGAGGTGAATATTTTCCAAAGAAATTCTTGCTTGTTTTTACCTGGGTTTTCTCTTGAATAAGCACTTCCATTGAGGTAGGCACTGGGTATGGCTTCAAGGCAGCCTTTATTGTTGCAAAAATGAAATCTGTATGCTCCTTAATAACAGTATCAAGATAATCACCTTCTGGATGAGCACGGTAATACACTGTAATCTCATCAGTTGGAACAAGATTGCGCTGTAACAAAATCAGCAACCCAATTGAGTGAGCAATAAAGATTACCTACAGCCAAATATTTGCAACCAAAAAGTAAAATCTGTTTTTGGTATAATCAGAACAAAACACACATTTAAAAAGTCAAGCATAATTATAGCAAATATTCTGGCAAGCAGAAAAGCATCTAACTGCACATCACATGTTAGTTTGTCTTAGCCAAAGTCCAATGGCACTCTACAAAACATTTTTCTTCAAAATAAAGAAGATTTCACCAAGAAAAACAAAGGTATTCTGCAATGAGCAATTGCTTTTTATATTTAAGAATGCAAACAAAAAGTAGAACTGACCAACAAATACTGTCCCCAGATTTAAAAATATTAACCAAATGAACACAATTCTGTTCTGGAGGAGTCTGCAGTTGATTGAGCAATGGCATCTATAGTTCTTGTTATCTTAATAAAATGATAAGTCACCTTCACACACAATTACCTTTGTCATGCTCATTTTTTAAATCATCTTTTCTAGTCTCCTTTTATAGCCATCTGTTCTTCGTGCATATAACTAGACATTGTGAGTACAGGCACACAGGATAACAACTGAGAGAGGCCAAAACACCGCAGGCCAACACACAACTGCCAAATATACTTTGAGAGAGTCACGGTTTATAAGTGTTTATACGCTAATGCCAGAAAGCCTCCAAGTCAAGATGCGCAAACTGGAGTGCTTGGTCTTAAGAGGACGGCATTCATATACTGGGCATAACAAAAATCTGATGGAATGGAGAGAACTGGTGGGACACAACTGTCTCTCTGGATCTAAATTTGATAGGACAGGGAACAACAGACTGGAGGTGGTGTCACCCTATACATCAAAGAAAGTGTTGAATTCAACAAGCTAGAAATCCCCAAAGAGGTAGACTCCTCTAGCATTGTAGGTAGTGACACCAGGCCCAACAGTGAGTGGACATGCTATCAGTCAAAGTGAGTAGAAAAACGTTTTTCTCCCTCTCTCGTAACACTAAAATTTGTGGACATTCAGTGAAGCTGAATGCTAGAGGATTCCAGACAGACAAAAGAAAGCACGTCATAACACAGCACATATTTAAACTATAGAATTTGCTTCCACAGGAGGCAGTGATGGCCATCAACTTGGATGGCTTTAAAAGAGGATTAGACAAATTCATGGTGGAAAAGGCTATCCTGTTCTAGCCACAACAGCTGTGCTCTGCCTCCATGGTCAGAGGCACCATGCTTCTGAATACCAGCTGCTGGAAACTACAGGAGAGGAGGCTGCTCTTGTGCTTCATTTCCCAGATTTACTAACCTTCTTCCGAAGTTTCTGGATGCGATTTATTACTTCACGTGCAACGCCTTCATCAACCATAGACTGATCGGGAGTAACATCCAGGAGAACCAAAACCTGGCCAGAAAAAAGGCAGATGCTATATAGATCTTGTTTTATAACAACAATCATAGACATGTTCATGTGGATTGAGAGAAGAGAAACTGTGTTTTACAAGTTAGAGCTAGTTACTATTAACTCAATCTTTGTTGTTCTTTTGAACTGTTACAATATATATACTAAGGTGCTACTGGAAGGATTTTTTTTATTTTGTTTCAAATATATATATACTGCTAGAAACATGCACACTAGGACACCCCCATGCATGGTGTGCTTAACTTTTTGCCCTGATGTCAATAGTGACAATACAGGTTGTGGTGGTAGTGATGGGGTGCTAGGCACACTGCAGGTCTTTAGATTTTAGCTGGGCATAGCTACTTGAAAGTGAAATAGCCAGCCACAGGATCAGAAAAAACAGTTAACGTCCTGCAGTTATTATGGAGGACACTTCTCTGAGGACGTCATTGCTTAGACTTGCAAAGCGCTCCTCCTCATTTAAGCTATTGCTGCTAATGGCACAGCTCCTTCTCCAAATTCCAGCCAATTTTTTGTTCTGCTCTTCTTTAATTTATCTGCTCAGTTCTACACTTCCTGCAACTGCTATAATACGATTATGTCCATTTATGATATGGAACAGAAGCCAACTGCTCTATGTCAAACATTCCCCTGGGTTAGTTCAAAATCCTTGCATGAGCCTAAGCAACTCTTTGGATCACTGTTTCCTGCCATCTCGAGCAGATATGCCAAAATGGTATGGTAGAGGTTCTATATTGCAGAGGCACTGATCCACAGCAACTAGTGCTAGCAACATGAACATCTGGATTTCCCACCATCGTCACTGATCACTACATTTGATACCTGAGAATCAGAATGTGCTTCAAACTGGGCAGATCCTCCTTCAGCCTGGTTAAAGGTGTACATCAGACGGAGATCTTCTTCATGCAGTTCATGACCTTCTACAACAATGGTGCCTGATTCATTTAAACCAGAGAATTACCTATTTTATATTAAGCAAGTGTTCCAAGCTTTCAAAAACGTGCAATTAATCAACATTTCAATGTACTGATGTTTTCTGTCTCTTGTTTGAATGACAACATCCATATCAATGTATTTCTCTGACTTTCTTGTGTTTAGAACAAACATTTTTGCTCCATGGGCCAGATGTTTATCAGAAATTTACAGGAGGATGGGGTCTCCCGCCTGTCAAAATTCCCTCAGTAACTTTGAAAATCCAGTTTCCAACTCTTCAGTCTCTGGCAGAATAACTGGAACAAAGTGTTCCAGGTTCTGAAAACTTAGACCATCCAAAGAACATTCAAAGCAAAATATGAGAAGTATAAAAACATTTTCTACTCAAGGTAGTTTGGATTCTTTTATAGACGTTTAGACCCCTGACTAAGCGCTTCCCTGAACATTTCCTCGTTTTGCAGAATTGATTTAACCTTTCTCCTCTTTGCAGTTATTTTCCAATATGTTTATGGAACCTATAAACATTTGACAATATACTAACAAGAGAAATAGCTTTTAAATCTCTGCCTTTTTGCTTTTAGACTAGAAAAGAAAACCAAGCAGCTAAATGGATTGGTTTCCATACTTTAAAATAAAAATTATTTTGTGTCTGTTTCCAAGGTCATCACACTTTTCTGACAAACTACACATACTCCACTGATACTAACCAGTCTTCTGGAATTCTTCCAACTGCTCACTTTTCAATTCCTTCACAGCAGCCATAACAGATTTAAAGGCACCTTTCAGACGCTTCCCAAGCACCATGTGATCAGGTTCTGCTCTTAGGCGGATCCCATATTTATCTTTCTCAGTTGATAATGTCACTTGACGGACATTCAGTTCCTGTGCATTTCCCAAAAAAGTAATAAAATGGGGAAAAAAATAGTTTAAAAAATAATCATCACTTGAAGTCATGATTAACAAACCATTTTACAGGCTGAATGGCAAAATATTACAGAGAGTAGGACAAACAAAAAACAGCTGTCTGCTATTTTGATATATGTGCGCTTGAAGTTTGAACAGTACTATGATTAAGTCATTTTAGATTGTTATGCTATACAAAAATACTTTGCTGTACAGAAGAGCAAGTTAAATAGAGCTCCCATTCATGCTATTAAATAAGAAAAAGTTCTCCCACCAAAGTATTATCCAAACATCCTTACCTATTCCCACCCCTGAGTTTCCACCATACACCTTCTAAAGACCCCAGTCCTACTCTACTCAAGGTTTCCTCACTCCACAACCCATAAACCCTTTGAGATCACTCCTATTCCATTCAGCCCTTGTCCTTGGCTCTTTTGTCTTGTTATTAAGCCAGGCCTCTTTTCCTCCTTGAACTAACCCCAGACTAATATTTTCCTAAATAGTGAACACTTTTCAGTAACTAAGAACTATCTACTGTTTAATTCCATCCAATGCAACGTTGGTGTTAAATACAATCGTACAAACCAAACAGGAGATGGTCTGATAAAATAAACCACCTTTCCTATTTTGCATCTGAAAGCTTTTCTAGCATACTTCTGCTGTGTTGCTCTTGTTCGTAGGAAGCCTGGGAGACCTTTTGTCTGGCCAAACAAATGTACATACAATATTATAAAGAGTTCCATGTCTTTTACGAGGCATTGAGTTCTAAGAATCCAATACACGAAACCACACAAGGGGTCACTTTGTCTGGCAAGCCACACTTTAATCTCTAAAATAGATAAAGGATAAAATTGGCTCCATTTCCAGAGCAGAACAGTTCACTATCAGCTCTCTAAAGCAACACTTAGCTGAAAGCAATTTACTAGTACAAAACAATCAAAACATTTTATGTGCTTTCTTTCCATCTCATTTCTTTTTTTCTCTTCTTTTTTTCAACATGAAAGTCCACATACTAATCTTCCTTCCACTTACTGTTTAATGAACTGTGCTTTCGCAATTGGTATTGGAATCAAAAAGAATGTCAACTGACAGCAACAAGGTTTTACACAACAAGCGAGTGGCTTCTCTTGCGGTTCCATCAGCCACACTCCAAAGGGATGCAGGTGGAAGCAGGTCCACAGACACCCATAAGCAGCCACGGAGCAGGAGTGTTACTTAGGTTCTCTACCTTGTCCCATTTCACCGGGAAACTCAAGGAAAGCCACCACATCCATACCAACAGCTTCTTTTTTTAAAAAAACTTATTTTGCACCAAAATCCAAAACTGCCTTTTGAAGTTAGCTTAGTGGAATGAGACGGTTTAGGAGGGCAGCTTCTTCAGAAAGGCATAATGAAAAATGATACTGCGATGCTTCAAGACAATCCTTTTTCATGATTTTGTGAATGATCAATGATCATGAAGTATTTATCTCCAAAACATATTTGTGGTCAAAAGTCAACTGTATTATACATAATATACAGATGTCACACTTTATCCTCTGCTTAGTTTGGTCCTTGCAGTCTTCATATGTAAGCAAGAGTACTCAGCAATGACATCTTTTTTCTCAAGAAAGCATGTGTTTGCTTAACCCCTGCCTACACATAGATCTTGATACTTTCTCCTACTCCAACTGAGTTAGGTCTCTGTGCCTGAGCTTGACTGGAGTAAGACAACACACAAAAGTCCGCTGCAGGCTCAAGTCCAACACATGACAGCATTGAGCAATAACAAGGGTAGTCCAAAGCTAAGCCAAGATCAAGCAGCAGACAACTGTAGTCCTGGGTCAAATGAAATCCAAAGGTTGAGTCAGAAGGTATGTGTATGTGTGTGAAAGAGATATCCAACAAACTCAGCCCAACACACAAGGACTTCCACCTGCCAAATGGGTGGTCTTCTCCTTCCTTCTATTCTTCCCACTCCTTGCTCCAAATCTGCTTCAGAGGATTGAGAAAACCCCCCAGAACAGATCGGGAAGCAGTCCCCTTGTGCGGATGGAAGCAGAGGCGGAGCTAGCGACTCCGGCACCCGGAGCGGTGCACATGCTATACACCCAGGGGCGGGGCTAGCTGCCCCCAGGGGTGGGGTGAGCATCCCGGGGGGCAGGGGGGCAATTTCATCCCCCTCAGGGATGACACCCAGGGTGGACCGCACCCACCACACACCCCTTCCTCTGCCAGTGGGTGGAAGTCCTTTCCTAACAGGGCAGCTTGGTTGGATACAACCCACTCTGTTTTATTTTTAACTGAATTTATATTCCCACCACCAAGGAGCCCAGGGTGGCAAAGCAGCACCTCATTTTAAGCAAAAACGTTCTCAACGAAGTTGCAAGGGCAATGTCCACATCTGCCACTCTCTTGTGCAGGCTGGATCATGTGGTGTGCTGTTATGCTGACAGACTTGCAAGGCAAAAAACGTGGCATCAACGTGAATTAAAACCAATAAGAACTTAAGTTCTAGCAGCAATGCCTTCTGCTCTTCTATCTTACCTCAAGTATATACTTTTCCAAGGACTTGATATCTTCCAGCGCCTGGGGATCCTGATGAATAACCACCACCTCTTTCAGTGGATACTGAAATTAAATTCAACATCATCAGTCTGGAAAAAGGTACCCAAGATCTATTGCAAAATGGCTATTTAAACCATGGCTATTTAACAGATATCCTTATAGTTCATTTTCTGGAATTCATTGATTTACCTATGCATTTCTCTGTCACAACCAATAAGTGCTTATGGGATATTGATGTAAGATAAATTAAAAAAACATCTTACCTTTACTGGAATGGTTTTCCTGTCTCTGATTACCCGTCCAAGCTCAACAACAGATTGCATTCGGGAAACGGCACTTTCTATATTTTTGTCAATCAGATCCTCTCTAGATTCAAAGGGGGGAAAAATGGAAACTTCAGAGCTCTGATGGTGTTTCCTGCTTGGCAGGGGGTTGGACTCGATGGCCCTTGTGGTCTCTTCCAACTCTATGATTCTATGAAACTTCGTATGTTTTGCATATGAAGCTAACCCCTTTTAAAATAATAACCTACATTTAAAACCAGCCTGAAAAGAAAAAGCCCTTTGCTGGGACTCTCTTGTATGGCAGAATTTCCAGAAACAGCATTTTTACCATCTTAAAGATTGCACCGAACACAAATGCCAATTTGAGAGTCAGTGCACCGTGGTGGATAGAGTGATGGACTTGGGACTATGGAGCCTGGGTTCGAATCTTCATGCTCAGCCATGAAACTTATAGAGTAAACTAGATCTGTTCAAGAAAACTGGAGATATGAAAGGAACATTTCATACAAAGATTACCATAATAAAGGACAAAAGTGGCAAGGACCTAACAGAAGCAGAAGACATCAAGAAGAGGTGGCAAGAATACACAGAGGAATTATACCAGAAAGAAATGGATGTGTCGTACACCCCAGGTAGTGTGGTTGCTGACCTTGAGCCAGACATCCTGGAGAGTGAAGTCAAATGGGCCTTAGAAAGCACTGCTAATAACAAGGCCAGTGGAAGTGATGATATTCCAGCTGAACTATTTAAAATTTTAAAAGATGATGCTGTTAAGGTGCTACACTCAATATGCCAGCAAGTTTGGAAAACTCAGCAGTGGCCAGAGGATTGGAGAAGATCAGTCTACATCCCAATCCCAAAGAAGGGCAGTGCCAAAGAATGCTCCAACTACCGCACAATTGCACTCATTTCACACGCTAGCAAGGTTATGCTTAAAATTCTACAAGGCAGGCTTAAGCAGTATGTGGACCGAGAACTCCCAGAAGTGCAAGCTGGATATCGAAGGGGCAGAGGAACCAGAGACCAAATGGCAAACATGGATTATGGAGAAAGCTAGAGAGTTCCAGAAAGACATCTACTTCTGCTTCATTGACTATGCAAAAGCCTTTGACTGTGTCGACCACAGCAAACTATGGGAAGTTCTTAAAGAAATGGGAGTGCCTGATCAACTCATCTGTCTCCCGAGAAATCTCTATGTGGGATAAGAAGCTACAGTTGGAACCGGATATGGAACAACTGATTGGTTCAAAATTGGGAAAGGAGTACGACAAGGCTGTATATTGTCTCCCTGCTTATTTAACTTACATACAGAATTCATCATGCGAAAGGCTGGGCTGGATGAATCCCTAGCCGGAATTAAGAATGCCGGAAGAAATATCAACAACCTCAGATATGCAGATGACACAACCTTGATGGCAGAAAGTGAGGAGGAATTAAAGAACCTTTTAATGAGGGTGAAAGAGGAGAGCGCAAAATATGGTCTGAAGCTCAGCATCAAAAAAATGAAGATCATGGCCACTGGTCCCATCACCTCCTGGCAAATAGAAGGGGAAGAAATGGAGGCAGTGAGAGATTTTACTTTCTTGGGCTCCATGATCACTGCAGATGGTGACAGCAGTCATGAAATTAAAAGACGCCTGCTTCTTGGGAGAAAAGCAATGACAAACCTAGACAGCATCTTAAAAGCAGAGACATCACCTTGCCAACAAAGGTCCGTATAGTTAAAGCTATGGTTTTCCCAGTAGTGATGTATGGAAGTGAGAGCTGGACCATAAAGAAGGCTGATTGCCGAAGAATTGATGCTTTTGAATTATGGTGCTGGAGGAGACTCTTGAGAGTCCCATGAACTGCAAGAAGATCAAACCTATCCATTCTTAAGGAAATCAGCCCTGAGTGCTCACTGGAAGGATAGATCCTGAAGCTGAGGCTCCAGTACTTTGGCCACCTCATGAGAAGAGAAGACTCCCTGGAAAAGACCCTGATGTTGGGAAAGATGGAGGGCACAAGGAGAAGGGGACGACAGAGGACGAGATGGCTGGACAGTGTTCTCAAAGCTACCAGCATGATTTTGATCAAACTGCGGGAGGCAGTGGAAGACAGAAGTGCCTGGCGTGCTCTGGTCCATGGGGTCACGAGGGGTCGGACACAACAACTAAACAACAACAACAAAGAGCAAGTCACATTCTCTTTCTGCCTAACATATTCCATTAAATTATTAGGACAAACTAGGAGCAGCTGGTGGGGTGGGGTGATGCCACAGAGCTGCCCTCCTGAAAATGTAATCGCTGCCACTTACCAGGACAGTGTGAGCAGTGCTGAGATTAGAGCTCTGCTAACACAGCAGCTGTGCCAATCCAGTGATCCTGCCAGGGCACCTACACTGCTGCCCTGCTCCCACTCTGGTAAGCAGCAATGATGTCGGTGTCAGGCGGAAGGTTCTGCCCTACTGTACCAGAAGCTTCTACTTTATTAGCTTTTAGGTGCTAAGTGAATATTTTTTTCACTTTTAAGCTTTTAAGACATAGCTTAATGGTTGTTTTATCACTTTATTGCCAATTTGCTTCTGATACTCTTGTTAAAAGCAGTTCAGAAACAGCAGCTTGTGCAGAACAGGGCTGCAAGCCAGGACTGGGCCATATTACAAGAGGGTTTTATCAGCTGCATTGGGCTCCCAAGTCTATGCGAGTTTTAATTTTAAAATCCCTAGACAGATTGGTACCACCTCCTCCCATCTGTATCTACCCAAAGCTTGATCTTCTTTGGCAGTCCTGCTCAGAGTGACCCCATAAAATGAAGCAAGGTGGGCAGTCATCAGGAAGAGGGCCCTTTTATCACGGGCACTCCAGTTATGGAATAGCCTGTCCAGGATAGGTTGCCTTTGAAATTGATAAAATCTGGGCCTTGGGACTGTGTTTTCCTTTTTAATCTGTTTGGATTTTCAGTGTGTGGCAAGTTATGGTTTGCGTTATTTATGTAGCATCCCCCTCCCCCGCTTTTTAATGGTTTTATGTTTTATTTTGCATTTCAATTATTATTTTTTACTTATTTCAGAAAACTTTATGTCACATGGAGGGTAAATAAGTAATATTCTAGTAACTAAGTTGCTAAATATTAAAAGGAATTGCAACCAGTAAAAATTCTGGAGGTTAAGCCTGACCACTGAAATATGAATAGCCTTTCATTGGCAATCAATGCTTTTATTGGTCACTCACCAGACAATACAGGAAAAAATCCATCATATTTATGAGAGAGTCCAATGCCTCTTATTTCATTCATTAACCATAACTTAAATTAGAAAATTATTGATCTGTCTAGCAAATAAAACTATCCAAAAATGAAGATGAGAAGCAGACTGGAACGGTGACTTACACATACAAAAGAAACAAATTATGGACGAGCCTTAAAATAAAAGTTTGGATGTATGAAAATGGGACTTGCTTGCTATTCAAAATTCCACACAGCTGAACAGGAAACAGAATTATGAGATTCTAACCAAGCCAAGTTCTGTAAAGTAACTGGTACCTATAGGGCTTATTTCAGAATTCACAATGAGGCAACAAAGCCATCTTCATTTGCTTGATAATCTTTTGTTCCCCAGTGTTTAAAGTGTAAGATAGGAGTGAGGAACATTCTGCAGTCTGAAAGGCAACCTCACCTCTAGCGCCTTCCTGCCAGTGGTGGATTGGGCCAAAGGTAAAAAAAAGTGATATAGTGCAATGGATGCAACACTTTCCCTTTGTACAGCAGGCAATACATTCTAGCCATACGAAAGGAGGAGGTTTCTACATCCACACACATCTCTCCATCATGGCAAGCAAGAAACGTTGCCACAATTCAAAGTTCAAGAACACATTCCAGACATGAGGAAGGTATGGAGTCGTACCTGCTGATGGGGAGGGTGGTGTGGCCTATGAAGTGTACTGAGAACTGGACAGAGAGGCCTAGAGGGCCATATTCAGCCCTAGGGTCCAACAGTCCCCACCCCTGGTGTAAGGTTACCAAAATATGGACCTAGAACCTGCTCATTCCTTGAGACCATCTGAGGAGACTCTCTGCTGAAGCCAGATGAATGGGCCAATGATTGGACCTTCAACCCCTGGACCACATACCTAAGATCCACTCTTTTAGACACTGGGTGGAAAGATAAATGCTACAGATTCTAGTGCTGCTTTAATGCATTAACTTAACTGATGCTCATGCTTATGTTGGGTCCATCGTCTTATTATTTTATATTAAAAATACATTTTAATAGTTTTTATATTTAATTATTTAACCTTAAAGCCTTGAAACTATGTGCAGTAAGGAAGGATAGAAACACACTGAAATTCCCTCAGTACACACATCAAGCAAATACTGAACAGCTAGTTTGTAAGAGAATTCAGGAAACCTGACACATTCTCATTTCAACAATGGAGACAGTAAAAATGATAAACTTAACTACTTAAAGCTGCCCAAAGGAAAGCAAAATAAAATTTAAACCTTTAGCCTGACAACCATGGCATGTGCAGCCTAACTGCTTTCCATCATGGGCAAGTCCATCATACAGTACAGAAACAGGGGGAAATGGTATACCAACGCCTCAGTAATTACTACAAAGCTTTTGGGAGGTGGAAAAACTGCTTCACTAGAGACTGGCTATTAAAAACAAATAAACTCTCCAACAAAGCAAGTCAATCTGCAGTATTTTTTAATGTAATTTACATTCACAAATCACATTTATCTTTGGCATCATTAATTGGACAGAACAAGGTGGCACCTGGGACTAAAAAAAATTAAGTTAGATTCCTATAAATAACTGAACATCTTTCTAATGTGCCTTTCAAAATACTAGTTCAAGGGCATTTGTAATGACAATGTACCTTCTGTGCTACAAACAAAAGAACCTTTACACCCTGTAAAATCCACAGCTTTGATAGAAGAGATTTAACTCATATACCTCTAAACTGTTTGAGATACCAAAAACAGTTCCCCCAAGTGAAAACAAGAAATATTCAAAGCATATCCAAACCTATTAGCCAACCATATCCAGAAAACAAATGTTGGGGCTTCTGCTAAACTGCAAACTGCAACATGGTCAGAACATCAAAAAAACCAATATATAAACGTATTTTCTTCCTTCAATTGTATTGATCACTAAAACCTTTTCTCTGGCTGCTGCTTACACCTTGTAAAATGTTTTCATCTACTCCTTTCCAGTATTTATCAGAACTGGTTTTCTATGGAACCACAATACAGAATTACCACCCTCTTCAGTCTACAATTCAGCATCAGGTACGGGTATTTAATAAAGTTGCAGATTCTACAGCAGTTTTACAACTGGATTTGGAAAAACATGTTTTAAGAACTCTAATATTTTGCCTTATAGGTAAAGCATAAGAGAGAGGGCTGCCTCAGAATACGGTTCAGAAACTACAGCTAGTGCGCAATTTGCCAGCCAGGTTACTCACTGGGACAAGACAGTTTGAGCTTACTACACCGATCCTGACCTGACTGCACTGGCTGCCAATTGTTTCAGAGTCCAATTCAAAGTGCTGGCTTTGACCCATAAAACCTTAAACTTGGGCATCCACTACAATTGACTGAGTTGCTCACCGAACTTGAGGAACCATGAGGTAGTGAATGCTATCTGTGTTCTTCTCCTGAATGCAGGCAGGATCAATAAGAGTCTTCAAATTCTGGTACATCAGTTCAGTGATAAATGGAGTATAAGGTGCCTGGAATGACAATTTTTCATTACTTGGCTATTCTATATTTTGAAGTAATTACAAATGCGTTATAAATTGCTAAAACTCTTAGGTTGTATCCAACACTGCACAAGCAAAGTTTCACTTATACAAGAAGACTTCCGTTCCCTCTCTTCCTCTACGCCACTGCAAATCTGCTCCGGAGGATCCTCCAACTCTTCAGAGTTGGAGTCTTAAGAGTATGCAGAGGGCTAGAGAGAACAAGAAGTTTTGTTGTATGCACAGAATTCTGTTGGATATAGCCCAAGATATTCTCTGTTACTATAATGCAAGTTTTCATGCACAGTTTCCTGTCAAAAATGTACCAGCTACAGAGTTCAATCAGGAAACTGTTTCCAGTTGAACAACTTCCTCTGGCTAATCAAAATAACAAAATTACAAGGTCTAATACCACCTGATGACTGTACTTCTTACCTGGCCTTTTTACAGATAGGTATTAAACAAAGAAAATAGCTCATCTCAGAGACCAGGAAGGCAACCTATATCTCTTAAGCTCTCTAGACGCCCTCAGAGAACAGAGGAATGAAAGAAAGTGAATAGCATTCAAGTCAAGTGCATCTTAGCATGCACTGTCTTAGTCCTTGTCCTTTCACACCAGGAGACAGTGAACCTTCCAAGCCTTCTGACTACTGAGATTTCACCAGGCACAGTCCTGACACAGCCAGGCATTTCTTCCTGACTAAAGAAACTTGCCCTCACTCTCCTTCCCTTAATTAAATCAGAGACTGTCTGAGAGCTGGATTCTGCCCCAGCCCCACATTATGTGCTCCTGCAGAATCATAACCCACATGCAGCCCTAGCAAGAACCCTCTCTGTGTTACAAGCTGACTGCCAGGAGCTTCATGGGGCTATATCAAAAAGCAACGCTTCTGTACCTAAATCTGTAAGAGGATGACTGTAAGGTAAGGTAAAAGGTAAATGACCCCTGGACAGTTAAGTCTGGTCAAAGGCAACTATGGGGTGCGGTCAGGGCCGAATTTAGGTTTGATGAGGCCCTAAGCTACTGAAGGTAATGGGGCCCTTTATATGTGATATTTTAGGGAGCGGGCTAGCAGGCGGGGCCCATTACTTACATCATAGGAGTCTACACAACACAAAACACTGTTGCTGTATGTAGGTTTTATTTTATTTGTTTTTTATCTTATATTTTGGAAATGTACATCCAGTTTTTTTTCCTTTAATTTTTTTGGGGGGCCCCAAGAGAGTGTGGCCCTAAGCTATAGCTTGTTTAGCTTATATGTAAATCTAGCACTGGGTGCAGCGCTCATTTCGCTTCAGGCCAAGGGAGCCGGCGTTGGTCCACAGACAGCTTTATGGGTCATGTGGTCAGCATGACTAAACGGCTTCTGGTGCAACGGAACACCGTGATGGAACCCAGAGCACAGAGGAACGATGTTTACCTTCCCACCACAGCAGTACCTATTTATCTACTCGCACTGATGTGCTTTCAAACTGCTAGGTTGACAGGAGGTGGGACAGAGCAACAGAAGCTCACCCAGATTCGAACTGCCGACCTTCCAATCAGCAAGCCCAAGAGGCTCAGTGGTATAGGCCACAGCGCTACCCGCATCCCAGATGAATAACTGTACAGTTGTTAATTCTTACCATAAGTCTGCACATAGAGTGAAGAACGCTGAATAAGGTTTCTAAGGCCATAATGCAGTCATCTGTTCCATTTTCACCCTACTCAAGAAGTAGTCATAGATGTAAGAGAGATTAGACCAATAATTACACAAAATGGTATTGATCTTCAACACACAAATCAACAAAGTACTCAGCTTTAAAGGGAACCTGAATTAACTCAGGAGCAAACTACTTCCACCTCTCATGAATACACCCTGGAAACAGAAGTCACATACCTTTAACCTCCTGCGATTCATTCTGACATACCAGTTGGTAAGAATGTCTACAAACTTAACGAGACGAGGAACTACCGTGTACAGTCTGTAGGCTGAAAATGAGAGAGGAAATAGCAAGCTGTAATGTCCCATTAACCTTTTGGCTTCAGTCTCTTTTTCTTATCAAAATCTTGAAGATATAAGAACCACCTGGAGCCTGTGACAATACCTTAACAACATTAAAAATGTATCACTATAAAGAAAGAATGGATTTGACTATGAGTCCCTTATTCATGTTATCCATAGTTAAGAAATCCCTTTTCAAACCCTAGTTTCAAACTCATACTAAGAGAGCAAAAATGTTCAAATCTGTAAACAAACATTGGGTTTTATCCAAAGTTAGTCCTACTCTAAGTAGATGCACTGAAATGAATAGGCATAACTAACTAGGACCCAGTTATTTCAATGAATCCACATCACACAACCCACAAAAAGTAAATAAAACCACGGATACAGAAATCAGTATATTTCTACTGTATAATCTTGCAGCACCAACATGAATGTAATTAGAATCCTGAAATTGGAGGAAGCATACGCACCTGCCATTTCTGCTTTGAAGAACTGAATGAGTGACTGTGCAAAGGAAAGAATCCATTTATCCATGATATTGTTGCTTTCTTTAACTGTATTCTCATTGTAAAGGAATTCCTTTCCATCTTCCTATGAATATGGAGGTGGAAAAAGAGATTTAACTTGAGCCAGAGCAATATGTTGTGGAGGTGGGAAAGAATCTGTGGTTGGGGTAACCATAACAACATTATAGGTGGTTGGGGAGCAATTTTTTTATTTCTTTCCCCTTGTTTTCTCCTCACACTTCCCCTTCTATTTACTGCAAAAGGAAGATATTAACTAAGCCAGCTCAGGGGGTGATGTAGTTTTGGGATCTATTTAGGTGCATGTCAGGGGAGTGTAGTGACTGAGGATCTTACAAGTCCACAGCCTCACCATCCAAGAACACTCTGCTTGGCTCACACATCTGGCAGAACATAACGAGTAGGCCGAACATGCCTGCTGAGCTTTCCGCATGCCTACCAGGGACTGTAGTGATGTAAGTGCCATCCTGCCATCAGGTTTTCCTCTTCACCAGCAGAGCTGCACTTATGTCAGCTGCAAGATCACACCCTAATTCTTCCAATTTCAGTTGGTGTACTACAGTAGTACAGACCAGTATTGCCTCTGACTGTGCAACAATGTCAAGTGAAAAGAGAACTCCTGCAGTTCATGGGTCATTCAAGAAGTCAGTTGCAAATGTTATTCATTCATTAGACATGTTCTCATGCAGGCAAACACAACAGCTATTTGCAGATTTATTCTCTTTCTGTGACAAAGCCATCTGGGGTGAATGCCACTCCGAGAGTCTGTTCACCTTATCATGCTGCACTGAGAGGGTAGTAGTTTTCAGGATGATACCATCAGTTCAAATTTCTTGGCAAGTGTATCACATAGCAATAGTTTCAATTGCTTTAATAAGGTAGGATAATTTGAAAAGCGCTTCAGTCAAAAAATAGCTGCTTTCTGGGTTCTCATTTGAGGACCTCTCATTTGGACTTTGCTCCCATTAGCAGGGAACAAAGCACTTCACTTTAGTACTATGGTACATAATAACATTTTATAAATAGTTTAGCAGACGGTAATTTCAAAGCAAGCTTAAAAGGTTAAATGCAATGTAGAGACATTTGCCAGGATTTACTGCTTGCTCCTTGCATGAAATGAGGGAGTGGTCAGAAGCCCTCTTTATGGCACTATTCACCTTAATGCTATATACACAGAGACCCTTGAACAATGTTGAGCCACATTGCTATAACTTAAGGGAGGGGAGAGCTTCCTATTTGTGCAGTTGCCAGCACAACTTAGTTATGCAAAAGTCCTGGCTCCCATTTGATGAAGAACTCTTAACTCAGGTTGTGGTTTCCACCAAAGCCTTTAATGCTTTGATCAGTGCGATGCACGGACAAAATGAGGTAATGTGGTTCAAAGGCACAGCAGGTGCTGCCCACAACTACACAAGCAAAGACACGGATCCAACAACAATACCCCACTGAAATGCCAGGGAATGGGGTGGGGACAACTTGGCGCAGCAAACGGTTCTAGTCCTTAGAGTGGGCAAGCAACCTGGCACTTCTCTGCAAAGGCTGAACCTGCCCCAACTGTTCATTGCTTGTGCTGGCATCTCCATGGTCTAGGCGATGGAGGGGGCACCACTGCCTCATAAGAGGCGCGTGGGACAGGTAAGGCAGCAACCTCCCTGGGACAGGCAACACTATATGTGGTTTCTGGCAACTTCAGAGGCAGAGTTAGTGGCACGATAAGTGGACAAGCCAGAACCAGCTTCCTACAACTCAGAAAAAGGAGCCAATGCCTCAAGTTGCAGGTACAGGGTGAGAGAAACTCACCACCACTAGAATGCTCTCTAGTATCCTCTACCTTGGGTTCTCCTGACCTGAGCAAAGACCTTCCTAGCCCACTAGATTCCTTCCCAGGTCATCTATCTGCAACTCCTCTTCTCTCTGTTGGCTCAACCAGCCCTCCCCACTCAGGGCCCATAACAGCAAATACATCTCCCAGGAACTCAATACCACAAGAACAATACAGTGGCACCAAAACTAAGTTCAGAGTATGTAAAATATTAGGGCAGTTTGAAGAACAGTATTAGGAACATTGTCTGGGGACCCTCAGAAATAGCTGATTAATTATGCAGCTCCAAAGCGCTCCTTACAGAGGTGACTGCTAAAAATGTAAACCAATTTCCATTACTATTTATTGAAGTCTGCTGCCTTTATTGCTTCTAATAGCAAGGGCTCCATGGTGGTTTGAAAAGCTCATGTATCATGAGAGGTGAGTAATTATAAGCTCTTCAAGTTATCAATTTCCCATCGGAAACATAGTGTATTCACTAAGATAATGTATCTGTTGAGACTTTCCTTACCAAAGAACCAAACTTCAAAGGACCCGTGTTCTCTCTTCAAGTAAATTATTTGAAAGGCAACCATTTAGAAACCGTTGCTGAGAGAACAGATTAAGATTTAAGTACTGACTGACCAGAAGAGTTTTGAAATTTGTATCGCTGACAAGTCAGAAGTCTTCCCTCAGGTTGCCAAGTGTACTTTGTAAAAGTTATGAACCGCTTCAAATAAGCTGGTATCAATGACTAGAGATTATTACATATAGAAGAGATATATTGCTGTTCTTGGAATCCAACGAATTAAACGCAATCCTAAATACTGTATTGCCTTTTTTACCACTTTTTATGTAGAATATATATTACAGGAGGATTACAGATTTATTAAATCCCACTGGATAAAATGAAATGTTTCTTGACAATGAGGACCATAGACTTTGGAACATAAGTTAAATGAAGAATACACATTCTTAACCTAAACATTTCACATTTGAAACAGGGATGAGGAAAAAAAATGTTTATCAAATATTCCTTTCCATTCCCATTCTGCTTTCCTCAGAGCACTGTCCTCCAACCTAGAATAGTAATGGATGCCATTAAACTAGCAGTTTTTGCAAGTGTTAGGAATATAAACTGGGCTTCATAAAAAGTGTAAGACATACAGAGAGATACAGTGCCATCAAATCAGAAATTTCTGACATTAGAATTTTTTAACTTTAGTTACTATTACTCTTGTAAATTAGCATTTCAGAAGCCATTGGTGTACCAATAAACTGAACAGCTCCCCAATACAAGTGAACTCTAAATCAGATTCTTAGAATAATGCCAGTGGCATAATAATGCAATAATGCATTATTGCAATAATGCAAGTGGGCATAAATTGCAGCCTATAATTTTTTGTCTGCGACTACACTCTCAAACTGCATAATTAATACCGACTCGGGCTACTTGAGTTTGAGTTTCCCTCCCCTCCCTCAATTTTTAACATTTTTAAACTTTTAACCTCACCTTCTAAGAAGCTCAGGGTGGTATAAACAACTCTTCCTGAACCTCTGCTCACATTTGACCTCCCAAAAAATCATGTAAATTAGGTTAGGCTGAGAGAGAGTTCAGTTTCACAGAAAAGCAGGAAGCTTCCTTATACCAAATCAGAACATTAGTCTATTTAGGTCAGAATTGTGTATCTACACAATTGGTTCTCTAAATTTTCAGACAGGTGACATTCGCAGCCCTACCTGGAGATGCCAAGTATTGAACCTGGAAGCTTCTGTGTGCAAGGCCGATGCTTCCCCCCCCCAAAAAAAAAGTTTTCCCCATTACATTTAAAATAAAATAGATGATGGCATTAAGAATGATAGTGACTGACTCAAGGTCAGCACATTATCTTCATGGCAGAGTAGGGATTTGAAAGTGGGTCTTCCCAGTGATGGTCTGACACTATAAGCACTACATTTCTGGCTCCAACAAAATGCAAGAATGATAAACTGCAACCACAACGAACTGCACCAACACATGTTGCCTGAGCCATCTTGAGAGCCCATTTGACCAGATGAGCAGGACAGATATCATGAAGAATAACTACATACATTGGCAGCATGCCGTGTGACTAGAGATCCCATATTGATAAGCAAAATACAGTAATGACCAGAGAAACAACTTTCTTCGACAGTGCAAAGTTTTGTACCTTAAGTTGCAGAATGACAACGTTCTGAATGAGAAAGCGATATGCATTGTACCATGGCAAAAAGACATCCTTCAGTACATCTCTCACACCTTCTTCTTTAAACCTCAAGTTTTCGGCTCTCACAACAGGGGAATTGATAAGGTACAGCCTACAGCAGCACACACAAACAGAGCAGAGTAATGAAAATTTGGACATGGCTTTAAAGAAAACACACCAGATCCCTTTTTAATACACACAAATTAAAATTTCAACAATCCTCCACCCAGGACCCAAAATAATGTTGACGTCCTAATACTTTGTTCAGTGCCAGGAAATCTGTAGATGTTGCTAAGATACAACTCACACTGCTGAAATGGCAATTCTAATTGGCAGTATTAACAGAGGTGTAACCCCCACCCCACCCCCAAAATTCTGCAACTACATAAAAAGGCATTTCCATTTCTTGCATTAGTCCAATTTAGCTGGATATTTTCTGTCTTTCTTCTTACTCTATTAGGCTGCTGAATAGATCTTCAGAAAGCAAACATTTCTAAAGAACTGTGCTCAAATTACCATCACCCATCATTTCACATTTCCATATGACAAGATGGCTTTTGGACAAACTGATTTTTTTCTGCATAATGTACAAGAGCCTTGGTATTTTAACAATGCAACCCTATGTATGTATAGTTGGATAGAAGTCCCACTGGGCTAATTCCCAGGAAAGCATGCATAAGATTGCAGCCAAAGCTAAAGAATATGGTTAAAACTACCTACAACAGGGATACAGGGTTTGTAGTTAGTGGCCTAGTTTAAATGACATGGTAAGCCAAACTATGGCTTGCCAGGGCTATAAGTGTGCAGTTCTTTTGAGAGGAGTTTGCAGGCACTTTGCTCCATTTTGCTCTTGCACCACACTGAACAAAGCCAAGGCTGTTTCTTAATTTTCCTATCACATGTAATGAAAGTTGTCATTTTCTGCCGCGAGATTTCGAACATGTAGCTGCTTATTTTGTTTACCAGCTACACATTTTTATAATGTTGTTTTTCCCCATGCAGCTGTATTCCAAAAGAATGGGCTTCAAGAGACTGTTCCACAATTCTTCCCAGACATCCACTGGAATATTTTTACCTATGTCCTGAGTTCATCTAACCTTCTACTCTTTTTCATGTTCTGATTCCACGTCACATTTCAGCTATATATATTTTTGAAAGTACATGTCCGCTAATGTGCATAATTCATTTTTCCAACTCTGAGATAATCCTCCAAAAATATCAAACTAGAAAATATTCAAACGAAGAGAGATTTCCCCATTCAATTTTGTTTTGATCTCAGAATATACCAAGCCAGTGTGGTGTAGTGGTTAAGAGCGGTAGTCTCCTAATCTGGGGAACCGGGTTCGCGTCTCCGCTCCTCCACATGCAGCTGCTGGGTGACCTTGGGCCAGTCACACTTCTTTGAAGTCTCTCAGCCCCACTCACCTCACAGAGTGTTTGTTGTGGGGGAGGAAGGGAAAGGAGAATGTTAGCCGCTTTGAGACTCCTTAAAGGGAGTGAAAGGCGGGATATCAAATCCAAACTCTTCTTCTTCTTCAATCATTAAATCCAATGGAGATGGTCAGTTTTCCAAATTTCAAAACCATTAACTGTATCTATACTTTAGTTGTATAGCACAGAATTGAATGGGGAAAGGCTTGAGTTAAATAGCCTTTTAAAACAATCCCAAACTCTTAAAATATTGAGTATTAAATGGTTGCTCTTCACCAACCTATCGCTACCCTCAGATGCTGTTGAACTCCCACTCTAATCAGTCTCAGGTGGCCCACCCAATGGATGGGTTGACGGGAACTGTAGTCCAATGTCACCTGGAGAACCAGATTCCTCATCCCTAATAGGCAAAGTTTTAGCCAAGGAACCAAAAGACAAAAGAAGGCCACTAATAAACTCACTCAGTACTTGTTACTCTCCTTTAGAGTTCTTCACTTCCTTAAGGAGTATAAATGTGCAGCTGTTCAAAAATACCACATTTATCAGTAAGCTGCAGAGGATATTTCTGCAGTACTGAATCAAAATTTGCATATGGGGAAAGGGAAAAACTTCTTCCACAGAAGCTAAATTAGCTCAGTAAAAAAGAAAAAACCCACGAGAAAGTCAGAAGTAGTTTATTCTATAAACAGAACACAAGTGCTTGACATCAAGCACTTCAAATAAGTTCAGACATCTGAACTGGAGCTCTCTCCTTAAATGAACCTAGCAAGCACTACTTTGCATTGTGTGTGGGAGTAAGTATAAATAAGACTTTAGTGTACACATAGCAGGCAGGCAGAAAGCAAAAACAGATTTATCTTGCTGGAAAAATGAGGACAGCAATGAATACTCTTGAGAGCTGGGCATTTTCATTTAGGTAAAGAAAATAAAATTTACTGAAGTCTGACATACAATATTTTATCTTGCCAGAAATATATTTTAGAAAGACAGTGTTCTTTAAGGTGAACAAATACAGCTAATAATTCAAACCATATACACACCAAAAAGTGCTCAAGTTCTTCAAGGCTTCCAGAATACAATCAGCTATATATTTGGTTTAGAGCCTACCAACTTCTGGAAAAAAATTAACCATATAATGCTGTGTAGACCTGGAAAGCCTAGAGATGGGATATACAGCCTAGGAATGAAAATTCCCACACATAGACACCTAAGCTGTGCAATCAATTTGGCACTTACAATACAATCCCCAGGCTTAAGGACTATGCACAAGAAGACACCCACACGTGTATAATCAGGAGCCCCGGAGACACAACATGCTGGTAAGCGCATATGAACCAGCCTAATGTCCCACACCACCAACCCAATTGTCCTTGCTATAATGTTTTTTCAGTATTTTTAAGATGATTTTGCATGCATCCACACATTCACACAGATATTTCAATGTGGAAATTAAAAGGAGCTGGCAGTGATGCGAGGCCTGCCTTGTACTTTGTTTGCAGTACTGGACAATCCATTATTCTTCATTCAGTCTAGCACTCTGTTTATACCAGTGGTGAACCAAATGCTTTTTGGAAGCTTTTACAATCTGGACAACTTCACCATTCCATTGTGATGCCTCACAGCACTCCCTCCCCCCTTTTGCATATTATAAAAGTATTTTTGTTCAAGATGTATACAGTTGTTCTGCGGTTGTATCTACCTTCTTGTACGAAGTTCTGAGAAGAAGCACACACACACACATTGCTACTGCATGAACAGCAGTAGCTGCACCAGCCAAAGCAAGGAGCAAAAGCCAAATTTTGACTGGCTATACCTAAGCAGAGGACCCACAAACATTAATAGAAACGGGGGGGGGGGGAGAAACAATAGCAGGATCCTACCTTAGAGCATCAGCCCCATAAGAATTTACAATGTTTGCTGGATCCGGGTAATTCTTCTTCCTTTTGCTCATCTTTTGCCCATCACTAGAAAAGATTAAAGATGGAAACTATGACAAAGTATGCATTGCTGATAAAGTTCTCAAAATTAATACAAATACTCTTGGGAAATCAGTCTACTATTTTTATGATAGAAAGTGCCAGTCCCCTCAAGAGCAGATTATATTTACTTTCACAACAGCCTTATTGCAAAGTGAAGAACAATGGAACAGGTGGAGAAACGACCATAGTTCTTTCTAGCCATATTTATGTCTTGGGTGATAATGAGCTTTTTTACTTTATTCTACCCACTCCCAACGATATATAAACTTGTATCATTTTGGAAGGGATTGGGCTTTCAGTGTAAAGTAATTGTCATTCAGCTAAGGTTGGTTATTCAATGAAGGATTACACAGCTTAGAACTACATTTCAAGCAGAACCTCAGGAAAGAGCAAGATATTAACAATATTACTTGCCTGGCAAGAACTAGGCCATTTACAATTACATTCTTGAAAGGGGGCTTCCCAAAAAGAGCTGTGGACAACACGAGCAATGTGTAAAACCTGAAAAACAAATTGATAGTTAGCAGCTGATTCTAGGTTAATGCTAAAATATCACACTTTCAAGCCCTTGTATGCCTTCAAATTTTAATTGACTCCTTTTAGCAGATTTCAAACCCCAGGGATATTAATAAGAAATACATGGTGATAGTTATCCAAAAGTGTCATTTTATTATGCAGATCTTCTGGAAAATCTTCACATATTATTTCCCCCCTATTGCTAGCTTCTAATCTTGTAACAAACTACATTATCATACAAAACAGTCCTCCTTCCAAAGCTACAGTGTCCTGCGTTCAAGAAAACTGAGTGACATAATGATGCAGAACCTTCCTTTCATAATGTGACTTTGTAGCATTGTGTGTACATCACATTTGTAAATGTTGCTTAACACAGTCCTACAGTCACTTCAGGGTAGAGGTGTGTAAGCCTGTGAACACAAATATATAAAAAAATATATATATACATACACAAACCTTCATCTTTCACTTGGGACTTGATTATAATACTCAGTAAAGGAACAGAATTGCACTGGGATTACAAGGCTCGTTAGAAATTTAAATTTTGTTTTCCCATGTATAATAGTTCCTAAAAGAAGTTATCTACATCACTGGAAAATTAACTCCATGTCATGGAGTGAAGTTTTGTGTGTGCAGAAGTTGCCAGTAAAAGCCGGAACATGCTAGAATATTCTAGCGCATCTGTAATTTTCCATTCTTCTCACAGCACAGCTGTATGCTTACAGGCTGAGTCTTACCTTAGTGCCAAGGCCACTGGGAAGGGTATATCAGCTAGTCAGTGTACAGTTTCTCACTCTCATTTCTTCTACTGACTTCTATTCTTTGCTTTCATTTTATATTTGTGTGGTGTACTTTTTATGCTGAAACTGGATTTTTGCTCTAATAGGAGCCAAGTTGTACCTTGCTAGTGATCTAGCAGTGAACTGTAAGCTGTAAGCCTTAGTAAATCTCTGCTAAAGATTTTTCTGTGTTCTGTGGCTTTTTGGGATGCCCGCCACTGCCAGAGTTCCACTACTCTGGTAATCAAGCAATGGTCGGGGATGTCCTGGGGGCTGGGGGCACAGATCCAGACATTTAAGAACAAACTAGCTAACCAAATACAATCTTTGGAAAAAGGAAAGCCAAAAGTAAAAGAAGTGACATCTAGCTCTTTACCCTCAGTGAGAGAAATCAACAACTGAAATAATCCAGCTTTTCCTTACTGTTTTTATCAGCTAAAATGGGGGTGTAAGGTTATGAAAGTATACAATGCAGTTCTACTGCTGAAACTAAGCAGATGTGGCCCTGAAAGTTGCCTTGATTTGAGGCTACCTGAAAATCAAATGCAAATTTCTCTGAGCTTTTCTGTCTAGTGTTCATGAATTACAGTGAGTTAGACCACCATGTAATTCTCTGTTGGGCTGTATCTGAATGGGTCAACTTGTCTCATTTTGTAAAGAGCAAGGTACTATGTAGATACCATTTGCTGATTCCCCCCGCCCCCATCCCACAAAATACCTTCAGGCTTACCTTGGCCAGGAAATGATACCTAAAAGTTATTCGCTTATTACAAGTTTTGTAGCCAGGTTTCCTATGGCCAAGTCTTTCATCAAGTATTGTTAGTTAAGTACTTTGCTCTCTGGATTTTTTGTTAGGTAGACGGTGAAGCAATTTTAATTTCCATATTGCTGCCTTTTGCCATGGGTCTTCTGTAGCCACCTACCTATTCAATCAGCTAGTGCAGGTATCTTCAACCCTTTCAGACCCAGGAACCACTTTAAACCCAAACATGCATTTAGGGACCCTTTTCTTAATCTTTTACCATATATCTGCATGGCAGTAGTGCTCCTGTTTGCAACCCACCTTGGATCAGACTGCAACCAGCTAGTGGGTCCCAACACACATTTCACAGGTAAGGTTATTGAAATCATTCAATAACAACTACTTTCTTTCTTCCTTTAAAAATCTCTGTCCATGAAACTTTGTTAGTTCAGTGCTCACTATACAAACATGAGCCAAATTATATTTCAAGTACTCTTTTAAAGTTATCCAGATTTCCCAGTGCTCTGCAGTTGTAAAACCCTGTACAGACTAATAACAAAGAATTACCATCCTCTGGTTTGGTCAATGCCTTCAGCAATGAAGTCAGCAGGAAACGCATCTTCAAATTCTCTTTTGTTCTCAAATGGGTAATGGACTTGGGCATAAGGCATGCTCCCACTCTCAAACCAGCAGTCAAACACTTCTGAAACACGATGTAATACACCTTTGCCGCAGCGCGAGGGGATGGTTATATAATCAACGCTAAAGGGAAAATAATCCAGCAACAGTTTAGACACTGAAGGAACCCAATTACAGAAACTGATGCCAATCCCAAACTTCTATATCTAACATATTCAAATTGCTTGCATAGATTTTCCAAAATAATTCAGAACTGAAAGGGTTTCACTAATTTAGCACAAATACAATATACTTAAATTATTGCTAATGAATACAAATTGCTGAAAGCTACCCTAATGTCCCACATATCTCTCCAGGTCAGTTTCCAAAGAATGATAGTTGACAGATAACTAGCTAGCTAACACTAGAAATAGCCTATGCTTCCCAATAAAACACTGCATTTCAAACCACGTCAGAAATGCTTTTGCAGAAGATCCTTATACAATCCACATCAGTCCAGAGTCTGAATCTGTCAGCTAAAGCAACATATTATGGGGTTCCATTAATAAACTGTTATCATACAGGAGTTTTTTGTGGGGGTTGTACAGATAAATGGCCAAAATGATGGCACTCCAGCCTGTGTCAATCTCTGCTTAAGCTGCAGCTACAGAAGGGTTGGGAGAAACCCCATAACTTATGTGTATGGGTTCACACAGGGAACCAGACTGAACTGAAGGGAACCAGACTGAACTCAATAAGCCAGTGGTGGGAAACCTGTTGTTCTCCAGATAAGGTTGTACTGTAACTCACCATCCCTGTCCATTAGGTATGCTGGCTATTAATCAATATTTTAAAGATTCACAAATTATCCATCCCTGCTCTAAACAGTGACATAAGCTAGTTGGTAGTGTCTCCCCACCAGGTTGAAAATTAAACTCTTGGATTTGCTCTCATTCAGAAGTTAGGGGAAACTGAGAAGGTGGGAAAGTAGCAAAAAATGATATTCTGTAATTTAAGGTGTTGCACAGCAGCAGGGCTATCTCCAGAGAATTGCCTGATAGTCCCTTTCTGGTTTGGACAAACAACCAGTTTTTAGACTCTAATATCAGGATGGTATTCTGAAATGGATTCAACATCCACAAATGAGAGCAGAGATATTTCTGAGCTACAACAGACCCTGGCTTGCTTTTGTTACAATCACTTACCTTTCTCTGTGGAGATCAGTCACTTTCACTCCTGACAGCTCTTCCAGTTCTGCTACAGATCCAATACAGACCACCTGTTAAATCCAATACAGTGGTACTTTGGGTTACAAACACCTTGGATTACAGACACTTCGGGTTACAGACTCCGCTAAACTGCTAGTAGTACCTCGGGTTAAGAACTTTACCTCAGAATGAGAACAGAAATCACGCACTGGCGGCACGGCAGCAGCGGGAGGCCCCATTAGCTAAAGTGGTACCTCAGGTTAAGAATGGTTTCAGGTTAAGAACGGACCTCGAGAATGAATTAAGTTCTTAACTAGAGGTACCACTGTATGTCAAATAGGATTTGTTAATGAACATAGTTCATAGCTGAAGCATGCAACTGGAAAAGTCAGCTGATACTACACTTCTAAACCTCTTATACTAATTGATTGCTATGAAGCCCAGCAGCTGTTTGAAATATTTGTAAATTGGTTTTAGCAAAGCTGAATCACTTCATATTTCCACATGTTTGTAAACATCACAGGTGCTAACCTTGTGATAGCATAGGCAATGGCATGCACTGTAAGAAAAAATGGAGGCAAACAAACTACCCAAACCAACACACTTTCTCAACTTCACCACTGTCACCAAGCGGTTATCTTTCCCCGCCTCCCCATGACTCCACTAAATAGCCCTTTAACCTTTTGGATTTTAATTTTCCCAGTCAACTCCTTATACTAGGTGGAGTTGAATGCAACTTAGGCATCTGAGCAAGGCCTCAAACCAAATTGTGATTTTACTTAAGGTTTTAGTAATGCAACAAGAGACCTAATTATAGTTTTTGTTGTTATCCAAAACAGCAGATTAAAATAGTAATAACAGTTTGAAATCAAACAAAACTTTTCCTTCCCTAGTTAGACCTTTTAAAAAGGTGTCCATTGGATTTCATCAGCAGATTGATTGTTTTTGACAATAGCAAATGGAAAAAAGATGGAAAAAGTTTTAACTAGCAAGTTTTAAATAAGTATGCCAACTCTAAATATGGAAAAAATGCTTTTTTAAAAACAAGCTGCAGATATTGATGGAAGAATCATTTAATGCTTTTGACACACCAGCAATCTAGAAAGTAAAACTGTCTCCCCGAATTACCATGACAGCAGGATCGCATGCATTCCAGAAACAGATGTACCCCAGAGAAGTGCCTGATACCTACTCTGTTCATTCACAATATACTTTTTGCAGGTTTTGTGGTGCCTAGCTAACTGAGCATCATTAAGACATGTCACCATTCTGAATAGTAGTAAAATCCAGCAATACCTCCATTTTAGCAGTGGCAGGGGAAAGCAGCCGAAGCATGAAGTAGTCAATTAGTAATCTGCCCAAAATGGCAATGGAAACCTTAAGCCCTTGAGGATCACACCTTTTCTCTCGTTGATCTGATCTACAATTGCACTCTAAGCACAATCATAGTAAATAAAATGTAGCAATCTTGACTTAAATTATTTTTACTCACCTCTTCAAAATCATCACTGACCCACAATGGGATTGGCGTCCCCCAGTATCGATTTCGTGAAATTGCCCAATCACGTGCCTCTCTCAACCAATTTCCAAAACGCTTCTCTCTCACAAAGTCAGGAACCCTAAGTTTTAAAAAGAAAACCTTACTTACAATAAACAAAAATCAAGAGAACTTGTTAGGCATATGTGGACACCCTATGTTGGAATATTATAACTTTGATAGCGTGTACTTTATTTACTTCTCTCGTTCATTTAGTCATGAATAAAGGGTCACAACAGTGATCAGAAATCAACACACTTTTCTCCAATTTCCAATTTTGTGGTTTGCTATAAAAGTAAATGTTTCTGGATCACCCCTCATGTATGGAAAAGAGGAGACTGAAGGTCACTGTGGCTCACTCATGTAGCAGTAAACCATGCTTTTCTATAACATGTGAAACCAAGGTATTACCTACACTTAAAATAATTTTAGATGCAAACAGGTTTATGCTGATCTAGTGTTTTGGAGAGGGTTATTTCATGTGCCTCCTTTGGTTCACCAAATTGCAATGCACTTTCAGAAGAGATATGGGATTCAGGTTCTTTAGAGACTTTGGGTTGGCGCCTCTGGCAATGGCAGATTTCCTCCGATCGGGAGGAATCCGCTCCGTGGAAAACAGGGTCTGAACTGCCACGGCGAGGGGGAGACCCACTAAAAACCACAGGCGGGAGAAGCCTGTGGACTTGGGATTCGGCTGGCACCCTTTGCGCCTCCCCTACTCGCGGGGAAACCCGGTTTCGGGGATCCGGAGCGACGTGGGGTGAGTGGCGTGGTGCTTTGAATCGACTGCTTCTTTCACGGAGTGAAGCCGCATTGCTGTTGCCGGAGAGCACTGACTTTTTTTCCTGTGGACAATTGGATTTTAAACAACTGCCCGTGAGTAGAACGGAAAATTGGATTAAGAAACTTTTTAATTTGGCATTGAAGCGGGAAGGTCTAAACAGGAAGTCCGCCTTCCGCTTTTGTAGACAGTTTGAAGCAAAGACACGGCAAGCTAGAGTTTAGAAAGTCGTCTATAAAGGATCAAATTTCCATCATTTAAAATTACTGAACCCCCCTTGGAAGCAGGAGAAGAGGGGGAAACCTTTTTTTAGACTGTTTAAACCTGCAGAAGAGAGAGTAAAGAAAGGCAATTTTCCACCGTCTTGAACCTGGGAGCGGGGTGTCAGGACAGACGTTTTGAGAAAGTTCATTGACTATGGACAAACGTTTTATGACAGATAGTTAAAAGAAGAGAAACATATTGATTCCATTGTTCCCCTTCGCATTTAAAAGGAACAAAATATTGACAAAATATCCGAAAAAGGAAAACTTTTGTTGCTAGATCTGCTTAAAAAAAAAATGGATACAAATAGAAATTGTTTCCCCTAGAAGGAGCTTGTGAAACTGTTATTAAAGCCGAACTGGGGAGCTTTGCAGCTGTAATAGATTAAGATTGTGGGACCAGACTTCGACCTTGAACAAGAATGTGCTCCGAGGCTCTGGTGCTTGCTTTTTGCAAGACAAGTGCTCTATTGGAACAGTTACATGAGAAGATGGATTTGACAAGTGCTTTATTGGAACAGTTACATGAGAAGATGGATTTGATGACTGTTGCGATCGGAAATTTTGGACAGGCAGTGGGTACCTATATAGAACCCACTCAGGAATTAATCCAGGAATGTGCTTTGACAGATCAGATGAGGGAGGAGGTTGTTGCTGGACCTCGGGTGGCAGAGATGGAGGGAGCTGTGGCCCAGCAGGAACATGAGTTGTTGGATTTGACGAATGAACCTGGAAAAAGTCAGATTTGGAGAGATGGAGTCCAATTTGGCTTGGAGATGGGGGGCTGGATAGACCGCCCTATGCAGGGATGTTTTGACCTTTCAAGTCTGGCTTTGGGCCGGGGGGAGCTCGGAGTTGTGGGGGCCTTTAACTTTGGAGGGACCTTGAAACATGCCTTTAAATATCACATGGATTTCAGTGTTGACTATGGAAAAGGGGCTGACTTGTCGAGATGGGACAAAAATATTGTCAAGCTGGAGTCTCTCCGAGTGAAAGGAGCAGAAGACAAAGTAAAGTACAGGTATAAACATGAAGAAGACCTGAGGGAGGGACATGGAAAAGACTTAAGAGCCTCGGATATAAGGTCACCAGGTTGATGAACTAGATGGATGGGATAGAAAGGACTGACAAAACCCGAGACCAGGAAGAAGAGACGATGGATGAAGATTGGAAGAAAGTTTTAAAAATTTATTTAGAAAAGTATTGTAAAATTAATGAGTATTAGAAAAATGTTGGAATGAAATTATTTGGCTTTAGCAGAAATGTTAAAAAGAATTATGTAAGAATATGTTATGGTTAAGAGAATTTAGTATAAATAAGATTTAAGTTTTAAGTTTTTGGGTTTCTTATGGTAAGATAAGGTTAAAGTAGATTAAGGTAATTTAATGACAGAATATTGTGAAAGATGGAAAGGATTTGCTGAGATAATTATCAACTAGAATACAAAAAAGGGAGGTGTGAGGAGGTCGATGAAATAAGTTAATGACAGTTAAGGATCTGGGAATATTGGATTTGTTTTTATTTTATTTTTATTTTATTTTTTCTTTTTGATTTTGATGTATTGTGTGTTTTGTTTTTTCTTTTTGACTTTGGTTTTTACTGATTTGTATGGTTTAATTGTTACTTTTATCTACCTTCTTCTTTCTTTTTCTCTCTCTCTTGTTTTTTCCTTCTTTTTTCCTTGTAACCTTAAAATTCTCAATAAATATCATTTAAAAAAAAAAAGAGATTCAGGTTCTTTACACCATGTTGCTGCTATATCATCCTACAACCTAGGCTTCCACAACCTTGGGCATTTGCACCTTTTTCATCCTTGTTTCTTATTTCCCACATGCTATCTCACAATAATAGGATGCCAGGAAATAACTTGGTCCCTAAGTTATCCCCCAAAATGAACACCCTAAATATACATAAAAGACTTCTGCTGATTGTCACTGTATATAAACCCAAGCGAGTATGTTTTGTGCTTGCTGCTTAATATTTGGGCAACAGGTCTCATTCTGTGACTTTTCTATGATGTTTTAAGTTATTTTTTGGTTGCAGGAAGTATAAGTCAAATTTCCACCACAACTATTTAGCTTTCCAATCGCATGAATTTCCTTGCTTTGAAAGAATCTAAGTGCCTTTGAAAGTGCTAGAGCCTCAGTTTATTACAGTTATACACTTTGTACTGACCTAAAGAGACCCAGTCTAAGCACAAGTGGAAAACTGAATTAAGATAAAAGAAGAGCATTTGAACAATTCGCTAATGTGAAAAATGAACTTTGCAACCTTTACAATAGCTTTCAACTACAAGACGCTGGCAGGTGGCACCTGTAGCTTAAAACAGATAAAAGCTACTTAAACTGTGAATAGATGCTAACAAGAGATCCAAAAGTGCAACAATGCAGGCAATGTAGCTTATGGACACAGATATATTTTTCCTTTAATTGAGAAACTGAGCATCTGGGAACATTTTTCATTATTACTAAGAGCTGAGGTGAGGCAGAACAGAGGTAAGCTGACCCCTGCACTCTCCAGATTTGCCTCTCTTACTTGCTGTAACAGTTACATCAACAGCATTCCCAACCTGCAGTGGGCCTGCCAGCTTTGTTACTACAGAGAGAGTCACAGGTCAGACTTTTCCTTTTCCTGCCCCTCCATTTGCTGGTGCAGCAAAGGCACCAAGGGAAGGCTGCTTGCCTTTGGGTAAGCAGAGAGATGATAAAGGTTCCTTTTGTCCCTCATTAAAATGACAAGACATTTTACTGATACAGTAACAGAGTTAAATTAGGCCTCAAATCTGAGTGTGCACTTTTACAAACGCTCAACTTTAATAAGACATGATGGAGTTTTCTTCAAGCAAGTTATTCTTTTGCACAATGGCGTACATTGAACAAGGTCATTTGTTATTTAACCATCACAAATATTATATAAAAAAAATGAATGCAAAACTCGGTTGGCTGTATGAAATAAACAAAGTCACCCTTACACATGACTTAACTAGTCTTCCAGAACAGTTGCTTTATTCTAAATCAAGGGGAGAGGGGATACAGCTCAAGGCCCAAGCGCAGTCTTTTAGACCCAACACAAACTTGTATCACTGGCCTCCTCCCCCAAACATATCTATCCCATACATACAATTTCTTGAGTCATGAAATAAAAGTTCCTGTTTTAATTCTGAAATTACATTTTCTGCATTGCTGAACTTACAAAATGCCCCACAGTGGGACTTTTCAACCATGCTCCAAAGCACTCCCACCTCCCTGCGGTTTTGGTTTACCACAACATCCAGCTTGAAGACGAGTTTTCACACGATACAAACTAACAAGTGAAGTGAGCATAGTGATTTCAAAAGATATCTTTGGTCCTGTATTCTGATTTCCCACACCTCTCCCACTTCCAAAACCTTCCGGATTTTAGATAGTAAATTGACACATTTAAAATAGGGTTTCTCCAGAAAGGTTTTACAGTGCACCACGGTGCTGTTTTATTATCAGTTACAACCACTTCCTTTTGTTTATTCGTTCCTTGGAAGATACAGCAGGATCATTTGTCAAAATTAAGATAAACTGTTGCTAGGTTCTTAAAATATGCCAGTTCCAAAATACATTAGTATTAAGTTCTCTCATTAAAAACAAATTAGAAATTCAATTAGGTTATAAAATTAGTCAAACCACATTTAATCTAGTTCATCAGAAGCAGTGCCTATGTGGAGTAGAAAGTATTCCTATGAGAAATCTAGTCCTAGCAGCCAGCAAGGATTCTAAAGGCAGTGCAGGCATCATACCAATTCCAAAGGATGCTATAAAGGCATCCCCTCTTTTATCAACCCTAGTTTAAAAATTCTGTAAATCCCTCAACAACCCCATTGGGGAAAAATAGAGAATATCACTGGACCTTTTCATGGCACTAAATCAGACAGATCTGCAGACATTTTTGCACACTTTCATTAAGTACCAATGCTGACCCAAAGCATTTACATATAACATGGCGCCGTACTCTGATACCTACACATGCAAATTTATCATATAGCTTCAACTTCAAAGGAGAGCAGCTCAGCAGGCTACTAAAACGGGCTTTGAAAACCTGATAGCAAATAACGGGCCTAATATCAAATATAGTCCTCTCTCAATTCCAGAAAACATTGTTCATGCTGTGTGCAAGGTGGAATAAACTATCAACAAAACTGTCCAAACAATGCCAGGGAATGCTGGGGAATGATGTTGAGCACCAAGCTCTTTCTTGCTAGATATTTGGGCTCATATTAAAAAATATTATATTCAAAATCAAGGTGAGAGTTTAGCATCACTAAACTGCTTGAATAATGAAGATATCCCAACAATTAGACAAGATTTGTTAACCATACTAATAATGACAGCTAAATTCCAAACTGTCCTACGTTGGACATTCCTCTCTCGAGGGCTAGCAGACAAAAATCTAAGACACCTTCAAAGAGGACAAAGGAACTACCCAGCTAAAAATTCTGTCCAACCCCAAAAACATCAACAACTTTCTAGTGAAAAGGTTCCTTTTTCATTCTGACATGTATGGATTTAATTAAGCTCTTTTGGAAAAACCCAGCTGCAGACAACTTAAATCTTTGTACACTTCTCACAAATCTATTGCTAGTATGACTATCAGCGCTGTACCACCTGTTATGTGACTTTAAATGTGTACTAAAAGGAATAAGCAAAAATCAAATGACAGTAAAAATAAATGAAAAAGGTGCACTATAAACCAGCCTTCTCCAATGTAGTTGGACTCTTGAGCATTTCCTAAGGAGAGTTTGAGTCCAATAACATCTGAAGTGCACCATTTTGGGAAACGCAGTTGAAATGTTTATTGCCTAATACAATCCCGTAAGAACGAAACCCTAGAAGTCAGTTAATTAAAAGCTCAATTGCCACCTTTTCCACAGAGACATAATTTTCTTTCACAGAATAATGCACTGTCATTTGCATATTTTCAGTGTATACTTTCAAGACAGTAAAAGCTTGCAGCAGACAACAATTAACATAGAAGGCAAATGCTTCAAGCTTACAACTATTTTTCCCGTAAGGTCATTAGCAGCTCTCAGGACTGAATACCAAAGATTGCACTTGCTTGCTATGGAGCCTTTATAAAAATGTGAACCATGCATTTGCCTACATCAAGCCAGAAAGTCACACTGGAATCATTTATGGAAACTTACATAAAGGCCCTACTTAAATTTAGCTTCCATGAAAAGAATATGACTACGAAAAATTATTCATGTTAACAGTATTGCAGAGAAACCAACACATACATTTTTAGTCTCTTTCTTTTAGATTTTTCCCAAGAAACAATAACAGCAAAAAAGCAATTTGCCCCTGAAATACTACTATATTTATCAGGCTCCCAAATCCTAAGGGAAGAGAACTCTGACACACTCAGATGTTTACCCTATTATGTAAGTTGTAGACTGCAAGAATATCTATCTGTTAAAACGCCCAATTGTATACATTACTTTCTGTCACCCTTGATAAATGGTACACGTCTTTATTTCCATTGCACCATGAGTTGTAGAAGAGGTGGAAAAGATTATTCCAACACAAAAGGGCTGCCAAAGATTGACTCGAAACTGAAGCCCAGTAAGACTAAGACCAAAGACCAAGTTCACCTGGCAGCAGACACGTGCCCTTGGCCGATAGGTAGAGACATCAAAAGAAAGAAGCAGCATTTGGAGCAAGAGATCTCCATCTACTGACACAATAGTTGGAATTCAGACTCCTTGTTCAATCAAAGCAAATGTCAGAAAAGATCAAGACTTTACTGGCAAATGTCTACACCTCATTAGAAAAACAGACAACCAAATATTAGAGAAAATACAGGAATTCTGCATGGATAGTAGCTATGTGAACATCAATAGCTTCATGCAACAATACTAATGGACTCAATGCAACAGCAGTTTCTAGTATGGTCCTCAGAGAAATTAAAAGTAATCTTCCCGTCCAAGTGTACTTGGCTACTGGATCAGTTCACACATCACCTTAAGCCATAGGTGAAAACAAACTGTGGTAAAATTCAGTGGGATCGACTGCAGCAATTTTTCTTTACAGCCTGGCTTAAGCTCAAGAAACCTTTTTCCAGCTTAAATTCAAGTAGGGGATGTCAGCCACACAGCAACAGAGTTCCTTATTAAAATAGAAGTGGGGGAGAAATAGCTGCAGGACAATAATGAAACTATGAAGTAAAACGGTAACTGAGGAGATTACCAGTAGCACTGGGCATTATTTTCCAGCAACTTCTCCACCATGTGCTCCACACGGACAAACCAGCTTGGCACAGCTTTGTATATTAGAGGAGTATCTGACCTAAAATAAATGATATGAAAAGAAAATTAGGCACGCTCTTTAGGTATTCTGCAATACTTGTTGCGCCAGCTTCACAAGTCACCCCTCTAAAATTCAGTAGCAAAATTCCCATTGATTTCCACACACAGCGTGACTGTGCCCCTTGCCTCCAGAGTCTCACTGAAATGGCAACTAATATAGAACTCCAATATATCACCCAGGGAAAAAGGAAAGCTATCTGAGTACATGAATACATGAGGATACCAATTTAGTCCATAAGAAGTGGGAAGTCTTTTATTTAAAACCCACCTGGCAAGGAACTTAAGAATACAGTTACTGAATCATGCATCAAGGAGAATCGTAGAGGACACCTTGCAAAAGTATAGATTCATCTTCCTTTAAAGATTCTTCCGTAAAGCTTCTGAAAGGTTTCCTTTGCCCCATACAAGCATAAAATTAGAAAGGTTTAATAATACATTTAAGAAGAAGGGCCATAGCTCAGTGGCAGAGAACATGCTTTGTGTGCAAAAGATCCCTAGTTATCTTTTGGGATCCTTGGCATCTCCAGGGAGGGTTGGAAAGGAACCCTGCCTGAACCCCCCCACAGAGCTGCTGCCGGTCCCTGTAAACCAGGCATAGGCAAACTTGGCCCTCCAGATGTTTTGGGACTACAACTCCCATCATCCCTAGCTAACAGGACCAGTGGTCAGGGATGATGGGAACTGTAGTCTCAAAACATCTGGAGGGCTAAGTTTGCCTATGCCTGCTGTACTGGGCTAGATGGAGAAATCCTCTGACCCGGTATAAAGCAGCTTCCTGTTCCTAAACTCAGTTTTCACTATTAACTTCTTATATTAAAGACAACACAGGGACTGTGCCTGCATTCAGACTCTGCAATATTTTAAGATGCCATGGGCTATTTGCTAATCTGTCCAGACATAAGCTGCTGGAAAGCTAAAATGCATTTCTCAACACCAAGAAAGAATTTAAATTCAATGTATAGCGCATACTAAACTGAATGAAGAGGAGAAAGAGACAACTTGCTTTTGAAACCCCATACAACAAAAGCGAAAATATTATCTGCCTCCTTTCAATCCAAACATGTAATTCTACGTAATCTAAAGCTAATGATTTTCAAGAAGGCTGGCAATCTCTCTTGTCAGCATATTGAAATCCTAAACAGAACAAAAGTACCAAAGCTATATATGTAAAGAAGCTTAGTTTCATCATTTATCCCCTGCCTTGTACAGGCATAATACTGGCTCCCTGCAAATGCTAAGCAGAGTCAATATCAACCAGGATTTGAAACCAGGGCATGAAGAATTGAATAGCCTGATTAAGAGAGAGCCTTGTTTTTAGCAGTGTAGAACAAATACTAAACTGCAGCTAGGGCTGACAAAGGAAAAATGTGTGCTAGATATGGAAGGGAAAAGGAAGAGCATATACATACATTCCAAAGGTATGCCTCTAATATCCAAACCATAGTTTGCAGGAAGCAAGCATTACATATGGGCCAGATCCCAATGTACCAACTGTCATCATCTCTCAAAACATTTTGCTATTAATAAATATCACTCTGTTCAGTTCAGCACATGGAAAACAGAATTAAAACTGAGCAAAAGTGATTGATCCAATACTACTATGCCAAACCAGTTTGGGGCAATTATTTCACTTTCTACAGCTCTCCCTAAAAGTTTAGAAATTTAAAGGATTGCACACACACACAAAGCTAGCCTTTTGCTATGAAAAATGTCTCCCAGGCCTAGCCAATTATAGAATTTTGGGAATAAGGGAGATTCAACAAGATTGATTAATTCTTCTTTTTAAAGGTCTTAGAGAATATAGACAGATTACACTTGAATACAAATTCAAACTAGCTTTAAAAGATATATAACTTCACAGAAAGAATTTTCATACTCTTTTTGCAATTTCAAAGGGCAAAATAAATTGATACATGAGATTTAATTGGTTTGAACTATATAACACAGCTTATATTTATACACCCACTGCTAAATTCCTCTGAGCCAAAACTTTGATTTTTCTGAAACCTATGCCAACACTGGAAATATTAACGAAAGTCCAGTTATAACAGCAGCCAGTGTAGCTCTCGCAGAATTGCTGCAGTGGGAGAACAATCTGGCACACACACTATTTAACTTCTGCAGCTGACTTTTGCATTGCATGCAGTTTCTGAACCATGGCATTTGCAGAATCTTTTTCTTACGGGGAGTGGGAGACAAGGTAAAATACTGAAAGAGGGGAGCAAGCTAGTTTCTCATATTTCAGGTTCTACAAGTGTTATAGAACTTTTTTTAAAAAAAAAAAAGCTAGGAAACAGGATTTTTGCTCACTCAGGGGAGGCAACTGTATCTCCCCTGCCCCTGTAGACACTCATGTTCTGAACCATCTTCAAGAGTGCACCTAACATAGAACACATTACGACGGTCCAGCCACGAGATTATAAAGGCATAAACAACTGTGGCCAGCCAACTGAAACAAGAACCTTCTGCAGTTATTAGTGAATAAATGGTGTCACTATGGGTCATATCCAATACAGTGCAATTAAAAAAGAACAAGAAGAAAAGGAAACACCTGCCTCCCTCCTCCCCACTGAGTGGGACCCTCACCAAACGTCTGGTCTGTAAAAGAGGGAGACTGCAATGGGCATGGGTGACTCGGGAAAGTCGGCAAAGACAGCTTCCATTCTAAAAAGCGGCCTCTGCCCAATTTGACATATACCGTATTTTTCGCTCCATAAGACACACTTTTTTCCTCTTAAAATCTAAGGGGAAATGTCTGTGCGTCTTATGGAGTGAATGTGTGGTCCCTGGGGCTGGAGGGGGGGGGAACCAGGCTTCCCCCGCCAGCCCCGACCTGCTCTTTGGTGCTGGCGGTGGGGGAAAGCCAGGCTTCCCCAACTGCTAGCCCCACAAGCTCGGGAAGCAGCGGGAAGGCTGCTCCTTTCGCTGAAGCCTTTCCTTTCGCTGAAGCCTTTCGCTGAAGCCAGGAGAGTCCTGCTCTCCTGGCTTCAGCGAAAGGAACCCAAAGCCTCCGGAGCGCAGTGGGAACTCCCGCCGCACTCCGGAAGCTTCGGGTTGCCTTCACTGAAGCCTGGAGAGCGAGAGGGGTCAGTGCGCACCGACCCCTCTCGCTCTCCAGGCTTCCAAGGTAGCCGCCTGAAGCCTCCAGAGCGCAGCGGGAACCCCCGCTGCACTCCGGAGGCTTCGGGTTGCTTTCACTGAAGGCGAAGGCAATGTGGGAGAGGGAGAGCTGCACAGCGCCCCTCCCGCGAAGCGGGAGGAGAAATGGAAGGGGCGCTGCGCAGAGAGGGGGAGAATTTTTTTTTCTTGTTCTCCCCCTCTAAAACAAGGTGTGTCCTATGGTCGGGTGCGTCCTATAGAGCGAAAAATATGGTAGTTAGTCTTTCACTGATAGTTGTGAGAAATTATACACACACTGTGCCAGAGGTGAGATCTACTTACAGATACGAAGAGAGCTTTGAATACAACTGATTTAACTGCATAGATATGTCTTAGTGTCTAGTAAATAAAAGACATTCTAAACCGAACATATTTTTCACAAATAAGTTACCAGTCAAAATGCTTCCTTTAAATAGTATGTTAATTCTTCTCCGTACCTCCAACAAAAAGGATAGCTGTGCTTATAAGAGCTGGTATGGACCAGTCTTCCTTGTTCTTTTAGGAATCTGACGATGTTCTTATCTGCATCCTGAGTAAAGCAAAATATTATTTTAGAATAATGATAACCCATACAAAGAATTTCTCCAGGTGGGTGGTAGCTTCAGGAAAGAAAAAAAGAGAGAAGTTACAAGCTAACAGCCAGTTCCGATGCAGGGTGAGATTAATAATGTATCTAGTATTTAGCACAGATGCTGAGCTGGTTTTTATGTAATATTAAACCATAGTTGGGATGTGGGTGGCACTGTGGTCTAAACCACTGAGCCTAGGGCTTGCCGATCAGAAGGTCGGCAGTTCAAATCCCCGCGACGGGGTGAGCTCCCATTGCTCAGTCCCAGCTCCTGCCAACCTAGCAGTTCGAAAGCACATCAAAGTGCAAGTAGATAAATAGGTACCACTCTGGCAGGAAGGTAAACAGTGTTTCCGTGCGCTGCTCTGGTTCGCCAGAAGTGGCTTAGTCATGCTGGCCACATGACCTGGAAAAACTGTCTGTGGAGAAACATCAGCTTCCTCGGCCAGTAAAGCAGATGAGTACCGCAACCCCAGAGTTGTTCGCAACTGGACTTAACTGTCAGGGGTCCTTTACCTTTCTTAAAACCATAGTTAAAGATAAAACTATGGTTTAATGTGAAAGAGCAGCTAGTACAGTGCTGACTTTGCTCGTCCCACACTCCTGCTGTTCTGCCAGGAAACAAGCTAGAGACTGACTTGCTATGATGTTTGAAACTGGGCTCATTGTTTCTCCCTCCTGACAGAGGATGAGTGGTACGCCAAGAACAGACCCAGGCTTCTGATTATAGCTTGTTTAGACAGAAGTGAGCAAAGGTCTGAATGAAGAAGTGCTGGAGTGGAAATGGTTCATCTGGATTTTTCACCATTTTCACAAACAATACCACTGACAAAATTTATGGCAAAAAGCAGCAGTAGGAAACAAAGCACACACATCTCTTCAGTCTCTGAATAATGTTTTTCTAGCTTCCTTCCTTCACAACCAACCTTCACATATTGTCCAGCAAAGTCTGTCACTTCTGCTGTGAAACAGCCCGAGGCATCAACAGGACAAACTGGTACTGAATCTTTCCGAATGATATTAAAATCCATACAGACTCTGTAGTCATCCTATGTGAGAAAAACAAAGTTAAATATTCAAATGTGTGTCTTTTGATTTCTAAGGCAGCATTCTGAATTTCAAAATTCTGCTGGATTTTCTAGATTCCCCAACTTCAACAGGAACCTGATAAGTTCTTTCTTCACACTGTGAAATACTTTGCTTCTTGTGTTATAAAGTATCTTGTCACACTGAGGATGAGTTCATTCATGCATGTTTTTCTCTTCATGGTTGCAGCATCAACCGGTTACCCACATGTGCAAATGATCAAACGCCACAGAAAGAAGTACCACATTTCTGCATACTACCTCAGGAGACAAATACTTTCCAATCAAATGCAGATAGTTGCAAATCAAATAATGAGTAATCAATAGATTTTACATGATATGAGCCAATCCCAAGACTTGTAGGATTTAGTCACCTTAATTTGCAGTTTCCCATGTTTTGGAGTGGGTGTGGGAGGTAATGATGACTAGGGCAGGGTTGTAGATCAATGGTAGAGCCTGTGATTGTTCACAGAAAGTACGCTCAAACCTTGGTTGTCGAACGTAATCCATTCTGGAAGCCTGTTCAGCTTCCGAAACATTCGACAACTGAGGTGTGGCTTCCAATTAGCTGCAAGAGCTTCCTGCACTCAAGCGGAAGCCGCATCGGATGTTCAGCTTCCAAAAAAATTTGACTTCTGAAAAATGTTCAAAAACCGGAACATTTACTTCCGCGTTTTTGGCGTTTGGGGGCAGAAACATTCCAAAATGGAGCCGTTTGGGAACCGAGGTCTGACTGTACCAAGTTCCATCTTAGGCATTTCCAGATAGGCCTGGAAGAAAGACTCCCATCTGAAACCCTGGAAAGCCACTACAAGGCAGTGTAGACAATACAGAGCTAGATGATTTGACTTGGTAGGAGGCAGCTTCCCACACACTGGGCCCATGATCACATCAAACTGCCTGAGCATTTTGCCATTCTTGGAGAAATTGCAAATAATAATAATAATAATAATAATATCATCTCAAGTTCTCAAATAGTCTAGAGAGCTTCAACACGTGTCTTTTTGTTGGCATCTGTTGAGAGCAAACCATGGTTCAGCATTCTGTGAATGAGCATTGAATAAATCTCAGGTTTGAATGTTTTCTTCCTCTTTTAATGTTTCCAGAATGCTCTCTCATGGTTTGCACATTGCACTACGTCAAACTATGGATCAGTACCATCCAGATTTGCAGAGAAGAACATGCAGTCACTTCGCTCTGCCCCAGTTCTTGTTCTGCTGCTGTGGTGAGTTAAGCCATGGTTTGGATTAACACACTGTCCAAGCCCAGGCTTGTGGTTTAATTCTACCAAACAAAATGCAATCCATAAACCATAAAATGGACAAAGTTCATAGTTGGTTTGGAGTAACTATGAGTAAGCTGTGTGTCTGTGTGTGTGCTATAAAAGTTTGGAAAGAGCTAAATCATGAGCCCAAATTCAGACAACATGCTAAGACAAACCATGGCTGAACTAAGGCAGCAGTCCCCTTGAGAGTTCATTTTTGAAATGTAGTGGACACATAGCCTGCTTACAATTAGGCTATCTTCTTTTCAAAAAAGATGTACTGCACAAAAGAGTTCCAATACAAATTATAATGCTGTTTCTGTATTGCGTCAGGAGCAAATGGAAATTGGTAGGTAACAAGAATGTACTCGTTGTCATTAGAATATGTGTACAGTGTGCTCCTGACAAGTTACTGGATCAAAAAAGAATCTGAATTTCTCAATTAAAAGAGTTAAGACAAGATGAAAACATGTTTGACATAAAAGCACATAAGTGACTTTAAACTTACAGCGCCAAAGTAAGGAGCTTGATGTACAACCCCGGTACCTTCTTCTTCCTTCACATAGTTGTCAGTCACTACAGTAAAAGCACCATTTTCTTTGCACTAGCACAAAAGAGATAGTTTTTTTTAAAAAAAATGTACAAAACATTGGCATGGAAAATATGACAAGCCAGAAACATTGTTCAAACATTCTAGTAATGGTTACATATGAATTTGTTCATTAAAACCACTGCTACAAACATGAGTTACATAAACTGACATAGAGAGAGATCAGCAGTATGAATACCAAACAAAAGCTTCCTGGATAGCTCAGTTGGTTAGAGTGTAGTGCTGACAATGCCAAGGTTGCAGTTTCGATCCCCATAAGGGACAACTGCATATTCCTGTATTGCAGGGGGTTGGACTAGATGATCCTCAGGGTCCCTTCCAACTCTATTATTCTATTAGATATCTATGAGACACCCTCCAGAACTGAGGGACAATTCAAAAATAAAAATAAAAAAATAGCCATTTTCTAATCAGGGTGGAATGTGGGTCTTTGCATGCACACATGACAGAGCACACAGAACCGACATGCAAAGGTGGCATCCATACATTTGCATATGATACACCCACAATTTCCCTAATCCTTCATCTCAAACAAGGCATGGGAATATTCATGAGAAGATGCGGTAAGGACTCAGGATGATTAAAAAGGTTCTAAAGCTGTCAAGGCGAAGGTCACTGTGCACTATGGATTGTTCTAAACTGAGTAGTTCCACTGAAATCAATACACTTAAGTTAGTCACTGTTCACAGATTTCAATGGATCTGCTCCAATTATTAGTTGGACGCAGCCCTCTGTTGTTCCACAAAGGGAAGCAAAGCACATAAAGCTACCCTAAATGTATTTTACACTGCAAGCCTATACATATCTACTCAAAAGTAAATTATGCAGAGTTGAATGGAACTTACTCCCAAGCAAATGTGTATAGGATTACAACCTTCGTATCTTAATGAAGCCAATTTGGATGGTATTCAACTAATGAGTCCCATCAGGGGAAGCCCTGGGCAAAGACTGATATTCCCAGTACAACACTGTTCTATTGCAAAACACAGTAAATTTGAGACTCATTAATTAAGAGACTGGGTCATAAGATCCCACATTCCCTCCCCAAACGCAACTGCATAAATTGATCCTTCATGGATCAAAAGGATTGATTTTTCTATTACTTTTTATAATCCTGAACAATACTAACACCATTTGCGAATTACTCTTAAGTTAAAATTACTTTTTAACTATTATATTTTCTGTTTCTATTTTCTTTATTTTATCTGTGTTCTTTTAATTTGTGTAAGCTACCTTGAGTCCCAGGAAAAAGGTAGGAGATAAATAAGTATTATAATAAAGACACATACTGCTCACCTTGATAAAATACTTGAAAAGAGGTTTATATTTCTTCCCTTTAAGGGTAACACCAGGAAACCTGAAACACATTCCCCCCCAAAAAAAAATTAGCAGCAGTTAAGAAGTTTTGTTTATGTACAATATTTACAAATAGCTTTTCTGCTATAGGAGCAATATGCAACATAATAAAACAAGACATTAAAATAAAACTGCATGGAACTACTGCATAAATATCAAAGCAACAAGCAAAAGAATCTCCATCAGCAAGTTACAATCATATAAAAACTTCTTGGAATTGCAAGAAAGACAATAACTGAGCAAGCCTAGGGGGCCTAGAGAGTGCAAAGTGGCAGATCTACTCCACTTCCTAAGTCCTACTAGTTTGTGGCAACGCAGCAGGAGGCGGGGATGTTGGACCTTTCCTCCTACATCTTTTCTTCAAAATTCCCCCCATTGGTTTCAGTGGCTGGGAACTGCTCTGTGTTGGTGAGAACTGAGGGCCCACTTCACAGGCCTCCTCAAAGAATGAATGGGACTTGGATCCAATCCTCTCTGTCCTACCTTCACCTCAAATGCCCTATTTCAGGGCTACTGCTCACAGGAACTCTACTGGCAGAAGTGCTAAGCCTACTGCATTTTCCACAGGGGCCTCCACAGTGAAGTGCCCACCCTGCTAGCTAAACCTTTCTCCATCAGCAGCAAGGCACTGGAAGCTAAGCCTCTTCAGCCAATGGACCTGATGAATAGGAATACTTGGCCCACCTACACTTTTTAAAAGAGGGAAAGCCACATGTCTGTGTTGCAGCAAATACAACTAAGTTTTGTGGTACCTTAACAACCAACAAATTTATTACAGTATAAGCTTTCATGGACTAGAAGCTGAAAATCTACATAGTTTTGTGTGTGTGGTGGTGGTTTACATTCCAGCAAAGCATTCCTCAACCTCCTATAAACTGTCTGGAAGGAGGTTGGACTAGATGACCCTCGGGATCCCTTTGAAGTCTATAATTCTGTGATAAATCTCTGATGTTCTATTTATTTCAGTTAAGACTTTTTTCTTATATCTGGAAAATGAAATCAGCTTCGCATTGTAGATGCTTGAGAAAATTGCAGCAGGAAAGGCAGTGAATGACAAAAGAACACTCTTAGGAAACTATTCTTCAGAGTTTGTGACAGTTGCAATTCTTAACAAAATTCTATCATCTTTGGTCATTTGATGTATGGTGTTTTTTTTTATATTCGATGGCCTTAACAGAATTGGGGCAGACACAAAATTGTGCAATCCTAGTTCTTTAAAACAAATGGGAGCTTTGCCAGTGACTTCGATGGTTTTGTGGATAGCACTTTAAAAGCCTTGATTTTAAAACAATTATGCCAATAAGACCATAAAGGAGATCCAGAATGCTATTGTCTGAGTCAGATTGAGACTTGGAGAACCCTACTTTTCAAAACCAAGTTCACACTCTAACATTATCGATAAAAAGCTGCATAAAAATAAAGTCACCGCTTACTACAGATGAAACTTCAAATCCAATGCAATCTTCAGTGGCAGATACCAGATCTTTTGAGAGACTGCCGTACATACAAGCAATTTCATATATTATGGCATCAGACTAAGAAAAAACAACAATTCTTCCATTCTCTTACCTTGCAAGGCAATTATTTATAGAATGTAGAATTTAGAATGTATGTACTAATTTATCTACTTGCCTGTCAAGTATTGCATATTCACTTTCAGATTTGTACAGGGATGCCAGTCGAGCTTCCATCAAAATGAAAATCTTCCCTGTATTTTTATCTGAGGAGGAAATCCATGGATGTTAATATTCAATTACTGAACTCTTACAAAAAGATATATGAAAAACAGCATAAGTATGAAGATGCCAGGCTCATTTCTGCTAATTAAAATATGTCTTACGCTATTATTACCAGGGCGAAGAAGAAGAAGAAGAAGAAGAAGAAGAAGTGGTGTTTGGATTTGATATCCCGCTTTATCACTACCCGAAGGAGTCTCAAAGCGGCTAACATTCTCCTTTCCCTTCCTCCCCCACAACAAACACTCTGTGAGGTGAGTGGGGCTGAGAGACTTCAAAGAAGTGTGACTGGCCCAAGGTCACCCAGCAGCTGCATGTGGAGGAGCAGGGAAGTGAACCCGGTTCATCAGATTACGAGACTACCGCTCTTAACCACTACACCACACTGGCTCTCAAGACCAAATAAAGACATAGGCTATTACACACTTTTTAAAAAATCACTTCCAAAATCCAAATCTGTACTATCGGACTCAGCACAGGCATCACACCAAAACCATGGTTAAGGAAGCTAGAATCTGAAACCAACAGTCCAGCTCTCCCTACCCAGGGCCCATTTCTTGGTGGTTCCTTCAAAAGCAGAACTTTCAGTTAGGCAAGCTGGTCAGTCAGTTTTTATAGCGCAACAGCACAGCTCTCTCAAAGAGGTTTTCAGTTATTTAAATGAGACAAATGATTGGAAGTATTAAAGCACAATTGTCGGCACAGCACACGCCAATAAGACGTGACCCTTCCCTTCAAACCAAACTGAGTTCTGATCTGCCTGAAGCCCCACTGTTCTTGCCCCAAGCTTCTCTCAATGCTCCAGCTCTGCCACCCAACTCTGACGTGAAGAGCATGCCTTAAGTTTTGAACATGACAACAACCCAAGCTGATTGTTGGTCTTGCAGTGTCCTCTGTATCCATTGCCTCATAGACAGCAAGCATTGCCTACTTTCACAATACGAGATTAATAAGAGGAGCAAGCTTTTCCAGGATGAAGATGCTCTGTGGATACGAAGGCCATATTCAGTTTCCAAAATCTAAAAAGGTTACATTGTGAGGATGAGAATTCTGCTTCCAGAAAGCAACATATAGCAAACTAATAAGAACTGAATATATTACTCAGATTCTGATGCTTGGGCAACAGCAAGACCCAGAGATTCTGGGGAAAGGTTGAAGGGACAGAATTACTCCCCAGATTTCTCTATGACACACTTCTATTACTGGTTCCCCCAAGACAGGATGCATGCTGTGTTGCAAAGCAGAAGTATGCATAAATATAAAAAAAGTTCATGTCATTAAGGGTATGAATGACCTTTGGATTGGAAAGAAGGAAAGCTACCAAGCAACAACTTTTCATGACGGACACTTTGGCTATGAGTGCCCAAGAAAAATATCCTGAAACAACTGGGAATTGTGTGGAAGGCAAAATACAGATTTATAAGAGGCAACCTTTTTTCTCTGAATACAAGTATTAATTGTTGCAAAAATATGAATATGTTTACATAATTCTTGTTGATTTACAAACTGAAGTTGAGGATTTAGCTATTCCAAACTGTCAACCAAACCGTCCTTGTGCAGCTCTTGCAAAGATAAAATGTTGAAGAACCATGAATGCCTTAGCTCCATGAAGGACAGGTCAGATATGTGCAATAATAAAATTAAAATTATTTTAATGGTAAAAAATTAGGTGGAAGGTTCTAACGACCTTACGTAGTTGAAAAAAATATGCCTTCAACTGCTATCTTGCAATTTGTTATATAAATTTGTATCAGCCTTGTATTTCAGCATTCACCTGGTAACTAGAGCAACAAGGGATTGCAGGCAGGCAAGGAGCAGGCTGGCAGAAGACCACAGCAGTGTTCCATCCCTTCTCTGTGTGCAGCAGAGAAACCAAGCAGGCTGTCAGGAGGAGTAAAAAGCCCTCCTCTACACCCAATATAGAAATACAGTTGCCTGCTGTAGGAGGGTGGCACTCTTAGGTCCTCCTGAAAATATGTACACTAGCAACTTTTATGGGCTTATTTACAAGGCTGGTTTATGTATTTTTCTAACATTTCTTTTCCTTTTGTATCAAATATTTTTAGTATTGCTATAAGTTTAATAAACTTTGAGAATTTTTTTTTAATGAAACAATTGCTAGAGCTGTAGAGACAAGGGATGAGCCCTGTATTTCATGCAGATAAAACTCCTCCCATCTTTGTGGATCACTGCAATTCAGACACCTGGTGGAATGAGCCGCAAGACTGAGAAAATCTTGCAAAGGCTTTCAAAAAGCCTTGAGCAAAGCAGTGTAGCAGTAGCAAAGAATAGATGTGTGCTAATTTGGGAGGAAGCAAATCTTTCAGCCATTATGGCTTTGTTCAGAAGATTGCTTTAGAACTCGAGAACTATCAATTCAAAATTTCTAAGGAGTGACTGGGCCAGGCCCAATTTACTACTGAGGCCAAATTTGCAGAGGACGTAATTGATGAGCAACAAAGAGTGGGAGATAGTAATTTCAGAAACTGCTTCATCTGAGCTGAGGAGATAGCTCTGAATGTTTCATTTGCAACTCTGTGAAGGAATCAATACAGCTCTACATGATATGCATATGTATGTGCAACTTAAGACTCCAGATTCTTGGCAGGCACACCTCCACCTGGCATCGGCGTATGAAGTCAGATGTTGGCCAGATAGGCACAGTTTGGGGAAAACAGCCTGGTGGGGCGAACTGAAACCAGTATCAGGCCTAATTAGCCCCATGGGCCAGAGCCATCCTTGGTGAGGGGAATGCACTCTGCACCTCCTCAAGAGCATCTCACATATTCTTAATCCATGCTTTCCAGGGAACAGCCTGGGCACTGAAAACAGATTACAGGGTTCAGCCCAGGCAAACTGATGTACCAAGTTAGATAATGGCTGTTGAATGTGCAGAGTTCATCTCAGGCATATTTTTGCTTATTTTGTGGGCCAAGAGAGACCCATGCTTGAAAAGAAGCTGCACCACTCTTGTTGCTCCCCATGCTTAGCTGTGACTGGAAAGGATATCTTTATTGGAAGGGGACTGGCCTAGCCTGCAGCACGGAGCTCAGCAGAAGACGCACCAGAGATTCCCTTACAAGGAAATTTTCCAATTATCCTTTTAGCATCAGAAGGCAGCTTGAATCATCATGGGTAGGTAAATCAGAGGGCAAACCAATTAGATAAATCATAATAAATTAAACAAAAGCTACAGGAGTTTGGAGTGAAGCACTTTATGTAACCATTGTACTCTCCCCCATTATGCTGCCTTCCTGAGATTTATTATGACAACAGCATGAAGTTACTTTCAGGTTTTTTGTTTTTATTAAGATGACAGAACAAAAGTGAAAAGTTACATCAGCTTTGCAATAAGCCACTTGCGTATTTGACTGAAGGAAACAACTCCTGCTGCTGCCAGGCAAGTCAAGTCAATGTACATGCTGTTCTAGAATAGAGCAGTACATGCAGGTGGACAGGATATGGAGAAACATTTTGTATGGGTTGGTTACAAAAGTTGCCATTTGCAAAACCATGACTACAATCCTATGCATGCTCACCTGCGATTAAGCCCCACGGAACCAACTGGGACATAATTGCAAGTAAGCATGCACGTGAAACCACTCAAAGAAAGCACTAATTGTACGGCATAGCATATTTTGCACTTGCCTTCCACCTTCACATATTGCAAGTCTGGGTTGACGCAGAGGGCCAGGTTGCTAGGCAGAGTCCAAGGAGTTGTCGTCCAAGCAACTAGAGAGATGCCTTCATCTTCTTCCAATGGAAAGGTAACAATGACCGAAGGGTCTTGGACATCCTCAAATACAGGATTAGAAAAGTTAGAAGCGACGTGGAAAAAGTTAACCTTTTTATGCACAAAGAAGCAAATAATGAAAGCAAACTGTTATGGCCAACAATATTCTTAATACTTATTACAGAGCATGATTCATTTATCAAAGGCTATGGCAACATGTATCTTTCTTAAAAGAATCTTCTCCATAGGCTACTGGATTGTTAAGAAATAGCCCCGTTTTTAAGGACTTCCGGGGTGGCGCCATCGGCAATGGCGGACTCCCTCTGAACTGGAGGGACTAGCTCTGCGTGAAACGGGTCTTTTCCGCTACGGCGAAGCGGGGACCCTGCTAAAAATCACAGGCGGATGAAGCCTGTGACCATGGGACTCGGCGGGCACCCTTAGCGCCCCCCCAACCCGCTAAGGAACCCACTAACGGGCTCCGAAGTGAAGAGGGGGAAGTGGTGCGGTGCTGTGAGTCAACTGCTATTTCCGTGGAGCGAAGCCGCATAGCCGTTGCCGGAGAGCGCTGCCTTTTTCCTGGGACAATTTGGCTTCTAAAATAAGCACCCGTGAGTACTTAAAATTTGAACAACCGGACTTTAAATAAGGACTTGCGTGCAGAAAGGAATTGGACTTAAAAATTTACTTCAATTTGGTACTGAAACGGGAAGGTCTACACAGGAAGTCAGCCTTCCGTTTATTTGTAGACAGAATAAAGCAAAGACAACGTAAACTAGAGCTCAGAAAATCGCCTCTAAAGGATTGGATTTCATCATTTAAAATTGTGGAACCCCCCTTCGACAGCAGGAGAAGAAGGGGGATCTTTTTTGGACTGTTTAAACCTGCAGAAGTGAGTTTGAAGTAAAGTAACTTTCCACCGTCCTGATCCTGGAGCGGGGTGTCAGGACAGACGTTTGAAGCTCATTGACCAGAGACAAACGTTTTTGACAGATAGTTAAAGGAAGAGAAACATAGTGATTCCACTGTTTCCTTTCGCATTTTAAAGGAACAAATATTGACAAAATATCTCAAAAAGGATACTTTGTTGCAAGAACAAATAGAAGTTCTCCCCCTAGAGGGAGACTGTGAAACTGTAACTAATTTCAGGGAGCTTGCAGCTGTCACAGATTACAATCGTGGGAATGGACTTGTGACCTTGTAGGACAATGTATTCAGAGGCTCTGTTGTGTGCTCTCTGGAAAACAAGTGCCCTACTGGAACACTTAAATGAGAAGATGGATTTGATGACTAATGTGGCCAGAACTTTTGAACAGGCAGTGGGAAACTATGTGGAGCCCACCCAGGAATCAGATCAGGAGTGCGTCCTGACAGAGCAGATGAGAGAAGAGGATGTTGCTGAATCTTGGGCACCAGAGATGGAGGGAGCTGCGGCCCAGCAGGAACATGAGCTTTTGGATTTGACAAATGAACTTGGAAAAAGCCAGATTTGGAAAGATAAAGTTTGGTTTGGTTTGGAAATGGGGGGTTGGATAGACCCCCCTATGCAGGGATGTTTGGACTTTCCAAGTCTGGCAATGGGCCGTGAGATGTTTGGAGCTGTGGGGGCTCTCAATTTTGGAGGGATTCTGAAACATGTTTTTAAATACCACATGGAGTTGAGTCTGGACTATGGAAAAGGGGCTGATTTGTTGAAAAGGGTCAAAAACATCACCAAGCTGGAGTTCCCACGAGTGAAAGGAGAATATGAAGAAGAGCTGCGGAAGGGACATGGAAGAGATTTAAGGGCCTCGGATATAAGGTTACCAGGTTAATGCGCTAGATCGATGGGATAAAAGGACTGACAAAACCCGGGACCAGGAGGAAGGGACGCTGGAGGAAGACTCGATTATTTTTATTTCTTTTTTTTTATTACCAGGATTGTTTTATAAAATTGATGAATGTTAGAAAAATGCTGGAACGAAATTACTTGGCTCTAGTAAAAATGTTTAAAGAATTAGGTAAGAATATTATGGTTGTGAGAAGTCGGTAGAAATAAGATTTAAGTTTTAAGTCTTTAAGGTTTTCTATAAGATAAGATGAAAATAGATTAAGGTAATGTAATGACAGAATATTATGAAATATGGAAAGGATTTGCTGCGATAATTATTAACTAGGATACAAAAAAAGAGAGGAGGTGGAGGTCAAAGAAAGAAGGTAATGAGAGTTGAGGATTTGAGAATGATGGAGTTATTTTTGTCTGTTTGCGGTGTATTTTTGTTTTTTGAATTTCTATTGTTTGATGTGGTTTGTTTTTTCTTGTTTCTTCTTTTTTCTTTTTCTGCTTTGTTTTTTCTCTGTAATTTAAAAAATTTTCAATAAATATCATTAAAAAAAAGAAAGAAAAGAAATAGCCCCGTTTTTTAAAAAAACCAACCTATTCAGATTTTTATGTAATTAACTATTTAAATGGAGATCAGAAGCAAAACACCATTACCTAGGTTAACCAAAACAAGCAATATAGCTGGATATAAACAATGTGGCTATTGTACTGAGAGGTACAGCAGAGGTACACTCCAGATAGGCATGGAGCTAATTTGAAGCTTCAAATTAAACAACTATTTTTGTTTATTTGTATGGCGCTGCTTCAAATTCTACACGTCGAGTTTAGGGTTGACATGAATCCAAGAGCACTGTCCTGTACTTTTACCTATAACCTACTAGGGTATTCACATGATTACAATAAAACAGCACAGTCTATCCCCATCTGCCTCTTGGTTTTTTTACAGCATTTTCATTTCCAATATTCAGTTGTTTGCCAAGTTATACAGTGTTCAGGCTCACATGACTCAGGTAAGGTTAGGATAAAGTGAGTGTCAATGATTTGTTTGAGTCCCAGATTAAAAACTGTTAAGCTGGAGAATATTCCATCCCTGCCTCCCATTCTTCTAGCACTTTTGACAGTCTGGATAGCGATCTTCAAAGGTACAGCATCAGAAGACCTTGCAGTATATTAATTTTTGCACTGCCAGCTCTCCCTGGTTCCTTCTTCACACCCTGAGTAAACTCTGGTAATTCCATTAGTGTTTGCCACTATTTATGTTAGAACTAGGAATTACTCCAGAGGGAGTTCACTCACTGAGCATGAAGCTCACTCAGCAGCCAAAACATAAGCATGCTTTTCCCGTTGTTATTATATAACTGCTAGCAATTCTGTTCAGTCTCTGAGCAATGTTGTATGCTGCCAGCCACCTTCACGGTTTCAACAAATACTAAATATAGTTGAACAATTTTCACTGAACATTTATTGGCATTTTGCAGGATGAACAACACTTCAGCTGCAGAATACTGGTGAGCTATTTTTCTTTTTCCACTACCTTCTAAAATAAGCTTACTTCTCAGGAATACAAGCTTTGTGTTAGAACAAGGGAAAAGCCATTTGTGGACTTTGTGTTCAGTTTAATACGCATTTCAGAGGACCCCAGGAAGCTTAAGAACATCACTCTTTTTTGTTGTTAAATAACTTGTTTTTGTAGTTCTTGAATTCACATACAGAATGGGGAAAAACTTTTTAAAGAAAAGAACCACCAAGGTTATTTTTTGTTCTCTTAAAAGTTAGCTGAAGCCTGTTTTCAGAATTCTGAGTTTTGACAGTGTACACTCCAAAAAACTGAAACACTCCAGAACACTTTGCAGGAGAACCAGTGATAGTATAACACATTTTATTCAGCAGAGTGTAACAGAGAATTCTCAATTCTTATGTTTACTTGGAAGCTCACATAATGTACTGTTCACTATATGGAAGAGAAATTAATACCATTTTGCAGATTTACGTTGTTTAGTCTACACTATCCTTCAGGTTCAGGATTTGTTACAGCATTACAAAATCCTAAAAACATCACATTTTGGGGGTAGGCGCTGACATTTAAAAATAATCAGCTGTTTAGAAAAAAGCAACTATTCAAAATCTAAACAGCAGCAGCTTCAAAATTCCAACTACACACACATACAAACAGGATGCCAGTAACCTTAATTTTCTAAAAACTGGCCAAAATAAAAAGTTTGAGTTTTGACTGAGACCTTTTTAATCTGCCAGTTTATTGTTTGCTATAGTGTTGGATTTTTTAGTAAGCCACTCTAAGAACTATTTGTTGATGAGTAGTATAAAAAATATCAACTTGAGCTGCTGCTTCTAACCCATAATTGATATTTTTTATACTACTCGTCAACAACAACACTATACAGTGTGGCGCTCATCTCGCTTTCAGGCCAAGAAAGCTGGCGTTTGTCTACAGACAGCTTTCTGGGTCATGTGACCAACATGACTAAACCGCTACTAGTACACGGAGGACCATGAAGGAAGGCAGAACGCATGGAAATGCCATTTACCTTCCCACCGCAGCAGTACCTATTTACCTACTTGCACTGGCATGCTTTTGAACTGCTAGCCTGGCGGAAGCTGGGATGGAGCAACGGGAGCTTACCCCCTCGCACGGATTTGAACTGCCAACCTTCCAATCAGCAAACCTAAAAGGCTCAGTTGTTTAGACCACAGCGTCACCTGCTCCCTTAGCCCACACAGAGCACATTACTGTAGACTAAACAGATCCTAGGCCCATACCTGCCTACCCACCCAATAATATGAGACAGAGCAGCACAGGCAGTTCCAGGTTTAAGGGGGCACCAAACTAACTGTATTGTGCAGCTCTCCCCAACCCAGACGCTGCTCTCTGCAACCTTAGTGCTGTGGCTGCCCCAACCTTTGCATACATATGCACCCTGCCTGCCTTCTTGTTGTTATCTATCCCTCCACTCTCGTACCTGCACTTGCTGCCCAGCCTTACCACCACCACCATTTCAGGCATAGTTGGCACGGCAGCCAGCTTGGCCAGGCCAGGGTGTTTGTGGAAGCCTAAAGCTGCCTACCACTGCTTAGCTTTAACTCTATAACTTCCTCAGAGTGAAAAAAGAATGGCAAGGAGCTGAGCCACTCAGATGCTACCTGTTCGGCTGCAGAGCCACGGGGGGCATCAGAGCAGCTACAGGGTACCACCTCAGGTATTTGGAGCAATGCTTTCTAGCACACTATAGCCTGCTGCTGCTAACAGTCATTAGGAGGCCCCTGGCCTATGGCGTCCTAGACATATGTAGGGTGGCAGATGGACTTATGCCACTTGGTCCAGTGGTAACAGCAGCACCACACAGGAATCTAAAATATTTATTCAGCTGTAGATCAGGCTGGCAGTTAAAAAAAGAAATACAATAACATAACAAGCCTACATACCTTATAATTCTGGTGAGACTCGAAGTTAGAAAGGGGTGTGTTACATGCTGTTGAAAAAGGCATGACTTTAACTCCTCGGTATACCAGTCCTTTGTCATAAAGCTGCTTGAAAACCCACCTAAATGAATAAACAAATAGCAATTTAAGCAAACAAACAGAACAAGTTGGTTTTGTTTTGAAAAATTATAATAGTGAGAGAAGTCAATTGACTACATGTAGGAAGAAGGTACAGAACTTATGCCCAGAACTACTTTCCTCAGTGGTGAGTTTACTGTAAATAACTTCTTTAAAAAAAAAAAAAAAGCATTTTGCCCTTCGGTATCTTATCATGCAAGTTGTACTTTCCAGGCCTAAAGCACAGAACATAGAGCAGCAACTGCACTGGAATACAATTTTTTAAAAGTAATGAATATTCAAGCTATCTATCTTAAGTTGCTATAGCATCTGTAGAGATTTCTAAGGTCAAACAATACAGAGGCTGCAAGCACCTAGAGAAATCATCACAGAAACACATCTCATCTTACAATCAAACGCCAAACAGAAGTCCCCCTTAACAAGGCAGGATGGGCGTTTATAGGATGCTATGTCATCCTAGAATAAATTATAAAATGTATTTGCTTTATTAACCCTGGAGCCTATTCACTATTCAACCTGGCCAACTCTGTAACTTCTCATGCTCTCATTTGGTATACTGACTTTAATACTTTGCCGTCCCGCTACACCACCCACCCTGCTGCCCCGGCCACTAGCAGGGAAGCAGTGCCAGTATCAGGACTGATTTCTGGCAAGAAATCACTGAAATTGCCTAAGATTTTGGTGGAAATTGGCACTGGTGCCAGGTGGGAGCTTCACCCCGCTTCATGGGTGGGCTGGGCCTAACACAATGCGTAGCTAAAAACTGTGGAATTTAATGCCACAAAATGTGGCATGGCTTTAAAGGGGATTTAGGTCACCAATGTATACTAGTCACAATGGCTAAATTGCTTTCAGTATCAGAAGCAGTATACCTGTGAATCCCAGATGCTGGGGAACACAAACAAAAGAGTGTCTTGTGCTCACATGCTGCTTGTGAACTTCCCACAGAGATCTAGTTGGCCATTGTAAGAACAGAAATCTGACCTAGATGAGCTTTTGGTTTGATACTGTATTCTTATTACAGTAGACACAGTAATGCACATTTTTAAAATACAAAGTTGTTATATTTTATTTCTATATTCCAAAGAAAAAGAAACTAGTAACTATTACTAGAGGGGGAAATCCTCTCTGAGGAAATAGATATAAATATCATGCACATACAAAATTTAGGAGCTGCATCACCAGATGACTGAACTGCTAAGCCAAATTCAAGTCAATGTTTCCCCCTTGTGGAATTTTTTCCAAGTGCAGGAAAAGCATTCTTTCTTTTCCCACACCATCTTTCATTTTTACAGCTCACAAATGTTTGTGTTGCCATTAGAATGAGACAGTTCAATTCTGCAAGTACAAGCAAAAGCTGAATTTACAAGATGTCTATCTTTCAGAGAAAAAATGTAACATTAATAATTTTCAAGTGATCCAGCAATGGCTCACATCACATACTGTTAAACAGAATAGTGCCTTGGTGCTAACTTGCAAGAAGGCAGGATCCCAGAGACGAGGCTGCAGCCAAGCACTCCTTGCCCAGTCCTCCTGCTGCCAAGCTACCCAAAGCTAAGCCATGGTTCAACTTGGCATGCTGTCCAAATCACAGGCCCCCAGTTTGTCTCCTCAAGACAAACCATAAGCCGTAAACAAACAAACAAACAAAAACTTTTTATAGTTATTGATTTGCCTGGAGTAAGACAAATCACAAGCCCAGATGTGGATAACATGCTAGGCCAAACAATGGGCCAACCCCAAGTAGCACAACAGCAAAAGGGGCAGAAGAGGAGTGTTCCTGTTCCTCTCCACGAACCCACACAGGTTAAGCCACTGTTTGGCTTAGCATTATGTATGAAGTGGTTCAGTATTTCATTTACTTGTTATATTTGTGACCATTTCCATGCCACAGAATTAAAATAGGCATCAGTAATTGCAACCCTGTTGTAGAGACTCAATAATTTTTTTGAAGTGGATATTAGATATATACTAGAGAACTGCAATTGGCAGGGGTAGGTATTCTTTAGCATTTTCTTAATTTCTATAGAACTGTAGAATTGGAAGGGAACCTGAGGATCATCGAGTTCAACCAAGGCAGGAATCTCAACTAAAACATCCATTACAGATTGCCATCCAACTCGATGAAGGAGCATCTACTCCACTGTCTAACAGCTCTTACCATCAGGCTGCAACCCAGTGAAGAGACCCAAGCCAACATTTGGTGTACAGGACTACTGGATATGTGGACTAGGTGACATGGTTTACATGAGAAAACAATCAAGGACATTTGTAGAAGGCAAGACTCTTCAGCTCAGACATAAGGTTACAAAAATATCTAGTATTTTTATATTGTAACTAATCTGCTTTAAAGACTTATTGCCTTCAGGAGTTCAAAAGTGTCTATCATAGAAATCTGCTTCATAGCAAGCCTGCTAAAGATAATTTTTCCACTTATTAGTCATAGTTCATCATATTAACTCTGAAAACAAATTAAGGCACCTAGCATAGTGAGGAAACGTGCTAGAAATGTCAGGCACATATACCTCCAATTACAGTAGTCTTGCATTACTGTCCCTTCTCCATCTGTGTAGGCAGATTATTATTACTTTACATTAATTTCAGCTATCTAGATATAATTCTCTTTACAACAGAAGAGTTTTTTCAGACCCTAACCCTAATGCAGCAAGCTTGCCTGGTTGGCCTTGCATGGCTAAGCAACTACCAACCTTCCTCCCAAACTCGGAGCTGGGGGGAAGGCGGGGATCACTGCACAAATTTAGGACCAATCACCTGCAGCTGCAAGGTTGGGAGCCAAACTGGCATTTTCCATGTTGAGTGGGCAAGTAAAAATGTGAAAGCCTGCCTACTGCAATAAGATACAACTTAACCAAAGCTTAACCAAAGCTTTAAGAATATATTGGAAAGAGACAAGTGAGACTGCTATCTTAATATATCATCTAAAAACCATTTACGGTATATAGTTTGATTAGTAATTTTAGTGTGCAGAATCATTGCAAAGCAAGGCTACTTTAGGCAAGCCTAGCCATCAGGCATACATAGTTCTATTTTTGACTTTTCCACCTTTGAACAGCTGGCATCTGCATTATGTAACAGTTTTTTAGCATGATAAAGAAAAAGAATCTAGGATTGGGCTATGCTGTTTATTGATAGTGGAAGGCTTGAAATAACAAGGGCAGGTAACCAGGGCAGGGAGCAGGTTAGCTACCTCCTACATTGATGTTCCTGGGTGTTCCCTTTTATTTTTTTTCTCCCACACGGGAGTATGGTTGCTTCTCACTCCTGTGTAGACAAGGTAAGTGCTAAACTTGGAATGAGCCCCACAGGACAATGAAGGAATAAAGACATGGAGTATTGTCCAGGCCGACGCCAGCTAGGGAAGACTCGCGTCTGATAGTTAAGTCTTTATTGATAAAAAAAGCACTTGCAGCAACTCCCATGGTGCTCTGTATGCGCGCACACACAAGCCTCTAGCCACTAAGCAACTGTCCCCCACAGATCTGAGCTCTGAGGAGCAGTTGCATCAAAAGTTAGACCCCTCCCCTCCTCCAGCTTTATATACCCTCCCCTGCCAGGTTGCACACCTGCAAACTGAGACTTCTCCTGCATGGAAATCGTTGCTGCCCTTCCTGCTTCAAGCCCCTCCTGGTTCTAGGAGAAAGTGGGGAGGGGGAAGGTGGGGAGTCTACTGACCATATGTCAGCTGAACAGCCACCTGCTTCTTCTGCTACATCATGCATGCCTTCCTCCATCTCAGACTGCCCTGACTCTCCCTCCTCCCCCTGCCCTGGCTTCTGCCTTGAAGGAGAATCAAACCCCATAAACTGCTAGTCCCCTCTCCTGGCTCAGTCCCTTGGTCCCCTGCTTCCACTACACACTCTATGGAGCCCTGCCAGTCCCCGACAAGCGTAGGGAGCAAATATGGATCAGATTATTTAGTATTATTAAAAAGAACCTATACCACCTTTCATTACAAGATGAAATTGCAAAGTAGCTGTGTGGGGTAGCTTAAAGGGGAACTTCCAACTGAGAATACAATTATTATTATATATTTATGCCACCTTCTTGCCTGATGGTACTCAAGCATCTAACGACATGTGGGATGTGTGTGGTGAACAGGGATAGATGAACATATTTAATATGAAAATAAAGTGTGCAAAACAGAGGTGCATGGAGGGTGAAGATGCAGAGGAAGGGCAGAGGAGGAAGTTCTTCCACCAAAGCACAAGTTCAGAACTATTAGCCGTCACAGTAAAATGCAACCTCCAAGTTCAGAGGCAGTGTGGTTGCAAAGATCTGATGCTGCAGACCACAAACAGGTAAAAGTTTCCGCCTTCAAGCTCTGCTTGTTTCTAAGCCTCCCAGCATCAACCCACTGGTCATAATTGGAAGCAAAACTCTGAACTAGATTGAGACTTTGGAAAGAGATAATGTTTACACACTGCTGGGCTCACAGAGGAAAAATTCAAGGTCAATTGCAACAGTATCCTAGTACAAGTCATAAAGGAATTTAACACACTGCCTGAAACACATAAAAAGTTCAGATATTGAAAGCTGACACTCAAATTCAGACATCTTTCTACTTCACTTTCACACTGTTCTCATTATCCAGCAGTGACAGAGACCACATAAAGATGTTTTGCTACATCAGGACTGTTTTTACACTGCTCTATTGTTCAGCCTCTAATAAGCAGAATCTCATGTAGCATTATATTTCTCAGCACCTCCAAAAGGCTACACAATATCAAATGACAGTGCTTCATTCACCTGGTGCAGTACAGCAGGGCACTGTCTTTTCATAGGATCAGCAAAATCACAGCACCTGACCTGCAGCATAATTGGTTTCCTAGTGCCCAGGATAATCTCAAAAAAAATAAAGATTTCAGTAACCATACAACGTGAAACCTACACATACTTTCTGCCTTTCTATTTAAGAAGTGCCCAAGCCAGCTTACAAGTTCTTTAAAAAGACTTCCATAACAGTAAAAAAAAACACAAGCCATTAAAAAAATACTACAGACTGCCATTAATTGTAATAAACTCAGTTCCATGGTGCCAGGAGCCTCAAATAATTGAATCAACTGGCAAAAAGCCTGTCAGGAAAGATAGTCTGTGGAAGGGGAGGCAGGGCTTATGGTGAACAGCGAGAAAACCAAAGTAAACTTACCACACAGTCTCCATGAACTCTGGATACAAAGTTTTATAGTCATTGTCAAAGTCAATCCACCGTCCAAGTCTTGTAACACTGATCTGCAAATGCATTAAATTGTGACTCTGTAACAGCTTAGTGAACCCTGTAATTATTCATGGTTATAGTTCATGAAAGCTACCCTTTACTTCTTTGATTGCTAAAAGATATACACCTTCCTCAAGAAACAGATTTTAAACAAGAATGTCCATCAAGAAAGATTGGCAGATCTCTTTTTAACAGCTAGGATTTAAATCATGCAATTAGGTTCTGCGTGCCCAATAGGGCTTCACATTTGTGTTTTCTGAACAGCATCCCACCAAATCACATGGCCCACTTTGGAAGCAAAACAGAATTTTAAACGCAATTTGTGATATAATATTGAGAGATTACAGTTCAACTCTTAGCCATACCTAGTTTTTCAAATCCCAGTCAATAAGTACATGCATACAGAATGAAGGGGAAGAAAGGGGACCTGCATACCAACATGTTTGATGCTTTGGAACCATTGCTCTGGGGGAAGAGGGTAAATATATATATCTATATTGAACTTACTTTCCATTCTTGGGAGTACCTCATCACAATTCCTCTGCAACTCTTGTTGTATTCTGCAATTCCCATTTTTGCAACATCTTCTGGTCCTTTGATGCCCAGTGTTTTATCAATTTCATACTCCTGAAATGAATTATGGTGCTCAGAATAGGTTGCATTGGTATTATGGTAGCTTTGTTAACTATAACAGAGAACTTTTTGAACCCCGTCAACCAAGAGGATCTGTGGTACTTGGCCTATAGCTTTGTGCCAAACGATAAGGCAAAACTCCTCTGAGTGCATAAGTCTCACGCAGCAGGAATAGCTTCAAAGTCAGCAATATTTGTTTGTTGTTGTTTTTTAATAATATTTATTGAAAATTTTTTAAATTACAGAAATAGACAAAGCAGAGAAAGAAAAAAGAAACAAAAAAGAGAAAAAGAAAACAAACCACATCCAACAATACAAATTCAAAAAACAAAAATACACCACAAACATATAAAAATAAAACCAACATTCTCAAATCTTCAACTTTCATTACCTTCTTTCTTTGACCTCCTCCTCCTCCCTTTTTTTGTATCCCAGTTATTAATTATCGCAGCAAATCCTTTCCATCTTTCATAATATTCTGTCATTACATTACCTTAATCTATTTTAAAACTTAAATCTTATTTTACCCACTTCTCATAACAATAATATTCTTGCCTAATTCTTTAAACATTTTTGCTAGAGCCAAGTAATTTCGTTCCAACATTTTTCTAACAGTCATCAATCTTATAAAACAATCCTAGTAATAAAAAAAAAGAAATAGAAACAATCCAATCTTCATCCAGCGTCCCTTCCTCCTGGTCCCGGGTTTCGTCAGTCCTTTTTATCCCATCGATCTAGCGCATTAACCTGGTAACCTTATATCCGAGGCCCTTAAGTCCCTTCCATGTCCCTTCCGCAGCTCTTCTTCATATTCACCTTTCACTCGTGGGAACTCCAGCTTGGTAATGTTTTTGACCCTTTTCAACCAATCAGCCCCTTTTCCATAGTCCAGACTAAACTCCATGTAGTATTTAAAGACATGTTTCAGAATCCCTCCAAAATTGAGAGCCCCCACAGCTCCAAACATCTCACGGCCCATTGCCAGACTCGGAAAGTCCAAACATCCCTGCATAGGGGGGTCTATCCAACCCCCCATTTCCAAATCAGTCCGAACTTTATCTTTCCTAATCTGGCTTTTTCCAAGTTCATTTGTCAAATCCAAAAGCTCATGTTCCTGCTGGGCCGCAGCTCCCTCCATCTCTGGCGCCCAAGATTCCGCAACATCCTCTTCTCTCATCTGTTCTGTCAGGGCACACTTCTGATTTAATTCCTGGGTGGGCTCTATATAGTTTCCCACTGCCTGTTCAAAAATTCTGACCGCATTAGTCATCAAATCCGTCTTCTCAGTTAACTGTTCCAGTAGAGCATTTATTTTGCAGAGAGCACACAACAGAGCTTCTGAATACATTGTCCTACAAGGTCACAAGCCTTTTCCCACGATTGTAATCTGTGACAGCTGCAAGCTCCCTGGAATTAGTTACAGTTTCCCAGTCTCCCTCTAGGGGGGAAACTTCTAATTGTTCTTGCAACAAAGTTTCTTTTTAAAGATATTTTGTCAATATTTGTTCCTTTAAAATGCGAAAGGAAACAGTGGAATTACTATGTTTCTCTTCTTTTAGCTATCTGTCAAAAACGTTTGTCTCTGGTCAATGAGCTTCAAACGTCAGTTCTGACACCCCGCTCCAGGATCAGGACGGTGGAAAGTTACTTTACTTTAAACTCACTTCTGCAGGTTTAAACAGTCCAAAAAGATCCCCCTTCTTCTCCTGCTGTCGAAGGGGGGTTCCACAATTTTAAATGATGAAATCCAATCCTTTAGAGGCGATTTTCTGAGCTCTAGTTTACGTTGTCTTTGCTTTATTCTGTCTACAAATAAACGGAAGGCTGACTTCCTGTTTAGACCTTCCCGTTTCAGTACCAAATTGAAGTAAATTTTTAAATCCAATTCCTTTCTGCTCGCAAATCCTTATTTAAAGTCCAATTTGTTCAAAGTTTAAGTACTCATGGGTGCTTATTTTAGAAGCCAAATTGTCCCAGGAAAAAGGCAGCGCTCTCCGGCAACGGCTATGCGGCTTCGCTCCACGAAAATAGCAGTTGACTCACAGCACCGCGCCGCTTCCCCCTCTTCGCTTCGGAGCCCGTTAGTGGGTTCCTTTGCGGGTTGGGGGGGCGCTAAGGGTGCCCGCCGAGTCCCATGGCCACAGGCTTCATCCGCCTGTGATTTTCAAAAGGGTCCCCGCTTCGCAAAGTCAGCAATATTTGATTTCACAACCCAAAAGACCATGATGCTGAATTGCAAGTTGCAATAAAAACCAGGTGTCAGCTGTGCCATGGCATTGTAATTTACTTTTTACATCTTAAGTATAAGTCGCTTACCAGTACTCAAATTTACTAAACATGAACCTGATATTTTAAAATTACTACTTTAAAATTAACTCCATGGTATACACATGATCCCAGGATAACTCTGAAATCCTGATCGATGAACAGGACATATTTAAGAAGTTAGGAAGACTATTCATGAAGGAATTCAAAAAATAAGCTCATAAAAAAAGAAAATGAGAATTTTTTTTCTTCCAACAAATAAAACAATGATCAAAATCATTTCTTTGAATTCTGTCTGTGACTGAAGCAATATCAAAGTAAAAAATGAGCCTTTGTGAATGTAAAAAAACAAAACCTCATATGGAGTTCTCCATCAGGACAGCAAAAGGTTAGGAATGAAGTACTAACAACTATACCTAGGGAAGACACAAAAGAAAACATTCAACATACCACTGGCAAACCATGGCAATCCCAACCAAATCTTCTGTCCACATGAAATCCACTCTGATGAGCAAATCTAGTTACTATGTCTTTGATGGTTCCTGCAAGTATGTGTCCATAATGAGGAAGTCCTGTGGCAAATGGAGGCCCATCATAAAATGTAAACCTATATTTTTTAAAAAGTTAAAAACACAGATTAAGAAAATAAACCAGACACATTAAGAAACAAAAATCTCTCTTACACAGTAAAAAGAATAAACAGCTTTATCTTCTATAGTTCTTAAGTTATAACACTTTATAAGTCAAGTGAGCAGTGAACTAGATCATTTATAGACGTTTCAAAATGCCATGTTTTATGCAAATATGCATATTTTTACTCTTAGGATTACATGGGTCAAATGATCAGTCAGCCATTGCCCCGCACTAACATAGATCTTTCTCCAAAGTTTGATTCATCTCAGACTTCAAAACGAAACAAAAACCAGTTGTTGCCCATTTGCAGGAACATTGAAGAGCAAACTTGGAAAATATATCTTACCTTGGTCTATTTTTGGACTGTTTTAGGCATTCTTGAAAGCAATTAAGCTTGCCCCAAAGCTGCAATATTTTCTCTTCCTCCTGTGGAAAGTTTATGTTCTCTGCAACTTGCTGAACCATGGTTTTCCTACATGAAACAAGGTAATACACAAAGCTAAGACCAATTTTCCCCCAGAGACCATGTTACACAGCAATGCCTATGTATCATTTCATATAGCAACTTTGTTGAGAAGTCAGGACTGGAATGCTACATTCCAGCACATCCAGGGGATGACCATTTTGTGCATGACTAAGGCCCGTGTGACCACTGACGCACCTGCTGCTTTTGGTCCCACAAGGGGGCTTAACAGGGCAGGAGCGGAATAGGTTTATGTGCGACCACTAACACACACATTGATCCAGAAAGCAAGCTCTACACAAACGGGGAGTTGCCTGTACCTTGATAAGAATTCAAAAGGCCATTTAAAAGTAGTTTTCTCTACTTGTACCACATTTATCGGATTCCAAGAGCTATTTGCAGGGCAATCCTATGAGTGTTGAAGCAGAAATAAGTCCCACTGATTCAGTGGGCACATAATGCTACATGCTCTATGTACATGAACAACAAGAAGCCATGAGTCTTGCTTGGGCTTAAACATCTGCTTCTCCTACAGGGCCAAGACTAAAGCTGCAGCTGAGTTTCCCCTGAAGAAACCTGGTTTCTTGTGATATATGAGCCAGAGATCAAGCAAACTCTGGTTAAACCAGCCAGCTTTATAAACCACAAAATCTGGTTTGTACAAAAGTTAGCCAAGTTTCATGGAAAGTGAAACTAAACTCTACTGAAGTCTTCCTTGGTCCCTCCCAGGAGGAGCAGGGAGAAGAAACATGGGCTTCTTCCTGCTTGTGCACATAGCACGAAACCGCAGCAATGAATGCAGCAACTGAGCCAGATTCAACTAATCCAGTGTACTACTGAAAGGTAGCACAAGGACTCCCACTAGCACAATGGGGCTCCCCCCAGCAACTCTTAAATTTCCAGCAGATCCACAGTGAACGGTCAGAATAACCTGCAGAACAGCGCATGGGGGAAAGAGATGAGAGACTGTTCCATCTGGCAAGCAGAAATGTTTGCACTAACAGAACGGTTAACACAAACACAAACACTGTGTTCAATGTTCACTCAATCAGTATTCACTGTACTCACTTATTCCTTAGTAAGGAAACTTAGATTACAACCTCATAAGGGGTGAAGGATGTAACAGCATCTGACAAAAGTCTAATGAGCAAAGGAATTTACCAGGCTTGAAAGAATAAAAAGTAGAGGTCATCCTAGCTTTGCAGGTGCACACATGATGTGGATAGTGAACAATCAAGGCATAGAATTAAATGCAACTCTCTATATGCCCCCATCTACTGCCCATCTGTTGCAGTTGTTTGATTTGTCCCTCAATGTCCCTATGCTGCTTACTGGATCAGGTTAGAATTTGTCCTTTTAAAATAAATATTCCAGTAGGCAGGGTGGATTTAAATCACTAGTCAGTAAGACTTGATTTAAATCATTTTTTTACAGACTCATTCTGGCTGGTATAATCTTAATATTTACAACCAGATGAAAGTTTCATTTTTGTGAAAATAAATTTTCAGAGTAGTTTTTACTGTTACTGTATATAAAAAAAATTACTGATTTGGTTATACTATTAGAAATACATAGCAGATAATTATGAAATTATTGAGAGGTTTAATAAGTTAACTGTTTATATGTGGACAACTTTTCTGCTGAACTTTATTGGAAGGAGAAAAATAATCATTTCCTTAATAACAATTTAAACAATTTATTTAACTAAAACAGTAACATTATAGCATATGTATCCATGTTTGTTAACCAATGTGGTTAAAAGGTCATTTAAAAAGAAACAACTTAGACTGAGTTTCAGCACACATGAAAAACTTAAAACAAATCCTTATTTCCTGATGAATAGCCTTTGGACTATAATGTAACTTAAATAGAAAGCTATCTTTAGAAAGACTTTTCCTCCAAAAGCATTTTATTTTAAAAATCCAATTTAAATTAAAAAAAATTCAATTTTAAATTTAAAAAATCCGATTTTTTTTAATCATTTATTTTTATCCACCCTGCCAGTAGGCATTTCTATATACAGTATCCAACATTCATAAAGCTAGAAAGGATTCTGCTTACAATACCTATACAATGTAACAATGACAGGGCTATGGAGGCTACTAAAGTATCAGACTCCATGCGTAAGTCAGAGTATTATTTTTTGCCCTCTTCTACTAACTGAAGCACTGTATGGAGATAACAGTGTCCAGCAACCACAGGGCACATATTTAAGTATACCACAGCATGCTACCTTTTAAAGCATAGCCCTGTGCAGAATTCCTCAAAAGGAAATCCCACTGGCTCCTGCATGAATCTGAGCATGTTCTAACAACCTCCACAGTGGCCCTTCTCAGAGTTCCTCAGATGTCATGAGTGAAGATGGTTGGTGGTTATTGTAGCAACCCAGCTGCAGACTGCTCCCCAAGTAGGCTTGGCCTGACACCAACCATAATGTAATTCCATTGCCCAGTAAATAATTCTTTTATTTGCCTGGGCCTTTCAACAATCGCAATTGTTTTAGATCTGTTTAGATGAATTTCATTGGAGCTTTGTTTTTTTAAAATGATCCAGCTATCATAATGTTATTACTAGTGTTATGTTTTAATTGTAATCTATTCTTTGTTTTTCATTTTTAAAAAAATAACATTTATTAAAGATTTTCTTGATTTACAAAAGTGTGTGCATTGTCTCTTTTTTCAGAATTGTAAGTTATTCTGAAAGCCTTCAGATTGAAAAGAAGCAAATGATTTATCAACCAAATAAAAATAAATTGATTCCCAGATATGTGTGCATAGAAAAGATTCACTCTTCGATGGGCAGGGCAGGATTCGGGGGTGGGGGGAGGATGAAGAACTAAAGCCAAGGCACAGATTCACATCACTTTAAACCACTTTCACATCTTTGACAGATAACTGATGCCACAAAGTGTTTCATTTGATGTAAAAGGACTTTTTAATCTTCAAGCAATCTTTTAGCAGTAAAGCATGATCATTCCAAATGGCTCCTTTTTAACAACCTTATAAACTTCTTTGTCAGTGGGAAGGTTCCTTCAGGTCAGATTTCTTTTAGTCTCTCTGCATATACATACACATCTCAGAACTTTCCAATAATGTATCTGTGCATATAATAAAGCAATTCAACATTTTTTTTGAAAATGCTATGTTACTCACTACTTTTAAAGAGAAGAACATCCAGTGGGAAAGGACGTGGTATGAGAGTTCCTATCAATAGGACAGTGGCCTCCAAACCTACAGGAAACAAAGAAGTTATTAATGAGTATAATTTCTAAGTTGTAGGCAGGATTCACCCAACGAATCTGTCAAAAGCTGGAACTATTCCTATGGACACTTCTGCAGGTAGAGACAAAAGTCCTAGTCAGAAATACTAGATACAGTGGTACCTCGGGTTACATACGCTTCAGGTTACATACGCTTCAGGTTACATACTCCGCTAACCCAGAAATAGTGCTTCAGGTTAAGAACTTTGCTTCAGGATGAGAACAGAAATCATGCTCTGGCGGCGCAGCAGCAGCAGGAGGCCCCATTAGCTAAAGTGGTGCTTCAGGTTAAGAACAGTTTCAGGTTAAGAACGGACCTCCGGAACGAATTAAGTCCTTAACCCGAGGTACCACTCTATATACTACATGGATGGATGACAAAAACCCATGAGATGAGCATCAAAAACAGCTAACCTCTGAAAACTGAAAAATTATATTTGTACACTATGTTCTTTAAATCCACCTGCCCAAACTTTCATACATGTTCATGAATGGGGGGCATACTAAACTATGCCTCAGAACTGCATCACAGGATATCCACTGCAGCCACAGCTATTCCAAGCACACACATTTAGGAACACCTCCTGGTGGGACGCGGGTGGCGCTGTGGTCTAAACCACAGAGCCTAGGACTTGCTGATCAGAAGGTCGGTGGTTCGAATCCCCGTGACGGGGTGAGCTCCCGTTCCTCGGTCCCTGCTCCTGCCAACCTAGCAGTTCAAAAGCATGTCAAAAGTGCAAGTAGATAAATAGGTACCGCTCCGGCAGGAAAGTAAACGGTGTTTCTGTGCACTGCTCTGGTTTGCCAGAAGCGGCTTAGTCATGCTGGCCACATGACCCGGAAGCTGTATGCCGGCTCCCTTGGCCAATAAAGCGAAATGAGCACCACAACCCCAGAGTCGGTCACGACTGGACCTAATGGTCAGGGGTCCCTTTACCTTTACCTGGCATTTATCCATCACCAAAAAGTAACAAAATACAACTTGTTAGGTTTTTCACTAAAATGTGAAATATGAAACAGCGCAAACAATGCACAGCTTCTTGGATGTCTCATATTTCCACAAAATCATATTTGTTTTAATGAAGGATCTTGTGGAAGTTTTTCAACTGCCAGCAAGATTGCATTGATAAATGTGATCACTGTACTGCCAACATAGCTGTAAAGTAAGCAACAGATGAATGAAGATGAAGTTTGAAGTGTTTTGCAATTGGGAATAGAGCCTGGTTATAGATGTGGAGATGCTCGCAGGTGGGGGTGCAGCAGAAGCCAAATCAGTGAGGAACTTAGCTGTTTTATCTACTCAAATAGCAGCATGATGTAATTCCATCATACAGCATTGGTACCACCACCCACTTTCATGCTGATGTGGAAACAGAAGGAATTTAATAAGCTGAAGTGTCTATGAATAAATACCAAGGTACAGCCATGGTGGTCCTGGACATAATTCCATCCACACTAACATGACTCCACAAATCTCAATCACCTGTAAGCCCACGCTGCTCACTTCAAGATGAGGCAAAAAGACCCCCCTCTCAGATTTCTCTGCATATAGCAAAGAACTCAGAGGAATAAGACTTTCACCATGATAGACACAAGAGACCAACCATACTACTCTTCCAAGTCCTTGGAAACCTGGGGAAAGGGGTCACCCAATTTCTGCTGGACTTTAGAACAGGCAGATGCAGCAAGGCACTGACACAGATTCTGCATGTTCCCCATCTCAGCATAAAATAAAAGACTGACTCCACCCCTCCATCAAATTCTCTGTACAAGGCAGTGGATTCAGAGGAGGAAAGGGGAGGAGATGAGTTGGTGATTAACACAAATACTGGCTGGCTATTAATGTGATGCAACTGTAATTCAATATTGACAAATTTTCTACTACAGTGGTGCCTCGCAAGACGAAATTAATTCGTTCTGCGAGTTTTTTCGTCTTGCGAATTTTTCGTCTTGCGAAGCACGGTTTCCCATAGGAATGCATTGAAAATCATTGCAATCAAAACAAACTTGCAAGACGTTTTCGTTTTTCGTCTTGCGAAGCAAGCCCATAGGGAAATTCGTCTTGCGAAGCAACTCAAAAAACGAAAAACTCTTTCGTCTTGCGAGTTTTTCGTCTTGCGAGGCATTCGTCTTGCGAGGTACCACAGTAAGTTATACCCACACTGCCAGGGAATAAATACCTGAAAGCATATGCAGGAGACAAAGAAGACAGATATCCAACAAGATGCAAATATTGTCTCCCTGGCTGAAGCTCTGCCCTCATGATGCAATTATCACACAAGTTACGAACAGATTATCAGTCAGAAGTAGGCAGTTGTGTGGACAACTTTTCAAGGCCTTAAGCTAAGTAGTAGACATCAACTGGGCTGTATGGGGTGTTAGGGGAGGGAAGTACCTCTGGTGAGGAACACATTGTGCATGCTCTTTCTGGGGTAGTTTGTCAACCATTAGTCCCACCCTGCACTCAGCTCTCACCTGTGGCTCCCAGAAGCTGTCAGCATGCAACAGCAGCCACATCCCAGGAAATAGCGTTGACTGGCTGGCTAAACCAGGTGAGGGTAGCTGATGGGTCTCAAACCCTCAGTGAGTTATGAACTTCCCCTGCATGTGAAGACAGGCTCTGGTGGATTGAGTGGATGAGGCAAATAATGGGTCCAACAGCCAATAAAGTGGTTTTGGCACATGCTGTAGAGTGAAGTGAGAGGCAGATGGGGCTCATCAACCTGGTAAGGTAGCCCATCTAGGAGAAGGAAAACGCTGGTCCTAAATCTCCACTGCCTTGTGGGATATCTTGGGGAGAAAAAAACACTAAGGAGTAAACACTACACAGATTCAGAGTGGAGTCCCTAAGATGATTGAATACTGTCTTGTACACCTCCTTCTGGCAACTCCTGCAGCCAAGCAGGTACCAAATGTATTGTTCTGCTTTCCTTTGGACCACATCAGTGAGGCCGAGTGGGAGTGTCTTGTCGTCTGGGCAGCTTGGGACCGCCATACACACTGCCCAGGCTTGTGAAATAACACAGGAGGCAGCAGTTACAAGTTATTGGTCTCTGCATTCACAGCAGCTGCTGTGATTCTCCAATGGTTTGATTTCACCTCTGGAGGCACACTCCATTGTCTCACAAAATGGCAACAAAAACAAAGACATGAACTACTTATTAATTCTGTTGCCTCCCTGTTCTCATCTGGATAGTGAATCTCTGTAGTTTTGCTCATTTACTATAAAGTCAGGCTTGTGGCTATACTCAAAAATAGATTTTTGCTTTGGTACAAATGTAAGGCTTCCAAGTATTTCATGCTGCTAGTACCATTTGATTATGTTTATATTTTCTACTTTTACTAGATAGCTATACCTTTAAGATTCAATTAACAGAGGTGATAAGCCTTTCATTGACTGGAAGTAATTGCTAAAAGAGCAGGTTTAAGTCTAGACTCTACACATACAGATGGTATGAGTTCATTAAAAAGCATCTGGAAAACCACTCCCTCTGCCCCATTCTCTTTCCACCTGAACTATGAAATTTGTATTACTCTCTCTTACAGCACTGCTGTAATTATTACTAAGATAGTGTATACAATGGGCTTTGAAGACTCTGAAGAACTACATAAAGGTGAATTGTTACACGTACACTTCACTCTCATAGACACATACAAATGAACCTGTACATATGAACCCATCTCTTTCCTCCTAATGTGTATCTTCTTGTTAGGAGACTATGCAGAGCAACCCTTAAGGGAAAGCTACTGTGGGGAGAGGGGAAATGAGAGCAAAGCATTTCTAGTCATCCTTAAGTTCATTTTAAACTTCATAAACCTGGAAAAGGGAGGAGCCCCCCCCCCACACACACAAAATGAATGAATGCTTAGGCCAAGAGCTCCATTTTGAACCTTAATATCAAGAACTTTAAAAACATAAAATTTCTTCAAGGAGCAAGCAAAATTAAGCCACGTGAGGAACGCAAGAAGACGAAAGCTTTTTAAAAGTACACCAGCGTTTATTCGGCAAAATTGCTGGCGATGAGATACTACAGTACTTTTAACATGGGGAATCAGCCTCTTTTGCTGCTCCCTTAAAACATGAGATTAAATAGTGACCACCCAAGATTGGGCTCAGTCCATCCTTAAAGTCTCCTGAGGCAGGAAATATCGGGGTCTTTTTTAGAAACTCTCACTCGCTCCCCGCCCTCGGCAGAATCACGCCCACAGCTGTCAGCCCCGGGAGCGGCGGGGAGCCACTGAGCCAGGCTCACTAACAGCGGCAGGTAGGGCGGGAAGCGCGAGGGACGAGCCCACTTCTTCCCTACTACCCCCACCTCGCACCCCGCTTCCCCCCCCCCACCCCCGAAACGCACCTGCCCTTCCAGCTCAACGGACTCACCCGGCTGTAGGCCCAGCAGCCAACCGGCTAGAAATGATGCAACCTGAAGGAAAGCATGACAGGAAGTTTAGAGGGAGGAGGAGGGGCGAGAGCAAGGCGCGGCACGCCCACTCGCAACAGCCTCTCAGGGCGCTCCGTGCACAGGCTGCAAATAAGGCGGCCTCCCATTGGGCAGGAGGGTTTCCGGGCAACCATAAATCCTGGCCGAGGTTTCGGGGGAAGGGGAAGGGAGGCGCGTAGCGGCTGAAGAGTAGAGATAAGAAAGGGTAGAAGGGCGCGCACGTCCTACTTGGCTTGCGAGTTCTCTTGCGCTGCCTGCGAAGGGCGGACGGAGGGCGAGTGGAGCGAAGCTGCGCCGCGCTCACTCTCGGGGGTGGGGGAGCGCCTAAAAGAGGGACCTTGAATGTCTGTGAAGGAACTAGACTGGCTCTCAGTGCAGCCTGGGCCTGCTTTCATAGCTGCAGCGCCCTGCGAGGCTCTCCGTCGTCAACCCTGATTGTTTTATGCAAGACATGGATGGCGAGGATGTATTATATATATATTGCAAATAATATTGCTGTCTATTAAATTTGTATACCGCCCTTCATTGGAAGATCCTAGGGCATCTTCACAACAGAAAAATACAAACTGATAATTCGAATGATGAGTTTATGAGTTGTTGAATAATAATACAGAAATTCTGTGAAACGACACTTTTTTAATTGGCAGCTACTGAATTAAAGTTTTGTTATTATAAGTGGACCTACTTGGGGTTTTTTATGGGGTAACGGGAATAACTGTAATGTATTGTTTCTATATAGAAATGAAATATACTCAGAGTCGCAAAGTGATTTCATGCTCTTTATTCAGCTCATAGTGGTGAGGAGGAATGAATGAAAGTCCCCTCCAAGTATCTGCTTTATATACATTATTTACACAATGGGCTGCACATGATTGGCTAATTCCGGAATTCTACTGTAAGCCAATCAGGTTGTGGATTCACTTCTATCTGGAGCAGGATTGGGTGGTTCCTGCCAACCAATCATACTGCTGCATTGTTCTAGGACCAATCAGACTGCTGCATTCTGAATCATATTGTTCTAAGACCAATCAGACTGCTGCATTTTGGATCCTATTGTTCTAGGACCAATCAGACTGCTGCAGTTTGGATCCTATTCAACTCAGTACATAACAAGAAGTTAATTTTTTTCAAATAAAAAAGAAAGAAATTGTGGCAATTGTAAGCCAATCAACATATGAAGTGTGATTTGAAAATTCTCTCTGCTGATTCAGTCCATAAGTGATATAGAACTGATCAATTGCAATGTCAGTAGTTTGCATTGCAGTCTTCCTCCTCTGTTTCAGTTTAAAATCTCTGGATTTCAAAATGATCTCTTGCTGTGTTGTTAAGTGAGCTATAAGAAAGTATACTTTCTTATATATAACTCAGTATGCTTTCTTATATATAAATTTCTTATATATACCTGAGTTGTGGGTGGGTGGCACCACTTTGTGATGGCTCCGGTCCTACTTGGATGGTTGTTTCCAGAGGGTGATGCTTGGAGAATGCTCTTCGGCCCCATGGAGCCTTCTTTGTGGGGTTCCTCAGAGTCTGATTTTATCTCCAGTGCTGTTCAACATCCACATGAAACCACTGAATAGGGATTCCCATGAATTTTGAGAACATTGTCGGCAATATGCTGATGACAGAAAGTTCTACTTCTTTACATCTGCAGGTGTGGCAGTGGATGCACTGGAGAGCCAATAAACTGAAGCTCACTCTTATATGGATTGAACTTCAGTTTATTGGCTCTCCATTACTGAAGCAAGGCACTGTTAGTGGGTGGTTCCCTAGACCAGATGGATGGGAGGTTGCCCGCTCTTGATGGGGGTTATACTGCCTTTGAAGGATTGAGTACTTCTGGATCCATTGCTGTCATTTGTGGCTCAGGTGGCCCTGTGGAACGGACTTCTTTCCATCAGATTGGTTGGTGGCCCAGCTGTGCCCCTATCTGGACGGGGATAGCCTGACTTCTGTTGCCCATGCTTTGGTAACCTCTAGGTTAGAATACTGCAGCACGTTATATGTGGAGCTGTGTGCAAATATGGTTCAGAAACTTCTGCTGGTGCAAAAGGCAGTGGCCAGGTTGCTCACAAGGTCAAGACAGTTTGAGCATATAACACCAATCCAACCTCAACTGTACAGACTGCCAATTGGTTTCTGTGCCCAATTCAAAGTGCTGGTCGGAATGGAGTGAGGAAATTAATACAGGCTAGCAGCTGCCTGCTTTGTGATTCATCGGGGCGGGGATGTGGAGAGATTAAATACTGAACATTTATATGTAGGAACAGATGCTGTCTATAGGCAAAAAAAAATAGGCAGAGATGTACAAACATTATTTCTTCTTTTCTTTTTATCACTGATATTAAATTTCCATCAACATGTGTTTCCTTTGCTGTTTTGTCTTTTATGTAATTTGAACACCAGCATGGCCTGTTTGTAATCTAGGGTGTGTTCACAGCATTTTGCTGCTGTAAATAATCAAGGAACAATCCTTCTGGCTCAGCCTTCATCAGTGTTCAGTGTTTACTTATTTCTAGATTATCTTTGAGGGTTCGCTGCTGTTTTCCCTATACTGCCTAAAAGGGAGTGAACCACTTTGGAACTACATTAGTTTTTCTGGGGAACAATTGCTGAGGTAAAGCAGGTAAAGTATTGTGTAGCTATTTCTGCCTTCCTAGGGGGAAATAGTTGGAGTAAATGAAGAATAGGCATTGTGGTGCCCTGCACAATGTTGCCAGCTATAACGGCAGCCCCAGCCAACTATGCCAGTTGTCAGGAATTGTGACAGTTGGAGCTCACAACACATTGGCAGCTCCTTGGGGTAAAGTGTCTACTTTCAAAAGCAGCATTGACATAATTAATGCAAAGGAATGTTAAGAGTGGCACCATTTTTCTCAGCCTATATCAAAGCGGAAAGGCACAACAGTATCTACTACAAATCTCACCCTCCATAAATTCTTCAATTTTAAATGAAAATAATCCTGTATTCCTTAGAAGATGGGATTATCTAACTTTAACTTTAAAGTAAACCTGACAGGTAGGTTAGGCTTAAACAGTGCACTTCACAAATGAGGAACACAAGTCATTTTGGATCAAGGTCCAGAATTTTGCCCTCTATAGTACAATGGCTTCTGTTACTACTATAATTTCACAGGAGAGTAAGAAGTGCAGTTCTTTACCCCTCACATTAATGTCAGTAGCAAAGCACAGTAATTTTAAAAGTAAGGGGCAAACATACCATACCTCATCAAGGTATCTGGTTCCATCAGTCTTGGCTCTGGAAGTGAGAGTCCCATATGGTTTGAAAATATTCATCTAGTTCTCTAACAGCTAACTGAGCAGAATAAAAACATTGCCTCCTTTCTGTTTCTGGTTCAGTATTCCTCCATACCTAGGGTGTAGTTATCTTAATTCCAACAAAATCCTGTGGTTTGTTATGAAAATATTTCTTCTGCCATTTAACAAGAAGGAATTGAAGATGCTGATCATACACCGAAAGCAAAATGCAATAGTCTGGAGATGGCATGCACTAAAACTGTAACTGTCCAAGTCCTAGAAGTGAGGCTATGCAGAAAACCTGAGCACAGGGTATCTCTTAATAAAATACCAGCACTTATGTTCATTAATGCAGCACTTGCAGAGATTTGTAAAGCATTTTACAGCACAGCTATAAAACAGAGTTAACACATGCATACATTTACAGCTTCACTCTATGCTTTCCAACACACCCTGGTACCTTAATGCTATGCCAATCAGCTTTGAGTGAAAGACCACAAGAGGGCAATATTTTCCCTCACTGGGAAATTCAGTAGCGTACTGTTATAGAGTCCTATAGACATCTGCTTGGGAAGGACTTTTCATATATTCATATTTATCCAAGTTCTGGATTCAGTTATTAAAATCTGTTTTCATAAATATTTCAAAGTTAGTGAAAAGCACTGATGATTTGTATAGGGCAGGGGTGAGAGCCCCAGCAGAGATTTAAAATCACAAAACATGCAGCAAAGTAAAGTGTGGAAATATAGACTGTTAGACCTTTAAAATAGCCCTTCTATGTTGCTTGCAAAGTTCCCCACTTCCCTTAGCATAGAAAGAGACTGTACATTTGGTAGGTTAGGAATTGTTTACTTACAAACTTTTCAAATGTCAGATTCATGTGCTATTCCATACATCGGCAAGAAAAGACATGCAGCAAAACCTAGGTTAGTTCCCAAGTGGTAAAGGTTTCTAAATTAATTGTATCAAAAACAAATATGGCTTGCTTAAGCCATGCAATCTAAGCTCAGAGCATGCATTGTAGACCTCCTTACTGTTAGGGTGCACATCGTGGAAGAGAGAGAACAAAGATTTTGGTAATGCTACCTCCCAAGGTGAGGGTGTGTGACCTAGCTAAGCCTGGCAGGTCAGCTTACTCTATGGTTTTAACTGCTTTATGCATTCATTAGAATTAAGCATTTGGTTATATCAGCCTGATTTATCCTACAGGAGTCACATGCCAATGGTGGGTGGAGCAAGAGGCAGAAGTGTGTGGAACAGTATTAACGTAAATGTGCGCTTACATAATAGGCTAGTTTCTACACACCCCTCTGTCTTCTTTCCGTACAAGCAAGAAGAATCATCAGAGTTCAAGGACACAAAATATGGGCTGGACAAGGTTACTGTTAGGCAGTGCTTTTTCTTAGAACAAAAGGTGCCAGAACTCACCATGAAATTGTTACAGTAAGTGCCACACTTTTGACATTTAGTGGGGGGAAAGACCCCGGTACTGCGTAACTTTGAGTACCCCTAGAAAAAAGCACTGCTGTTAGGTGGATTTGCAGCTGGTTAACTAATAGAACCCAAAGAGTGCTCACTAATGGTTCCTCATCATCCTGTAAAAAAAAGTTGACAAGTGAGGTGACACAGGGCTCTGTCCTGGGCCTGTTGTCGTTCAACATTTTTTATAAATGTCTTGGATGAAGCACTTGAGGGGATGCTCATCAAATCTGCAGGTGACACCAAACTAGGATTCACATTCTGTGCAAACCATAAATGTCAAACAGGTATGTTTAAGTTAGAGTTATTCTGTGTTTCAGACTACAAGCAGCACCCACCAATTTCCTGAAGGTATACAGTCCCAAGGGACACCCAGTGGAGCGAAAGGGCAATGTGGGCCAATAT